AAGCGGGAACATGTAATTAAACTGGAGTCAGGACGAAATGACAAAGAGCGGCATTCATAAGTTGCGAGGAGCAAAGGGCAGGCTACTGTAATGACAGCCAGCAGTTGATAAGTACAAATTCGCTATGTTCTTCACCTGAACTTTCGCGGCAGGAACGCTTTCCCATCTTCGCGGCGCATGGGTAAACCTCACCAGGTCACGCTAGCTCACATACCAAGCGCGCTAGGGCCAAACGGAAAACGGCACCCGGTAGCGCGTGAGGAGCTGCATCAGAAGAGCCTCACTGAACATCGGTCTACGTGGAGTTGGAAGGAACAAATCGAGTCGTGGCAAGACTAGTGAATTTGGGCCTCAGTTCTGTACCCTCAAAACTGTGAGCGCTACGAGAGAGGACGGAAGTCTTGTGTAGCCCTCGGCACACCGGACTGTACACTGGTCGTCACAAGCCAGCGGGCGTGACCTGTGCCGTGTCATTTTACGTCGTGGATTCCGAGCGTCATGCACGCTGGTCGAACGCCACATCTCAAGAACGCGTCGTACGACAACGAAACACGTGCAGCTGCATGCCAATCAAAATGTAGAACCAGGTGATGAAAGGTCGAAGGTTATTTCCACGAAGATTTCTTCATTTTCTCACTAAATAGTAGTTTTTTTTCGTTTCGCCACATGAACCTTACATGACGTGACCGGACTGCAGTTTCTAGAATCAACCATAAAGCACTAAGGTACGAAGCCACCAACACAGTCATTCATAACGCGTATTTTGCGCCTGGCGCACGTTAGCAGCCATCTGAATATCGGCACTCGAGCGCCGAACACGACCGGCGCCACCCCGACAGACGTCACTCCGCGCAACGTGTGGAATTAGGCGGCCTTCAAATATTCACAGAAAGCATGGCAATGCTGAAAACTCAGCTTCTGAAGCTCAGCTTCATTCGAGTACAGTGCGTTTCACGGTTCAACATTATTCCTAAAAACCTCAGGGACATCTCGCCCGGCAGGGGTTATAGCGACTATAGCGACTCTTGCTTTTCATGGCGCCTTCCTTTTCACAGCAGCACACTCTTCCCGTCTCAATCCATGTCTGAGACAAAACTTGCTCACGAACTGGACGCGAGGAAGCGCTGGCTGACTAGCCGGCTGCCTACTCCACTCCCACGTCACGCGCCGCTGCCCGACTCACCCTGAGGGCCGTGGCCTGTGGCAGGTCGGAGATGCCCCGGAAGTCTGAGTCGCTGCTCGAGTCATGCCGAAGACTCAGCATCGCCGACGGCTGGAGCAGCGCGGCGGGACACGTCAGCGCCAGCGCCAGCGCCGCGCCCGCATCACGGTACGCAGACAACAGCGGGCGCAACACGACACAGTAGGGGCTAAGTAGGACATCCACAAGTCACCAGAGACCACAGTCATGGACCAAACCCCCGCGTGAACACACAACCATGAAAACATCAGAGAAGCTTCTTGAAGAGCCTTTACAGTTGTGCGCCTGTGCACGAGCTGCATCTCGGCCCGCCCTCTCCGTCCCCAGCGCGGCTCACACACGCCAATTACACCGCTCGTGACTCGGGAGCCGGCCTATCCGTCCTCCCGCACTGCGCCCCCACCGGCGCGCGCACGCACCCTGTTGAGCTCGTTGATGCGGCTGAGCTGGCCATCTCTGAAGGCGTGCCACGCCACGCGCACGTCCTCGGGCAGCGCCTCCAGCTGCCGGCGCACCAGCTCAGCGGCGGGCCCCTCCTCGGCGGCCGCGCACACGCGGTTGGCCATGCTCACCAGGTGGCCGCAGTAGGCCCGCATCGAGCGACAGCAGCTGCGGCAGGGCGGCGTGGCTGTCAGCGGGCGGGGCGGCAGGGGGGGGGGGGGGGGACGGACGGACGTGGCGGCAGGCAAAGTCGAGCTGGGCCGTCTGCCCGCGGCTTCAACAGACGCCTGACGTCTGACAAACACGTGAACTAGAATGACGTTAGCTACTTTGAAGCATCATCTTAAATACAATATTAGTGCATGAAAACGCCATGACTTCGCCCTGATGGCTCAGTTTGTTAGATAGCCTGCCTTCCAATAAACCCACCCGTGGCGGGGCGGGTTCGAGTCGCTTTAAGCACTCCATCGTTTCCCTCGACAGATCCGGCCGGTGGCAGCGGTCGCGCTAAGGGCTATGTGAGGTCAAAAGGCAGGACGGACCGTACCCCGCATTGCGGCACACAAAAAGCGCTGCTTAGCGTGAGCTCTTATCACAGACACCCATCCATTCAAAAGGATTAGATATATATATATATATATATATATATATATATATATATATATATATATATATATATATATATGGAGGAAGATGGCGTTCCTCAAGTTCCCCGGCCTGTGCCGCGGAGGTTCAGTGCAGGTACCGGGTGGAGCTGGACCGTCACGGTACCGAGGACAAGCTGCTGCGTACACGCGCTGACCACGTGGCAGGCGAGGACCGGTGATGCGCGCTGACATGCTGCTGGGCCAGGCAGGCTTCGCTGGCGCCACACGCGTGGGTGTCTCAGACTCGTACATTAATACAACGGCATGGAGGAATAAAGTCAGCCTGATGCAACGTGGACTTCGCTGGGGAAATAACGTATTGGCAATTGCGCCGCGACATCGGCCCCCATGTATCTTCCTTTAGCACGAGCAGGGAGCTATTGGTTGCAGTGCAACATACCACTTCTGCTCCAATTTGCCGGCAGCCGGCTCACGATCCTCCATGCCGTGCAGTATCCTCTGAATCAGCTTCGAATTCGTGAAAATCTGCAATGAATGCATGCTGGTAAGGGATAGCGACGGTCATACAACCACTGAACGCGTTCCCTTGCACCATTTATAGCGCACACGACCATTATGCATTGGAAATGTAGGCTATAAAGAGATCACATAACATAACTAATGGTCAGTGTTTAATCGCGCCGGTGAAGTAGCCATAAACATGACACAAATTTGCATACTAATCCGACTTCAAAAACAATACGCTAAATCCTCGTAACAACATAGATCAGAACGGAAAGTCAAGTGATTTAATCGGCATAAGATTAATGACTTGATCGTTGAATGGGTGTCATCTACACCATATGCATTCAATCATAGACCACGTTACCACGTTTGCACAGCCCTTACGACTCTGCCCAGACCACGCCGCTTTTGATGAAATGGCTGGAGGCCAACCGCCACAAACAGAGACCGCAAACTGGCGATGGAGCATTTTTTTTCAAGATCTTGTTTGTAACAGCATCTGCACCCAACAGCCTAACCTATTCGACAAAATGCTACACATAGAGGCAGTTAGGACTAAATCATGCATTACGTGTCAGACACGAACCTTTCCGATTTTTTTAAAGCGTATATCGGGTCCACCCAGGGTCAGGTGAATGGCATTGTTCGACATTCTTGAATAACTTCTTGGTGTCTGTTCACCTGAACGTCGCATGTAGTGCTGGCCAACTCCAACAAACAGCTCCTGTCTCCTCTGTTCTTATTAGAGCTAACTAGTACGACATAACGCGTACAGACCAACCGCCATCAAGTCACCAAGAGTTCCCGAATCGTTAAGTACAGCCTCGTACAGCCCGCGATCCGGCCCAGTGCACCACCCTGGGGCGGGACGGCGCACAAGAGGCGGGTCCCCTGAGGCGGGTCCCCTCACGTGTTCCAGCAGTGGGTGTGAGCTCTTGCCGTCGTCGCCCTCCTGCGGCGCTGACTCCAGAATATGGGCCACACACTGTTCCACTTGTGTGTGAAGGAAGTTGTTCAGGGTATAGTGGAAAAACAGATCCTGCCGACCGAATTACGAATGTTAAATGACACGCGATAAAGGCTCGAATGCACGTGATGCTACCATATAAGCGAGGGTGCATTTCCACACATGTGATGGATGCTTTACATGGATTGCTAGAGCTTTTTGCTGGCTTGATATACTCGTGCTGATACCTGACCATCAAAGGCTAGTGTATACGAACAGCTTAAACCAGCATCCATTTACAAAGTGAAACGATCGATTCCGATTGAATACATAATACAGTTGTCTGAAACGGGAAAGGAGAAAACAGGACTAACAGTTCAACCACTCGCACTTCCCTTCCACATCTTATCTGACCTGGTCAGAATGGCAGTTTAGGGCCCAGCATGCTACAAAAGCTCAACACGTGATAAACCCGCAACCAAACTGCAGAATGTCTCCATCCTCAGACCCCGTGCGGCTCCCAGCTAGGCTGGCGATGCGCCTGTCCTCACCAGGAGGACGTCGATGGTGCCGAGCCGCGCCAGCTCCTGGTTAAGGGCGTGTCGGTTGGCGGCGAGCACCGCAGCGATGAGGCGCGCCAGCTGCAGCCGCGTGGCGCCGAGCGGCGGGCTCAGCCGGCCCCAGCTGGCCACGACGTCGGGCCGCGGCGGCGGCGCCGACAGCGTGCGGTGACAGTCGGCCAGGCGAGGCAGGAGCGCGGCCGCCACCAGCCCGCACGCTGGCCGCCTCCTCGGTCCGCGGCTCGGCCGGCTCCAGCGGTGCCAGTCCGCCACCGCCACCGCCGCCGCCGCCGCCGCCGCCGCTGCCCGGCCGGCCCGGCTCCAGCAGTGGCAGCAGCACGTGTACAGCGTTGACCACGGCTGACTCGGTGGGGCCGCCGCCGCGCTCCGGCGCCAGCACGCCGTCCAGGAGCGTCCGTACGAGCTCGACGCTGCGGGACGGCGGCGGAGTCAGGGGCGGCACGGGCACCACGTCACACTCAGCGTCTCGCAAGTGAACAGATACCGCGGGTGGTCAAGGGGGTGAGTCACAGGGCGGGCTGTGCCGAGACGGCGCGCTCAGCCCTCCATACTCGTCTCTGGTCGGGGTCAGCACACTTGCTGGTCTATGTTTCGAACGTTGTCACACTTACGAACACGAAGTCACGTCGACATGAGTGCGTCATCAGCTACAACATCACCCACAACCCAAACAGCGGCCCGCGAGTCCGTGAGAACGTTGGTGGAGGCGGGTGCGGTACTCACGATTCCACGGTGGCCACGAGAGGGTTCAGCTCGCGCTCGCCCGGCGGCAGCTGCTGCGCCATCTGGCGGGCGCACGTGACCGTGGAGACGAGCACGTGCGCGGCGTTGGCCTGCCGCTCCGGCTGCTCCGAGTCGCCGACCAGCTGCGCCAGCCGCTCCATCAGCTGCTGTCCGCTCAGCCACTGCCGGGGCGCGTGGGCCGCTCAGAAGCCGGCTCGGGCGTGCGCCGTCTCACATGCCTAGCCGCTGCAGGGGCGCGTGAGCCGCTCAGAAGCCGGCTCGGGCGTGCGCCGTCTCACATGCCTAGCCACTGCCGGGGAGCGTGAGCCGCCCAGAAGCCAGCTCGGGCGTGCGCCGTCTCACACGCCCAGCCGCTGCAGGGGCGCGTGAGCCGCTCAGAAGCCGGCTCGGGCGTGCGCCGTCTCACATGCCTAGCCACTGCCGGGGAGCGTGAGCCGCCCAGAAGCCAGCTCGGGCGTGCGCCGTCTCACATGCCTAGCCGCTGCAGGGGCGCGTGAGCCGCTCAGAAGCCAGCTCGGGCGTGCGCCGTCTCACACGCCTATCCACTGCAGGGGCGCGCCGTGGCCGGCTCGCAAACGGAGCGAGCAAGGACACCGTCACGCACAAGACAAAGGTCGCACGGGACAGTCACTCTTTGAAGTCGTAGTCGTAGATGTTCGGACGGGGCAAACAAAATATCGTGCGGGACAAAGTTTGAACAGGCGGCTTCATTTCCTAGGAACAAATTTGCAGGACGCCAGCTTGTCGCAAGCGACAAGCTGTCACGCGGCGTCTCCAATGCCACCAACACTTGGACGGAATGGAGATGATGCCTGGTCACAGGCCAGAGCCGAAAGGTAAAGTCCGGCTCTGTGGTTGACACCTCCGCTCCAGGGATTTCGCCCAGAGGTGGTAAAAAAACAATATTGGTGAGACGAGTACTTTCCTAAGATATAAGGTTGAGGTAAGCTTTTTTCCACACAACACTAGGAGGTACTGTGGCTACAAAATGGATTTCATTGTGCCGCCGGGTGCCGGATTTTCCGGCTAATATTCACAAAGTCCGCCAGAAAGCGGCCCATAATCCTTGATTCCACATATCTTTGGTGCACTTTTACCGAATAAGTCCAAATATACCCATCAAATTTCGGTAATGGGTGCAAAGCTGAATAGGAGGGGAAGGTAGATGGAAGCACCGAGGCTTCGCTAACAATACCAAAGGCTGTCACCTTTTCTGAAGACTCTCGTCCAGCCTGCTTATGCCCGGTGCATATGCATTTTTATCTCCTGTTCCTTGAAACATTTGGCATAAGTTGTGATGCCATATTTCTCCGTGCAATTCAGCTACAAGTCACTAACACTCCACCCCGTACAATCCCCGCATCACAACGTTTACATACGATATGCATACGATCTTTCACACTTCGCCATTTTCCATTCTGACCTCTAACCCATAAGAAGCTGGTCCACTATCCCAAGCGACCTTTATCTTTTGACAACCCGCTAACGACCATGCTCATGCTGTGAAACGTGCGCGCGCTGAGGCGTGACTGCTTGGGCGAAGTATGACATATGCTATTGGAGTGTGGCATGTGCATGCGGTTGCATGGTAGTGCCAGTGCATGCTGCACGACTGCTGATTGCACCTTTCGCTGGCAGATTGCTGGACTGACTATTGCTGTGTAAGCAATATAAAAAGGGCAGCATGAGCTGTTTGTCACAATGCCGTCACGCGTTTTCTTATGGTTAGACAGACACAGAGGAGGACAGGTAAGGAAGGCATAAGCACATTGTAGCCCAGCACCGAGACAAAGCATCAGCTTAATGACTGTGACAAGACTAATGGGGCTTGCAGCGCAGGCCGCGTCTCGCGCACCGCTGGGTCCGCCCCTCACCGTGAGCGCCGCCTGGCGAGCCTCCGGCTCAGCGATGCCGGAGATGAGGTTGCAGGCCAGGTCCATGATGGCCGACGTGCCCAGGTGCTGCAGCAACAGGTCTACGAATGTCTGTTTCGACTTGAGGTACATCAGTGTCTGGAAACACAGTGAGAGCTTCTGGGCACACGCTGAACACGACCACTGTCATCGTGGGAGATGGCTGACGTTTCCGTCGCTCCAAGTCTGTCCGTCGCTATGCTTAAGCAGGGCACCTCAGCAGCCGCGCCACACAGCATCCGCGAGTAACTCCGCCCACAGGCCTGTGCCGCGGCTCTGGTCGGCTGCTCACCTGTTCTGCCTGCTCAGCCAGCAAGAGACCGAACGCGCGCGACAGGAAGCTGGCCAGCAGCGGGTTGAGTGGCGCCGGCCGCTCCAGCAGGCTGTACAGCTGGTCCAGCAGGGACCGCTCAGCCGCCAGCTTCTCCAGTACGGCCGGCACGTTGCAGGTGAGCACCTCACACGCAAGGCTGGCGTACCGGTACTGCGACGTCAGCTCGCCGCCGGCAGCCGGCTCCGTCACCAGGTGCGTCACCAGCGACATCAGCACCTCAGGCCGGGTCAGACTGCCGACACGGCGTCAGTGACGTCACACTACCACTGACAGAATGTAATACCATGAGCAGCTTCAACACACCCAGCCCTGGTGGGCTGCCTCAACAGCATGTCATGTCAACAACAACACCATCAAGTCCAGCAATGCCAGCTGCCATCACAGCATTCCACATCACCAGCAACACCAGCCAAATGGCTATGCCAGGCTGTCGTCACAACACTTCATTCCATGGCAATATTAGTCAAGCTAGTCACGTCCCAGACTCAAGCCACAGTGCATCGCATCACTGGTACCAGCAGCCTTTACAGACACGTCTGACCGTCATTGCAGCACACAGTGTGATCACAGGCAACATGGGCATATATTGTATGGTTGGGATGCCACTGAAGCAAGCCAGGTCAAGTCTTCTGCACCATTTGCCTGCCCAACCACATCACAGCTGCTATCACATTCCAGTGTGTCATGTCACAGCTGCTATCACACTCCACAGTGTGCTATGTCACACCACCATCACAACTGCCCTCACACCCCACTGTGTCTTGTCAGATCACACCATATCATCATCATTTGTGGCTTCATTTATTGTGTTTTTACTAATAAAGCTAAAATGATCCTTATCATGCCACAGGCACTTACAAATCCACAACATTGCTGTTTTGGGCCTTGCACTCCTGTATGACATCCTCTTCATCTAGTAGCTCTTCAAGAGTGACACTCTGAAAAAATGACACTTTAATTAAGAGAGAAGATAAGCATACAATCAATGAAGATCACACTGCTATAAATAAGCAAAGTATGTAATATCAGTGAACAAAGAACGCATGCTCACCATCAATGATACAAGCACAACAATGCCATGAAATGACATAACTTTGAAGCTTGGAAGGCTGATAACAGAACATAACTTTGAAGGCTGTCATTTGAAAGACATAATATGACAGACCCGATACAAGGTGCTTACCTGTCCTTTTAATAGCTCATCCACACTCGCTGAGGGTGCTGCATGGGACTTCCAGAACATTGTTCAATCTGAGATCAGGCAATGGACATGTGTTGTAAAACAGGAATTATGCACAGCAAATGCTCACTCTGGATTGTTAAAAACTTACACACTGTCTGACATATGCCCACCACAATAATAACTTTCTGTATGGATATTTTGCACAGCAGCCTGATCATCACAAAAGAGACTATCATGTTGGGTATTTTCCCAATATTATCATCAAAAGTTGCACATACAATGCATAATCAACAGATGCTAAAAGACAATTACAATTAAAAACCTGTTGAATACAGCTTTTACAAATGCCAACCACCACATCCAGTTGAGGAAACAGTGCTCATTAGACACAAATTAGGATCCTATATTAAGTATGAAAATTAGGCATTTGAACAATCCATACATAGGTCATGTAATACAAGGTTGCCTATTATTATCTCCTAAAGTTTTCACCATTTATGGGCTGATCTACAGACTGCAAATAAGGTAGGTGGCTGCATACTTAGGTCCAGGCAGGTCACAATGCAAAAACATGTCATGCCAAACATGAACAGGGTGGCAGTCACATTGCAGCAAAAATGTTGGACAGTACTGTAAATTTGGAAGCCCTCAGTTTCATGTAGGTCCAGAACAATTTCAGCCCACATGAGTGTTTTTAGGGAATGTATTGCCTCAAATGTAATTTCAGCCCAAACTGCTCTGAAAATCTTTCACAAGAAAGTGTGGGGGAATTCAGTGCAATTTGGCCTGGCATGAGCCCAGGGCACAAGTCTGAAGTTCAATGCACTGAAGCACAGTACATGGATTGTTTGCACATCAGAGCATCTTCAGAGCAAAGAGTGAATCCAAGCTTGGCTCAGCCCACGACGACCTGTAATAAAACAAAAACAAACAACCTTAACTCACCTTAGATACTCTTAGCCTGAGACAAGGCAGTCGATCATCACAAGTACCTCAATCCTATTCAACGATACAATTATCTTAGCATTTGAATACGCTTGCGTCAGAACAAATCACGTAAACGCAACACAACTATATTCCTGCTGATATCCAGTACAGCATCCTATAAGCACTCGCTACCTAAATTGTACCCTTCGCCCTTGATTTCCCAACTTCAAGGCAGTGATTCATCCAACAGCCCCCCGCATCAACGTTTTCAAGGCAATCTCCACTACACCGATCGTACGGATCCAACCGACAACGTCCCCATCGAACCATAACAATAACAGTGGGCAGTCAGCTGACTCCAAGGCGGTTACGCGAGAACCAGTTGTGGGGAAGTCCTGGACCCTGTTTACGCCGGAATTATTTCAGGAACACAAAAATAGTACAAGCCGCCAGCTCACAAAATTTAACGTAGATCCATTCGGTGCAGTGCCTTACAATGATCTACTTTGACTTATTGATAATGCCTTACTTTGTGATCCCTTTTTATGTAACATGTCACGTAGGGATCGAGCTGGTTTCATTACGTTCAAGAACAAACCATTTTGATGACGTGAACTGCAATCAGAATGCACCGAGCAATGACAAAATTGGAAAAAGGAAGTTATATTGTCATTTGATTTCTTGTTATAATTGTGTAGCATTACCCACTTTCCAAAAGCTCAAAATTTGTAGCTTATTTTATGACAACTAAATACATTTTCTCATCCGGTCTCTGCGCCACTTTTGTAATCACACAAGCTGCGGGTTTCGCCATTTTGTAAGGGGGGAACGTGTAGCGGGCGGTGGTAAGATTGGGTGGAGGAGGAATTGGTGCTGGCTGAATTTTGTGCGGGTCTGGTGTGAAAAATGTCTGGATTGGTTTGAGTCAGCTGTGAGGCTGTGTAACGAATTAGAAGTGGCAAACTACCTTAATTTTGGAGGTGTCTGTTGGGTTCTGCTGCCGTCCGCTGGACGTCATCGCCCGTGAATGATGTCTCGGTTTGCATCGGACACGAAGGTCTACGTCGGAGAATTAGGTAAGTGTCACTGTATAACATCCGCATTGCTGGCCTTAACGCTCACCTTAGTCATGTTTGCTCATCCCGGGAACGGTAGCAGTGGGCCGACTGCGAAAATTCACGTTCGTCGGACGCTTGCGTCGTAGCAGCGGTGGTTTCCCTATGGAACAGCGTACCGTCAGCACACCACAGCTTTGCATCAGAATGGCGCCAATGTGGATCAGCTTTTGTATCAAAATGGCTATGTTGCAAATTTGTGGGCACTAAATCAGAATTTTGAGAAGCACTGGCAAGAATTAAATACCATGATGCATCATGAAGATGAGTACCCTGGGCGCATGACAACAGAAAATGAGCCGGCTCCTCCAGGTCTGCTGAGCCTTAAGTGTCTGCCATAACCTAACTGACCTAGCCTTAGCTAGCGGCATCTTAATGGTCATGATTTCAGCCAAGATGCCCTTAAAATAATGGCTTGGTTGGTCAGTTAATAATTCCAGTAAATTATCTGGGCCATTGTGGACCTTTCTTTGGGTGGTGTTAAGCACTGCCAACAATAGGAACTATTTGTCAATGCTATCCATGTCACTGAAGGATCATGCATAATTTTCAGAGCATAGTCTTGACTGTCTTTTTTTTGAAGTACTGTGACCAACTGCTCAGGTGCAGCTATGCATGGTGTGTTGCATTGACACTTGGGATGCCTTATTTCAGGGCCTGCTGAATTTAAATGGGGGATCTTTGGTGGATGATAATCTGATAGAAGGTGATTGGTTGAATAATTTCTCCCTTTGCCCAGTGTTTGCTTAGTGCCATGAGTTTGGTGCAGATGCAGCCAGTTTTTGCAAGCAATGAAGATGTTGCTCTGGTTGCACTGGCACATATGCAGCATTTGGCGTGCATGTGTGGCAGACTGAATTCTCAAACATATTTGCTTTCAGGTTCCAATGCTTCACAGACAGAGCTAGAGGATGCATTCTCTCACTATGGACCATTGAGAAATGTCTGGGTGGCCAGAAATCCACCAGGCTTTGCATTCGTTGAGTTTGAAGATCCCAGAGATGCCAAGGAATCAGTGCGAGCTTTGGATGGGACGTAAGTCTGCTGTGCTTGCACTAGTAGGTGGAGAGGTTGAGATGTATGTATGTGATGAATATCTGATGATCAGTCAGAAAGTTGGCACATTATTGGTGCCCAAATTTATTGTGGTTTTGATTTTTTGTGGTTCTGTGCTTTGTATGCAATTGGCGACAGTTGTTCTGCCTAGGCTATGTGCTGTATTCTTTGAAAAATATTTGTTTGGGGTGCATTTTCTGTCCATTTTTACCAGCAGTCCACTGCTCTATCAATTCAACAGCTGTTTTTGGCAGCATGGTACAGATGGCGCCATCCTGACCGCCATCGGCCGGCAGCACCCGTGACTGACAGCTGACCTGCCACTCGGCCGTGCCCGCAGGCGGGTGTGCGGTCACCGCGTGGTGGTTGAGCTCTCCAACGGCCGCAAGCGCAACCGCATGGGCAGCGGCGGCGTGCCGGGCCGCGACAACCGCGACATGATGCGTGGCGCGCCGCCGCCGCGCCGGCCGCGCTTCGACCCCAACGACCGCTGCTACGAGTGTGGCGAGCGCGGACACTACGCCTACAACTGCCACCGGCGCCGCGGCGGCCGCAGGTGGGTGTGCGCGCCGGCCGCGCGGCCCGCTCGCGTCGCGGCCGTACGCCGCTGTGTGCCCTGTGCGTGCCGCGCCGTGCCGTGTGTGTGCGCGTGTGTGTCTGCGGGCCACGTGAGTGACATGCGCCGGTGTCCTGAGTCTGTTCGCAGCCGCGGCCGTGAGTATCGCCGCTGGAGGTTCGCCGCCGCCCACTGACCGTCTTCTTGGCTTCTGTAGGGGTTGACACGTGCGCGCGCGCCCCGCGAACTCGAGAGAGTGCCACCCGTGTCGACGTTAACGTGTCAGCCTCCACCCTTCCGCCACTGGGCCTCACGGCACCACCACCCGCCACCGAACGCCACACAGCGTCTGACAGTGTGCCCAGGCTGACGGCCGCCGCCCCGTTAGAGTTCTCGACGGCACGCCGCTAGCGGTACTCGTGTGGTGAGACTTCTCGGTAAACTGGTACAGGTATACGGCCCTTGTTTGGCCCGCTCGTCGTCTGTTTCCGATTGAGTTTGATTAGCAACTTGATTCAGAGTAACTCGCCTTCAGGCGCTTATGCTCGGATCATCTGTGGGCTGTTTTCTTGATTTTTTGTTACATTTTTGAGTATTGTTTACATATTTTGAGTGATAGCCATAACATCATGGATCAGCATTGCAACCTGCCGTTTAGCTCGCAGATGACGTGTGTACTAATCTCATCGCGCCCGCCTGCCGCCGCGTGGTGGCGTCTCTGTTGCGCTCGGCCGTTTTGCCTCGGTCGCGTGAGAGCACTGCCGGCTGGCCGGGCTGGCGGTGTCGTGTGCCGCCGGGCCCCGCCGCTGCCGGCGGCTGACGGCCGGTCTGTTCAGCAGGTCGGGCTCTCGCTCGCGCAGCCGTTCGCGCTCGCCGCGCGACAGGCGCAGCCGCAGCCGGTCGCGCGACCGCCGCTCGCGCACGCGCAGCCGCAGCAAGGACCGCTCCAAGAGCCGCGACAAGTCCAGGTGAGCGGCCCGGCGCCGGCGGCGGGCTGCCACCGGACGTGACCTGGTGCGAGGCGCGTCGGGTCAGACCGGGAGTGGAGCGCGTTTGTATGCGCTGTGCTCTGTGGCCGAAAATGGGAATTAAATTGTTGGCCTTGGGGTTGTTTCGGTCCGCTTTATCGCAGTTACAGCCGACATGCGTGGTTTCCTTTGCGGTGCGTCCCCACTGTGGAATCGCCTTGTCTGCACATTTATTCTACCTGGGGAGAATAACTCGGGTCCACAAAACGGCTGGAAACGTCGAACGCTGGTGATATATAGCCGCTGTGTACCCTATAACGTTCAAAGAGTGCATATCTATCTGTGTATTGAGATTAACGACTATCGGCATAAGGACTCTGAAGTCACAATGAGTAGATTTTGCGTCTCATAATGCAGAGCGTCGAAATGAAAACGGCGCGCGCACTGTTTTGTCGCGCTCGCCGTTATGCTCACTGCTTCCCCTGCGTTTTGACGTACGGCTGCTGTACGCCTCTGCTAACGACATGCTCGCTGTTTCAGGTCCCGGTCTCGCTCCCGCTCCCGCGGCCGTGGCGGTCGCTCCCGCTCCCCGTCCGCCAACGGGCGTGACTAGCCCCCCACTTCCCTCGGTGTTCGTTCGGTGTGTCGTGTCCGTCTGTGTGTGCGGCGTGGCGGGGAGCCGCCCGCCGGGGATGAGACGCGGCGGGAGGGGCCGCCAGGCACCGGTGACGTCATTGGTCGCGTGCGACCGGCGACGGGGCCGCGGCAGCACGGCTCGGACGCGCCGTGCTGCCGCGCGGGAATCATTCAGCGTAGGGTAGCAGTCGAAGAAACCGACGTCGGAGAGTTTCCAGTGGGACTCGGCTGTCCACGAGTCTCCGTCTCGTGTTCTGGTTCAGATTAAAAGATGGATCCGGTGTTCCCGGCCGGGCGCCACGTTTGTGATTGTCGTTGGTATGCACTCTTTCAGCGCGATCTTCATTTGGCGCAAGCGTATTTCGTTGGTTACTCGACCCCAATAAAGATCTGGTAGTGGATGATGTATTTGTTTGGGTAGTGGGCAAAAAGATAATGACACTGGCAGTACACATAGTTTGCTAGCATGCAAGCAGAATGACGCCGTCGTTATCAGGAAACACATTTAATTTTGTTAAGAATGGTCTTGGCAGGAATCCACTTCGCCTAGACCACAGCCTACGACCGATCCGAAAGCGTGTGTGGTTGGCACCGGCTTTTTTTCTCGCTCTTTGTGGTCTGGACAAACACGGGTGCCTGGCGTCAGTCGCACCAGGACAGTCTGTGCCTCATTTGTCATGGACACCAAGTCTTGTTCCGTGACGCGATAAGCTAGTTGCATGTAAGCAAGTGTACACAGCCCATACGTGCCTGCTGCATGTAGCAGCAGCGTCAGGCACGCGCTGGACTGGAGATAACGGAAACAATCCTAGGGTGCTCTCGTCCCAGAGACGCGCCACCTCATCGGAACTCAGCATGTCTGCGAGCGCCATCATTCTCAGTGAGTGCGTCAACGCCATGGTACGGGTACGCAGCGCAAACGTGTTCTGGGAAAACTCCCGCAACCGTAAAAGTAGACCAAATTGGATGCAGCATCTCGCGGAATTACGCGTTTTCCGCCTGTGGGACGCAGCCCGATTGCCTGTAAGGGTGAGTCAGAGTTGTAAGCTCCCACAGACTGTGCCGCGGTGGCCTTAAACCGCCTGCCTGCAAAACACGGACTATGGGCACAAGCGGTCCTTGTGCGCCTGTTTTCGTTCTACGACTAGACGATCTCGTTCTCGAGATTTCGTCAAACGAGTGATAGCTAGCTACCCGAACAATGTCACTGGATTTGGCGAGGGCAGCGAAATGACGGCAACAACCGCAACTCGTACAATGTTACATCCACCGTGCTTTACCCGTGCCACTTGCCAACCCTCGAAGCCATATGCGAGGCCATTGTCGAGAGAGAATGCTGGCCATTAATGTTACTGTGACGCATGGAAAGGACTGACCTACAGATTGGTTTGCTACCCCTCTTACTGAGACGCAGCAGATTGTCCAACCAATCGGGCTCGGCGCCTGTGGCCGACGACCTCTTGATTGTAGTTCTTTGTCCTGAACCTTACCTCTCTTACCATTGGGGTTTAACGAAACGCTCGAGAGATCAGGTCGTTTAGCGTGGAATTTTCTCCCGTTGATTTACGCAAGGCGGGGGCCGATCACATTACTGGCGAAGACAGCTCCAAACCCACACCTTACACCTGAGCTTAACCCCATCTTCCGCCCGCCGTTATCGGAAACCGTTCTCGCATATATCACCCTGCCACCCCTTTCACCTGCCCATTGATTCACGTCATGGCGACAGATGCGTCACTACTTGCTGTCGCTGATGCGCTGACAAACTGCCTCAGTGCAGCACAGCGCCGCCCGCACACGCGAGGCCCTATCGCGGACCCGTGGCTGTGCATACTCCCAGGTTTCATCAAACCGCTCTACTGTACAGCAGATCCTCGCCAACCAAAAGTGACGCCGTATCGGGAAACCGACGTTCTTTGGACCCGCATTTACGAAAAAGCTAGCCACTTGTGCACCGATCGCGTTGCCCGAAGCACATTTGGCATTGTCATGCAAATATCTCTCTGACGTCACCAATCAACGCCGCGTTGGTCGCCGAATTGCTCCTCATGGTGTTCACTTACTGGTGATATTCATTTGGACACTAGTGCACTCCCGGAGACGATCCTCGAGCATCTTTGGACAGCAAGCGCCAGCACCAGCATCACACGGGTGATCTCACACCGTCTTACTGTGTATGCTTCCTTCGATGTTTATCGGCCAGGAAGCTATCGGAACGAAAAAAAAGTTTGTTCTACTTATCGCTGGGTGCTGGCCAAGCCAAGTGGCGGCAGGATCGCCCACTAGGCCATAGTTCGCGCGATCGACAAGGATTCGGGTATCTCTGGAGTTAACGTGAACCTTGGATTGCCATCAGCCCCGTTTTTTGCAGCAATATAACGTGGCCTGAGCTTAGTGCACCAGCAAACAACTAGTGATATCGGATTCAGGTACACATACAGTCACCGGTACGGATTGGCAGAACTGCGCTTCGACGCTCTGTAGAAGGCACGCAATACCGTACCAATCTTCAGGACCGCACGGCAGCCAGGCTGTCGGATCTGTACTTACACTGTGCACGGGCACGAGACCGTAAGCACCTGCAGCACTGTGTAGCACAAGTCGCTCGCCTTCTGTAGATAAGGCTGCGTCGGGAAACTGAACAGGCCGCGGCCACCCGCGAGACGCAGAAGGGCCTCCACACTGGGCCACGTAGTACGGCGCCCTTGACCCTCTCCATATCAAATGTTTGACTACTGCGTTGCATTGCGCTGCCCGTCTTGGCAGCTGATGATACATGAAAACATGTTGCGCAAATGAGCCCGCCTTGCGGAATGAATACAACATGCAGGAGTCGGGAACACTTCACTGCGATAGAAAAACCGCCAGCACTATGCTTACAATACGTTCACATCGCAATGAAAACGCTATTCATATCGCAATAGAAACCTATTGCATGCTTTCACCGCGCATCCACAAACAGCGGTACGGCAGGTACTTCACACTAGCGTTCATTTCACACACTTGCGACGAAGAGCCAGTGGCGTTCCTTTGTTCTGCCGTCGACTTCCCTCCCTCACCATTCATCCCATCCACATCCTGCAGACGTCGGCCACTCACGCACCCCAGACCAGTCCGCCACTCCGACCGCACTCCCTTAGTCACTCTCACTGTCCGAGTAGGCGCCGAGCAGACCCAGGCCCGACACGGCGGCGGCGCCTCCACCAGCGTCGGCCTGGCCCCGCTCCGCCCCGCTCTCCCCCGCTCCGTTTGCCCCTCCCGCAGGCGTCCCATTCGGGACCGGCGTTCCGCTCGGGACGGGTGTCGCACTTGAAGCCAGTGTCCCGTTCGTCCCGGTCCGGCTGGCGCCCGGCGTCCCGTTCGTTCCGGTTCGGCTGGCGCCCGGCGTCCCGTTCGTTCCGGTCCCGCTGGCGCCTGCCCCGGCCGGGATCGGTCTCCCCGGGATGGCTGCTGGTTTGGAGGAGGGCCGGACCAGCAGACCAGCGAGCCGGGAGCCGCCCAGACTACCCAGACTACGCTCCCACGACTTCTTCTCGGCCGCCGGCTCCGGCTTCTGGAGCATAGCGTATGGCCGCTGGGTTAGACGTGTTGTGTGTGTGACAGAGACAGAAGACGAGGCGAGTTGTGCATTTGCTGACTGGGCCAGATGTAGTAACCTAACTGTATTCAACACCTACAAATACCACATAATTCTGCACTATAAAGTTGTAGCATTATTCCTTTCGAGGTAATTGACGTAATAACTAAAGATCAAGAAAGGCACCAACATTTGGACTGAGCATGACAGCGGTTCAGTTCTCGCCCCAGTTTGAGCTGTCCCAGTCACAAGATACACCACGTGTTTATAGACAGATCCCAGCTGCTGGTCGTGCATCACCACCAGCCCGCCGTCGTCCTTCCAACTACTGATCAACGGCCAGTTTGTCTTATGCTGGACCTCAATAACGCACGACCAGAACATAACCACCGTATCAGTGTCCGTCCATATCACGAAAGGAGTTCTCCCCAAACTCTGGAAGTCTCTCCGTGTCAGTCGTTCAGTAGCCGAGCTGGCGCGGAACGCAGCGCCACATGCCAATCCCTCAGCTGACTCAATACGACACGTGCCACCCTACACCACCGCCGACCGGTTCACCCGTCTGCCCCTGTTTCAGACAGCTCAGCTCATTCCTGGCTACTGGTGCTACCTTGGGCGGGGCCAGCAGGTCGGTGGGCTTTTCGGTCGGCTTGGGCAGCTTGGCCCGCAACTCCTCGTCACTGTCCGAGTCGCTGTCCTTGACCCGTTTCACGGCGCTGTCGCCGTCCTTGCCGAACACGGATCTGCAACGAGCCCAGATGGTGTCAAATACCCATGTCCGATACAGTGATGATCACTGCTGAGGCGTCAACGCGCCCAAATCACGACTGTGCAAGTATACCAGAGATTAACTGTCCCGTTTTCCAACACCGCTTTCAAATCGAAGAGGATGCCGCCACTTAAGAAATAGCGCAAGGACTCCAGTGTGTCAGCGAATGCCAGGCTTTGACACAATATTCAAGGCCATGTGAGCGACGTCTGATGTCAGGGCGGCTCACTTGATGTACTCTTCATCCTCCACCTCCTGGCGCTGAAGCTCCGTCTCCTGCTGTTGGCTGTACTGGGCCAGCATGCTGTCGTAGTCGATGTGTGCCTGCCGCTGGTTCAGGTCCTTCAGTTCCTCCAGCTTCTCGATCATGTCCATCTCGTGCCGTGACTGCTTGGTGCGGTTCTCCAGCATCTGAGAAGTCACAGAACATTTGTCATGCAGCAGGTAACGCTCATGATGAACGAAGCCTTCACCGGCAGCCGCTACACGTTGGTCGGTGCAAACCCAATTCGCCAAAGGCAAGGCATGCACGCAGTACACCACCATCTGTTTTAAATCTCACATGGACAACAACGAAGAGCACGTTGCCGCTGTCACTACGCATCGTTCGGCACGCGGAGTTCATGTAGTCAGCGCACACCGCAATCCTAACTCGCACGCCCGCTCGCCGGGGCCCACCTTCATGGGGTTGGACTTCTCCTCCTCCTCAGCTTGCTCGGCCTCCCGCTTGGCCTGGCGCTCCGCCAGGATCTGCGCCTGGAAGTTGCGCGTGGCGCCTGCCTCGATGATGTAATCGGTGTGTTCCGGGTCCGTCTTGAACACTATCTCGGCCATGCACATGGGACACTTGATGTAGAACCGGTAGATGCGCAAGCCCAGGTAGTTCTCGTCGTCCACGTCCTCCTTCCGCGCGTTGAACTTCTTGGCCTTGGCGATGTACTCGCCACACGTGTTGCACCTGGCGACGGAAAATTCCAGCGTACGTGAACATGTAGAACGCTGCCACAAGTGTGCAGTTTCGATGACCAATGCTGGCGAGCAAATCCTCTGGGGAGAGCGATATTTCAAATAACTTCCTCGCTGGGTCGGGCGTCTATCATGGGACATCGGGGCGCAAGACGCAAAGCAAAGAAGCTGCAGTTCACTGCACTCCCACCGGTCCCTTTCTCGTCATTCGCAAGCTGCTGCATAACCCACCAGTCACACAACATCGCAAGCTGCTGCATAACCCACCAGTCACACAACATCGCAAACTGCGTCGCGAGCTGTTAGTTTACCATTCCATGATCCGCCGCGACCCAGCCGTAGACACTGGTGTATCTGGGGCCTGCTGAGCCCACTACTCACTTCATGTTGCACGGGGCCATGAGGCGGACGGTGAACGTCTTGTTTCTGGCCACCTTACTCCGCGGGATGTTGCTCGGATCGAAGTCCGGCGGGTAGTATTTCTGAAGGAAGCGCAAGTTGTCTCAGGAAAACCAGCACGCCGCTAGATTTCAGCAGTTCATTAAAAATGCTTAACAGGTTCCAAGTAATAATTATAGTAGTCTTCACGTAAGCTGTTAAGCGCACTTGCAAGGAACATTTTGCATGTAGATAAGACAGTAGTGATAACACTATTCCTCGTGGAAAAGCCACGAGAATGGAGAGATAGACTCGTTCATATTCTGGAAACATCTCTTTATCGAAACACTATTCGTCATCATATTATGCTAAACACCACTGTTATTCGTTTCAATGAAGGTGTGTTACCGAAACGATCTATATCTCCATTCTCACGGTTTTTCTACGAAGAGTAATGTCATTACTACTGTCTCAACTATTTTGCAATCTCCATCTTCATATGCAGGTGATGACCACATGACAATGCACAGAACTCTTTAAACATATATGCCATTCAGCTCAATGCCTGCTTCAAATGAATCTACCCAACACCTTTTCGATGAGCGGGGCTTCCTAGCGGGAATATCGCGTTCGTTGGATGTTGTTATTTGCTCCGTTACGGGCTCCAGTCTCAATGAGGTTACTGGATCAACCCGCATTGGATGAGCCCACATTGTTCAATTGCATTGCTGCTTGGTGATATTGTTTACCAGGTAGCAAAACATTCCTGGCTTTAAATAGAAGTCAGTATAAAATACTACCAGGCATAAAAAAACTTGCTTTCATAGTTACCAATAAGCAATATGAACACCACAAGCAGTGAAAAACGCGGCAAATTCGTCGCCCCCCAATGGTGTAACAGTGCAATACTGGGCAGAAATCATACAAATCTGGGTTTGAATCTCAACAGACTTGAATTTCCCACACTACTTGACAGGCAGCATTACCAACCACATTGCACAGCAGCAAGACAAAGCTGGCTCATCGCACCCATAAAAGCTGAGAAAAACAGCATTGTGCATTGATGTTTTTCCACAGAGCTTAGAACATTTAATGACATGTTTTGTGCAATATTGCCCATCACAAGAAGCTGGTACCAGCATGAGGCACACAAGCCACCATTCCAGATGCCAGATGCAATGTTATTTGATACCAGACTTCAATCTGAAGAGCAAATCATCTCAAGCAGTCTCAAGCAGAAGTCCTCACATCATCTTAAGCAGTCTCAAGCAGAAGTCCCAGACCCTTACACCTCCAACACCCTATGTACATGATACAAGGCCTTTCAAGATGGCTTTGAGGGGGTGGCTGTGGTAAAGTGGATAGCTCACTCAGCTCTGGGCTTGTTGGTCCTTGGTTCAAGTCCCTGGCACACTATTACAGCATCCCACATGGTATATAATAATGGCAAAATGTTTTAAAATGGCTCTGACAGTTTGTCAGACATAAAGCCCTAATCACTAATGTGAGGGTCGAGAGGTGGGTTTGTGTGAGTTATGACATGGGAGAGCTGTATGTGAGGGTAACATGAGGGCTGCATCTCGGCCTAGGGCTCTCTGAGGCCTCTCCTTATGTGTTTGTGTGTTTTCAGGTGCTTTGCCCAAGGCTTTAATCAGTGCTCAGGGGCTTGTTTTCAGGGGGAAAGGCCATTCATTTTAAAGACCAGGCTAACCAGGAACATTACTCATGCCATGGAGACAAACCTTGCCCAAATCCCAATGCATTTGGGGAGTAGAACAAGGCAGCTGCTGGATGACCTGTATTATGGTTGTGTACTACCCAATGCTATCACAAAGTGATGGGGCAAGATCATTGTCAATGGGTGGCAATGGAGTGGCAGGAACCCATGTGCCCCTTATAGCAAACTTTTGCTCCTACTATGGCAGGAGCTAATATAGCCATCATGGCATCTTAATGATACCATGACAATTAGTAATCACATCAACTAATGCAATTATTTTGCACACAATTTGACATCCCTGTCATATATTCAAATGGTGAGTCCCAAACTGGACCAAACATTGTTTGGGAGTGGGAATAGCATGTTGAGCTAACCCAAGTACAGTCAAGACAACTAACATATTACTCTCTGCTATTCAAAGCTTGCAAATGCACACGAATGATCATATTCAAATGATGACATCTGGGAACTTTTTCTAATTTATCATAAGATACAAGTACACCACACTACTTACATTGAGGACTTTTCTCTCAGACATCTTGAAAGTTCTGAGAAGTGTAAGTTTCTACTTGTTGAAACACCTGGGAAAAAGAAAGCAATAACTGTGTCAGTTCAACAAGCAGTCAAGTTTTACAACCATGTTTAGACACCTAGCAACTAACAGAAGCCTTGATAGCAACAATACAGCAGCTGTGAAACATCTTACCATGTGCTGTAGAACCAGGAACATAGGCAATGCTGCAGGGAAATTTTGTGCTGACTGATAGCCAAAATATAGCACTAGTTGAGCATGGTCAAGGGTGGGGTAGGGGGCTTTTTTTTACTTGGGTACCTGTATTGCCGACGGTGGGGAGAGAGCTACGCTGGCTGCAGGGTTCCCGTACTGCCATGATGGAGAAATGCTGTTAGGTATCAGCCGACGTAGTGACGTCACTGAAAATGGGTTTGCATCGATCTGGGTTCTTTTGGGCCGACTGAAGGCTACAAGGCATTTGCTAGCGATATGATGTCACTGGTATTCGACTGGATATGTGACGTCACTGGTTGTGAGGCTTTAGGGCTCTTTTGGGTGCAATGAATGCCGTAAAGCATCACCTGACGATATGTCGTCGCTGGTATTCAATGAAACATCAGGCGCAACGGGCCTTATTCCATCTTTACCTTTCGTACCTGTCTGCTGCAAGCATTTGCGTGCCGAATAAAAGCTTGACCGAATCACCTGAATGTGTGACGTCACCAATCATCACTTGATACGAGTGCACTTAGGCCCCACGGCCGCGGTGTATCATGTTCCGTGAAATATCGCTGGGTATCGTGACGTCAGTGATATTCGACTAAATATTGGTCGCAACAGGTCAAGGTTCATTTTTAGCTTCGTACCTGTCTACTGCAAGCATTGGCGTGATGAATAAAAGCTACCAAATCACGTGAGTGTGTGACGTCACTGGTCATGCATTTTTATGGATCTTTGGGGGCCAACTGAGGGCCGTAAAGCATAGCCTAATGATGTGACGTCACTGGCATTCGACTGTGTGTGATGTCACTTGTGATCAGATTTTACGGCCTCTTTTGGGCCGATGAAAGGTCATACTACATTAACTGAAGATGTGCCGTCACTGGTATCCGAATACAATTCAGGCGGCCATGGCCATGCCCCATCTTTGCCTTTGGTACCTGTCCATTGCAAGTATTTGAATGCTGAAGGAAGGGTCTGCCGAATTACCTGAGTGTGTAACGTCACTAACCATTAATTTGTATAGACTGTTTTGAACCCACTGTAAGCCATACCACATCAGCTGACCATATGACGTCACCGGTTTTCGTCTAGGTGTCATGCGCAACAGGCCATGCTCTATCTTTGCCTTTCGTACCTGTTTACTGCAAGCATTCGCGTGCTATATCAAGGTGATGCTGAACCATCTGAGTGCGTGACGCCACTGGTCATGAGTTTATACAGGTTCACTTGGGCAGCCCAATGCAATTGAGCATCATATCCTGTAAAGCATCGCGGGATGATATGACGTCACTGGTATTCGACTCAACATCAGGCGCAACAGGCCATGTTCCATCTTTACCTTTCGTACCTGTCTACTGCAAGCATTCGCGTGTTATATCACGTCATTGGTTAAGAGTTCTTACGGGCTCTTTTCAACCCCCTATATGGTATAATGCTTCAGTTGACGATATGATGTCACTGGTGTTCGACTTAGCATCAGGCACAACATGTCATGTTCCATCTTTGCCTTTCGCACCTGTTTAAGTATTGGCGAGCCTAATGATGGCTCTGCCGAATCACCTGAGCATGTGGTGTAACTGGTCATGAGTTTACACGGGCTTACTCGGGCTGACTGAAGGACATCAAGCATCACCTGACCATATGACGTCACTGATATTCGGGCTGTGGCCCAAACTTATGGCCGCTAGGCGGCGCCCTTGATTATTATTTAGCCATCAGGGCATTCCGGACCGTAGCTGCTCAGGGGCGCATCCTGTGATGTCGGGCGGAATAGCGTTGCATATACGTCGGTTTGTGGGCTGGGATCACCTTTGTTTTGTGTTTACGTTTGTTCAAAATTTTAGTCGTTGAAACAGCCCGTTGCGTTTGAAGTTGTTACTTAATGGTGCGCACAATAAAATTAGTGTGCTTAACTATGGTGCATCTCCCACCTCTGCTGCGGAACTCCGTAGCCGTAGGTGACCAAGTGACCTCCTACCAACTGATGATCAGTGACGTCACATACTCAGGTGATTCGGCGGAGCCTTCATATAGCACGCGAATATTTGCAGCAGCCAGGTACGAAAGGCAAATATGGAGCATGACCTGTTGCGCCTGATGTTTAGTCGAGCACCAGTAACGTCATGTCGTCAGCTGATGCATGATAACCTAAAATGGGTTCAAAGGAGCCCGTAAAAAACTCGTGATCAGTGACGTCACACACTCAGGAGATTCGACGGAGCCTTCATTCAGCACGTCAATACCTTTAATAAACAAGTACAAAAGGTAAAGAAAGTACGTGGCATGTTGGACCTGATGTTAAGTCGAATAACAGTGACGACAATCATCCTGTGATGCTTCACGGGAGGTGTTGCTTTGTGGCCTTGGGCGGCCCAAGTGAATCCGTATGAACTCACGACCAGCGACGTCACCCACTCAGATGATTCGTCTGGAGTTTAGTCGATTACCAGTGACGTCATATCGTCAGCTGATGCTTGATGTCCGTCAGTCAGCCCGAGTAAACCTGCACAAACTCATGGCCAGTTACACCACACGCTCAGGCGAATCGACAGAGCCTTTTTGTAGCGCACGAATACTTGCAGTAGGCAGGTGCGAAAGGTAAAGATGAAACATGGCTTATTGCAACTGATGTTAATTCGAATACAAGTGACGCCATAACGTTATCTGATGCCTAATGACCTGAACTCGGCCAAAAAAGGCCCGTAAAAGCTCATGACCAGTGACGTCACACACTCAGTGGATTACCAGTGACGTCATTTCGTTAGCTGATGCCTTATGGCTTTCGCTCAGCCAAAAATAGTTGGTAAAAATTCATGACCAGTGACGTCGCACACTCAGGTGACTCGGCAGAGCCATCATTTAACGCACCAATACTTTACAGGTACGAAAGGCAAAGATGGAACATGACCTGTTACGCCTCATGTTAAGTCGAACACCATTCACATCATGTCGTCAACTGATGCATTTTTCCCTATAGAGGGTTCCAAGGAGCCAGAAAAAACTCATGACCAGTAACGTTACACACCCAGGAGACTCGACAGAGCCTTCATTCAGCACGTCAATACTTGTAATAGACGGGTACGAAAGGTAAAGATAGAACATGGCCTGTCGCGCCTGATGTTAAGTCGGACACCAGTGACGTCATATCATCAGCTGATGCATTATACCGTTTGGGGGTGCAAAAGGTCCCGTAAAAAGCTCTTGACCAGTGACGTTACTTACTCAGGAGACTCGACAGAGCCTTCATTCAGCACGCCCATACTTCCAAGAGACAGGTACGAAAGGTAAAGATGGAACATGGCCTGTCGCGCCTGGAGTTTAGTCGAATACCAGTGACGTCATATCGTCAGCTGATGCTTGATGTCCTTCAGTCAGCCAGAGTAAACCCGCGTTAACTCATAACTAGTTACACCACACGCTAAGGTAATTCGGCAGAGCCCCTGTGTCGCGCGAATACTTGCAGTAGATAGGTGCGAAAGGTACAGACGAAACATGGCTTAGATGGAGCATGGCCTGTTGCGCATGATGTCTAGTTGAAACCCAGTGACATCATATCGTCAGCTGATGCCTTGTGGCCCATAGTAGGCTCGAAAGAGTGTGCAAGTTAATGGTCAGTGACGTACACACTCAGGTAATTTGGCAGAGCCTTCCACGGCAATGCTTGAATGGACAGGTACCAAAGATAAAGGTGGAACATGGTCTGTCGCGCCCGAAGTTCATTCGAATACCAGTGACGTCACATCTTCAGTCATTGCCGTATGACCTTTCGTCGCCCCAAAAGAGGCCGTAAAACCTCATGACCAGCGACACGCACAGTCGAGTGCCAGCGACGTCACATCGTTAGCTGATGCTTTATGGTCTTCAGTTGGCCGCACAAAAAATCCGCCAATACTTGCAGCAGACATGTACGAAAGGTATAAATGGAGCATGACCTGTTGCCTGATGTTCGGCCAAATACCAGTGACGTCATATCGCCAGCTGATGCCTAACGGCATTTCGTCGGTCCTATAGGGCCCGTGGAAACCCACGGCCATTGACGTCTTACAGTCGTATAGCAGTGACGTCGTTAGCTGACACCTTGTGGTCTTCAGTTGGCCGAAAAGCACCGTTGGAACTCATGGCCAGTGATGTCACACACTCAGGTGGTTCGGCAGCTTTCATCCAGCACGCCAATGCTTGCAGTAGACAAGTACAAAGGTAAAAATGAAGCACGGCCTGTTGCGCCCAGTTTTTATTCGAATACCAGTGACGTCACGCTATCCGGTGATACTTCGCGGACCACGACACACCGTGGTCGTGGGGCCTAAGTGCACTCGTATGAAGTGATGATTAGGGACGTCACACATTGGGGTAATTCGGTCAAACCTTTATGCGGCACGCAAATGCCTGCAGCAGACAGGTACGAAAAGTAAAGATGGAACGAGGCCGGCCGCGCCTGATGTTCAATCGAATACCAGTGACGACACATGGCCAGCTGATGCATTACGGCATTCAGTGGACCCAAAAGAGCCTTACACACTCACGACCAGTGACGTCACATACCCAGCCGAATACCAGTGACATCATATCACAAGCAAAAGCCTTATGGCCTTCAGTCGGCCCGAAAGAACCCCGATCCCGATCGATGCAAAACCATTTTCAGTGACGTCACAATGTTAGCTGATGCCTCACAGCTTTTGCCCCGCACGACAATACTCGAAACCCTGCAGCTAGCGTAGCTCTTCCCTCCGTCGGCCATACAGGTACCCAAGTAAAAAATTACCGGGTAGGGTTGGGTTGTTACAGACAACACCTTATTCCAGGCCAACATGAAGTTGCATGTCAACAGCATGTAACCATAATGCACAGGGGGGCCTATGCTTAAGTTTGATAAAGGTAATAGAAATGTTATTTAAAAATGATTAACAATGCTGCACCCAGCAATCATCAAATACACGTATTGAACACAGCAAATATATGACATCTGCCTCTGCAAAACCAGCAGGCAAACCAAATGTGGTGCTTATGGCACTTGTCATTTTCCGTCCCTGCAGCGTGCAATTTATCACTCACGCGCACCCCACTCGTGCCCACCACCACCCCACCACGCGCAGTACAACGTTGACTGGCGTTGACTGACTTGTCTGGCTCAATCCGGTCAAGGCCGTAAGTTTGGCTGGGAGGGACTAAAAGACCGACATAGCAAGCTGACATACTCATTTTCCAAAATTGCTGGTTCAACAGCTTCAAAATTTCCTTAAGCGGCTAAATACAAATAGGTTAGTATAAAGAAGGAAATTTTGTGACGTGAAAAGTAAAACTAAGGCTATCTAACGGGTTAAACACCTCAGGAGCGCGAAGGGCGTATTTCAAATTCGAAAGCAGACAAATCAGATATCAGAACCTACCGCTCTGATCGCCACCAAGCCTTTACTTTTCGATGCACTATGCCTGGTTCCCAACTACAGTTGCGAATATGGTGTGGCAAACAAATCTGATTTTCCTTTGTATAATCCGAAATTAAGGCCACCCGTATCAGGCAAGTGACGTCATTTGCTGCGTGAATTTCTTCTTACTCCTTGGCGGAGGCGTGCGGGCGCCACCATGTCATTGCGTGGTGCATGGCGTCGCCATGGGGGCGGACGACGTTTCAGTATACCCGGGGCAGATTCCTTCCAGATGTGCCAGAATGCCACCTGTGCGGCCAGCGATTGGCCATGCGTTCCGAGACCGAAAATATCAGTGTCGTACCAGCTCGGGAGCTGTGCGCGAACCCCAGGCGGGCGCACGCTTACACCGTGCGCTTTATTCATTTTACGCTCTGGCAACCACCGTTATTCTTACTCTTTATGCCACCGCCATCGCGAGCACACAGCCAAAATCTTTGGTTACACTTTTAAGGAATTTTCCGGGCCGCCGTATTATGGCCATCACTCTACGGGCAGACCGGCCGCAGTTACCTGTCCGCGGTTAAGGGTGAATTGAACAAAAAAGGCTGCGTCGGCAGATAACCGAAATTCGACGAGTGTGTTGTGCTGGACGCTGATCGCCCCATACCAGCGCTATGGAATGCACACAGTTGCAGTCGTCGGGTTAGATCAAAAACGTATTTTTAGGGTCGCCGTAAACTCTACTAGCATGCCGGCAGATATTCGCTATACGCCGCCACTGCTTAATTTGAAAAAAAAAATGCGATGTCAACCGACGGGAGATTTGAATAGCCGGCCGGTAGTGCTCCCACAATGATATCGTCAATCGTGTGCGCAAGGTCGTAGCCTCCACGCCGAAGTAAAAGTATTGCAAATTCGACGCTCTGGCTGTTTAAATCAAAGATCTATCCGGTCCGCAATCATTGAGCGATACACCATCGGGGAGCACACCAAATAAAATCGAAACCAAAGTCCGACGAGTGTGTCCTACGGGCAGCTGATGCTCCATACGAGGGCTAATGAATGCAAGCAGTCACATTCCGTGGGCTCGATTGTGAGTTTTTTTCGTACCGCTGTATTATGGCCATCATTCTACAGACAAGCCGGCCCCAGATAGGCAAGCGCAATCTAGGACTAATTTCAACGGAAAAATTCATGTTGGCCGAAAGGATTACATCGCGGGACGATGGCGCTCCCACCATAACATCGTGTTGGCAAGGCTGCACGTTTCGAACGCATATAAATGTATTTCGAATTGGATACTGTATCTGTGCAAATGCCTGCTGCCTTCGGCGCCCAAGCATTGAGTGATACGCTGTCGGGGAGGGGGGAGTCGAACGAATCAAATTAAAAACAAAATCTGACCAGTGTGTTGTACTGGCAGCTGATAGTCGTAATACACCGTAATCAAGTACACACTGTAACAATGCTTGAGTTCCATTATAACTATTGTCCCCGGGTCGCCCCATAATGGCCACAACTCTAGGGGCAGGCTGGCATCAATCAAATATGCGAGGTTAAAGGGGTGATTGCAGCCCACGTCGGCCGATGACAAATGTACATTGCCGGTCGATAGCGCTCCTACAAAGACCTTAGTGTGCGCTTGGTTGAACCATCCGCTCATAAATAAAAGCATTTAAATGGGCCAGCATATCTGCACAATTCAACGCTGCGTCCAGCTCCCAAGCATTGTCTGATACACTGCCGGGGTGTTAACCAAATAAACTTGAAACCAAAATATATTGAATGAGCTGTACTGGCAGCTGATAGCCCTATCGGACTACCACAGCCGCAGAGCTCGGGTTCGATCATCAGTATCCTTTCCGAGCCGACGTAGCATTGTCTCTCTATGGCCAGGCCGGTCGCAGTTAGCCATACGCCATCAAGGGGTAATTTCAACAAAAAAGATCACCCCGACCGATCAGAGAATTACATCGCTGGCTGATGGTGCTCTCAGAATTACATTGCTGGCTGATCGTGCTCTCAGAATTACATTGCTGGCTGATCGTACTCTCAGAATTGCATCTTGCGCGCAAGATGTCGCACCGCCCGCGGTCAGGTGAAACTATTTCGACTTGGACACCGCAACTGTGCAAGTCGTCGCTCCGGCAGGACTCCAAGCATTAGGTGATGTGCTGTCGGAGGATCGGTCCGATAAAGTCGAAGCAAACATTCAACGAGTGTGTCATACTGGTAGCTAATAGCCCTGCTTTGAGTATTCTCCCTGGCCACCGTGCTGCGTTCATTTCTCTACGGGCATGCCTTCCGAGGATAGCCATACGCCGTCAAGTGATGATTTTAGCACCCAAACGTCGTGTCGGCCGATAAGCTATTCGTCATGCTGGCCGATGGTACCCCCACGGTGACTGTGGTGTCTCCATACACCACAGATCCCCACGATCCTCACTGCTGCCCTGCACCCGTCTTTGGTGGATCCTGCGCGCGCTGGACTCGACGGGCAGTGGAGGAATCGGCTGGTGGCTACCGCGTGGGTCGTACGTGCGCGTAACCATAATCAGCGTGCGTTCCCGAATATCTATCCCGACCGGACTCCTGAGTGTCAACGGCGCAGCCGCGGTGACGGAAGACTCGAAGGATGGAACAATGACGTCGCGTTCACAAGGCTGGTCCTTCCGCGCCCAAATAAAATAATGCAAAATTGGATTCTGCGTTTATTGTACTGGCTTCTGATAGCCCTATACCAGCACTATCGAGTGCACATAGTCGGAATCTTCGGGTTGGGTGGTAAGTGTTTCTCTCGGGTCACCGTATGATGGCCATCACTCTACGGGCAGGCTGACCGCGGATAAATATGCTCTGTTAATGGGCTATTTAGACAAAAAAGGTCACGTTGGCCGATGATAGGTTAACATTGTCGGCTGATGGTGCCCCGACAATGAAATGGCGAGCGAAAGGTTATAGCTTCCAAGCACAAGTAAAGTATTTCAAATTGAACGCCGGATCGGTGCAAATCACCGATCCGGCCGCTCTCTATGCTTTGAGTGATATCCTGTCGGGGTGGGAAGGCGGAATGGCCGACCGAAGAAAGTAATAACAAAAATCAAACGGGCGTGTGGCACCGGCATCTTAAAGCCATTTAGCACAGCTGTCGATTGCGTGCAGTCGTGATCGTAGTGTTCCGTTACAATTACTTTTCCCGGGCCGCCGTATCATGGTCCTAACTCTACGGGTGTGCCCACCAAAGGTGGCCATGATCCGTCAAGGGGTGATTTGAACAAAAAGGTCATGTCGACCGATGAGAGGTTTACATCGGTGATCGATAGCGTTCCCACAGTGAAATGGTGTTCGGAAGGTTGCACCTTCAGGGCGCAAGGAAAGTATTTGAAATTGCACATCTCACGCATGCAAATCCCCTCTCTGGCCGGCCCCCATGCATTATGTGATACGCCGCCGCGGAGGGGGGGGGGAGGGAGAGGGGGGGAACGGACCGAGTGAAATCGAAACCAAAATCCGACGAGTTCGTTGTGCTGAATAGCTGCTGGGCCTATACGAGCGCTATCGAATGCACGCAGTCGCATTTTTCAGACTCGAATATGCATAGTTTGTCCCGGGGCCACCGTATTATGGTAATCACTCCACGGCAGGACTGCAGCAACTAAGACATGCGCCGTAAAGGGGTGATTTGGACAGCTCAGGTCATGTTGGCAGATGCGAGACCCACATTGCCGGCCGATAGTACCGCCACAATGACATTGTGTGTACGGGGTTACCTGCCGCGCATAAGTAAAAGTATTTGACATTGGACGCCGCATCTGTACAAATCACTACTTCGGCCGACCGACGGGCATTGAGTGATTATGTGGCGAAGGACAACCAAATGGAATCAAAACCAAAATCCGACGAGTTGGTTGTGCTGTCAGCTCATAACCCTTTGCCATGGATGTCAAAGGCACGCACTTGCAATCCCCGGTTACATTTATAGCTGTTTTTTTTCCGGGCCGTGGTACTATGGTTAGATAGGCGCTGTCAATGGGTGATTTGGACGAAAAGAGATCATGTCGGGCAATGGGGGATCTGCATTGACAGCCGATAGGGCTCCTTCAATGGCATCACGTGCGTAAGGCTGCATCTGAAGATGAAGAATAAAAACATATACATTCCGCAGATACGAATTTGAAAATCATCGCAGTATTCGGCCGCCAAGCAATGAGTGATACCCATTAAGTGGACCAAATAACATCGAAACATAATTCCGACGAATGTTTTATACTGGTAGCTGAGAGATCTACACAAGCGTTATCGAAGAAAACACGATCGCAGTCTTCGAGTTTCATTGTAAGCATTTTTTCCGACCCGGCGTATTAACACGCGCCCGGGTGGCCGGCTAGATACCCTTCGCTCAGGAGTGGGGTCAATTTGCCCCCCTGAGATCTCAGGAACTAAGAAAGCTAGAAACACCAAACTTTCAGGGTGTCTTGATCTGTACGTAAACTCGCTTAGGTCAAAGTTTGAGCTTTCTAGGTCATGACCTTCAGGTCAGATAAGGTCAAACAAGGTTAAACTTTAGGTTGGTCTCCAAAGTGCCCTCAGAAACTAGGCAACTGTTTCTAAGCAAAAGGTAAAAAGCCCATTTGAGGTCAGTGGCCTTTTTTGACCTTTGAAGGTCATGGTGACTCAAATCATACAAGACTGCTTTGAGTTTTGCATTTGAATAAGCGACAAAGGTTACGCCTGACAGCATGTCCCTAAAAAAAATGTCGACCCGGGTCATCTTGGGTCAATGACCTTTTCTGACCTTTAAGAAGTCAATGGAAGATGTATAATGTGGTTTCTACAGTCAATGAATTCGAAATTAGCACCACAAACTATCCCATACAGCAAGCCCTAGAGTAATAAATCAGGTTGGCTGTGACCTTGGTCTGAGCTTCATACCTGACCTCAAGTCAACGTAATTTGCTTATCCAATATTTGTGGTGCCTAAGAAAGCATCTCAGAGATCCATGGCTTCGTCAAACACTCCGTTATTGTATCAGATTGGGCAATTCCCTAGAAATTGCCTTTGATGAAACCATGGCCTGAATTTGACGTGCCATAGGTCAGCAACTTTACAAGGTACATCTAAATGTTTTATGCCAAGCGATCCGCTTTCAACTGTCTCCTGCTGTGCAAGATTTGGCACGGCTACACCGCGCCGTTCGGAAACCATTCTGGAAAAACCTTTGGGGGGTCAATTTGACCCCCACCCGAGCGCGTGTTAACGCCATCACTCTAGGGGCAGGAAGGCTCCGGTTATGATCTGGAAGGGATGTTTTGAAGAAAACAGGTCACAATCGACCGATCAGAGATGTACATTACTGGCCGGTAGTGCTCCCAGAATGACATCGTGAACGCGAGGCTGCACATTCCGCACATGAATAAAAGTATTTCAATTTGTTAAATAAATATTTTTCCCGAAACCTTTGAATGGATGGATTTCTGGGATCAGAGCTCACGCTAAGCAGTGCTTGTTGTGTGAGCCCTGACCCCTACCACCCGATCGCGCAATTCCATGTCAACGGCAGAATTTGGTGGCGAAAGATTAACGTGCCGCAGTGCTCGGCACGGTCTGTCCTGTCCTCTGACGTTAACTGACCTTCAGCGCGACCGCCGCCACCGGCCGCAGGCCATACCTGTCAAGGGCAAATAGCGAGCGCCCTAAAGCTATTCATACCCACCCCGCCACGGGTGGGTGGATCGAAAAGGGGGCGCTCTAGCCAACTGAGCCACCAGGACGGAAATATGATTTGTGCAAATGATTGTTTCAGCCGACCGACAACCTTTGGGCGATCACTGTCGGGGCCATCGAATAAACAAAATGAAATCCGACGGGCTTATTGTCCTGGGAACTGATGGCCCCATAACGGCACTATCGAATGCACACAGTCGGATTATTCGGGTTGGGTTATAAGCGTTTGTTCCAGGTCACCGTATGGAGGTCATCACCCTACGGGCAGGCTGGTTGCAAATAGATATGCTCTGTTAATGGGCTATTTGAAGAAACAAGACCTTGCCGTTGATTTCCATTGCCGGCCGATAGTGCTCCCAAAATGGCTAGGTGTGCGGAAGGCCGCGCCTTCAAAGTTGCGCCTTCACACGCGGTATTTCACTTCATTTTAGTAAACACTTAGTCCTTTACTTATGACTGCAGACCTTACTGGAAGCAGTGTCCGCGCTAACTGGTGCCTGCTGCGTGAGCTCTAACACCACTCTTCGATAGCGGAATTCCGGGTCAGCCGTACATTTGTGCTGCAACGCTTGCACTGCCCGGTCACGCACGCGCTGCTACCGGCCGCAGCTCATGCCAGCCAGGATGGGAACCCGAGCCGACTGAACCATTCGGACAAGGCGGCTATAAAGGAACGATCTACGGAAGGGAAGGGAAAAACAACAATTTTGCGGACAAACTTCAGTGCTCAGGGAAAACGATGGCACCTCCAGAATAAAGAAACGACGCATATGGAACGAAAGACAAGAAACCATAACAAAATTGCATAGCATAACAACTTTTTATGTTAACAATGGCGTTTGATTTCCATGTAGGAATGGTAATTCGACCAGCATACGGGACTCTTTCAATGCGTTCCTCTGATAAAAAACATCGGTAGCATTAAAGTCCTTCACTAGTACCAGCAATCATGCATTTTAGTTCGTGGAGTCAAATATCCAGATGCATCTCACGTTCTGGACTTCTAGGTATGTCAGTGGTGTTTTTCAGTGTTTTTGTTTAGGCCGCATGGCTCTGACCGAGACGTATCACCTCGCCCAAATCGGTTCAGTATATTTCAAAATCTTAGAGTGGTGGTCTAATCGCTTTTCTCGACTGGAAGTAGGACACAAGTATCTGCACACAATGGGTCACATGGTTTCGTTCTGTTTTGTTGTTTTTTTCCTTCTAAACGCTCCGTTTTGTTGTTCCGGGGGTGCCAGTGTTCTTTTCCCAAATGCCGAAGGCTGCCAGCAAAAAAAGGAGAAAAAAAGATATTTCCGTTCGCCTCTTTTCGCAGCTCGTCCCAACAGCTCAGTCAGTTCGAGCGCCTGCGTTCTGATTCAGCTACTGGTGGTTGGGTGGGCTCGCATCGCTTTATGTGATTATTTGGCTCTGGCTGGCATGGACTGCGCCCGAGAGCAGTGCATGCAGTGAAGGTCAGATGACGCCAGAGAGTCCTACCCTCAGACAGAGCCGGCGCCACGAATTTTGAGTTGGGGGTGGGGGAGGATTTTCCAGGTGGCTCCTGGACTAAATGGGGCCTCTTTACAGGGGGCTGCTGAGTGGCATAATATTCAAAGGGGTGGGCACTGAAGGCATGTGCCTCCTCATGAACTAAAAAAGCCCTCAGTGGAGCCGTCTTACTATCCAGCAAGCTGAGGGAGCCTTTGGACACCTGGGTCCACTCCCGCGGTTTGAAAGTAAATACAATTGACGAAGTATGGCTCCCACTACTGTTTGGTTCCTCAAGGATGCAAGGTGCGAGTGCTCCAACGTGAGGAGCCTTGACGTAGTGTTTGACAAACACTTCACTTGGGATTCTCACACATCTGTCTTCGTCAAAAAACGCATCAGTATCCTCATCGGGCTGTCCCACGTGCGATAACGCCAGACCTGCCTACCCTAGTCAATGCATTGGTCCTCTTGCACGTTCGCTGTTGCCTTGCCGTCTGTGAGAACGGGTCGGAGAAAGCACAGCCTCATAAACTCTTGAACTTTGCGCTGAAGGTTGCCTCTGCCCCTCGCAAACTGGATCACATCTCGGACGTGCGTGAGGAACTGGGCTGGTCCACTGCCAATCAGCTCTACCACCAGCATTCCGTTAACTGGATTTACTATATATGCGTTACCGCTGAACCGCAAACTCTAACATACAGGACAGCTTACTCCTCACTCACCTGCCGCTCGCGTCTTTTAAGCGTGAACTATGCAATTATTGAGCTAGAACTTGATGAATAGACGTGCATATGTGTGTGTGCACCTGAGGTGTGTTCTAAATGCGCAACTGTGATGCATTCCCGTGTGATTGTTGCTACGAGTGTCCTTTTTAACACGCATTATCCCTTTTTGACCTTGTCGACTAGACACATGTGACAGTCATTTTATGTTGGAGCGTTTGAAACTTCAAGACATACATATATACGGACAGTAGAGCAACAAAATCTAGGGCTGAAAAGGTATTCCGGGTGAAGTGTGGAATATTCCACAAAAACGACGAGGAGAAGGAAGGACTCCTTGACAGAAGGCTGCAGCAGGAGCAACAGCGCAGGCCCAGGGTATGTCGTGCCAGATGGGCGTGACCTGCGGATAAATCAATGACGTCCTGTGCATTGACATCTCGTGTTTCGCTGTACATCAGAGAAGTTATTTAGCCCAGTCCAGAGTTGTAGAAAAAGTGCGCCAGATGGCCACAGCAGCCGAAACGGCTTAAAATCGTAATCCGAAATCCTGAGAAACGAATAGCGTGAGGAAACATCATAAGAAAGGAATAGTTTGAGAAAACAAAATCGTAAGAAATGAATAGCGTCAGGAACTATCCTAAGAAAGGAATAGTTTGAGAAAACAGAATCGTAAGAAATGAATGCCTTGAGAAAAATCCTGCAAACGAGCACATCGAGAAAGACACCGCAACCGACAATGCCAAAGGAAGTAAGACAGTTGCCACCACATGTCACAACGCAGAAATGGCCAAAGCATACGCACAAACCCTCACACTTTAAGCTAACACGCCACTACCGAAAACGCTACCTTGTGGCGCACAAGAGCATCATACACGAGTACCGGCAACCATTTCCTGTGGTCACCATCCTACGGACACGCTCCGCGCCGCACCGCCGGTGGGGCCGGAAAAGCCTGGGGTCTGCAGGCGATGACATCGATGATAAAAAACATGGCGGTTTAGTTTAGGTTGGCTGTCGCAAACTTGGAGTGCGACAAAGGTGTCGCGACAAAATGTTGCGGGATATATTGGCTATGATAGTGCCAGTGCGTCAGCGGATGCTTCACGGCGAGGTCACCCTCGGGTCAGGCCGCTGCCTGTTGTTTTCAAGCTTGCTCTCGGAGCAGGCTACATTGGCTGCCCCACGGCCGCTTCGTGACAAGATTGCTCGGCGAATGCACGGACGAGCTGGACAAAACGGGCTTGAATAGCCGTGGTTGTGATATCTGCCTTTACACACCTTGCGTGATGGATTCCCTTGTCCCCCGTACTGGCGACCGTGCCTCGACGGAGGCTGCAGGAAACGGTATCGATTTCAAAATATGGACACGTCCAAATATGACAAAAGGAGGCGGTTGGATTCCACACTACAGACAACCTATCGAAACGCCCCTGCCCGCGGCGTACAAGCCGGGAATGGCCACCGCTGTGGCCGCCGAGATGGTCCCGCTGACGCTCAAACTGGCTGGATCACTTAATTTGTTCTCACCACACAAGATATCATCCCTGCAGAAAGGTCTAGTCACAGTTACACCACGGAGTGTTTTGTATATGAAATATATTGCAACAGTTTCGCGAGTATAACGGCGGAGAACATCACAGGAGTTTTCATAGTGAGCGACAAAGTCGACCGATTGGTTAGTAAAAGGTACAAAATAGGGTATTTAAAACCACAAAATACTTAGAAAGTCGATGCATCTCTTACGCATTGCATTCAACGTCAGCAGCTAACCAAACGTCAAGCTGGTGAGCCAGCCAATCAATGTTAAGCTCATGAAAAAGCGCATACTGAATGCATGGCGCCATAAATGGCGTATGTACATGGTGTGGTCCAACGGATGGCAGATGCCGTAGGTTGAACAAACGCATACGCATCATTATCTACAAAACACAGACCCGATCGCATCACAGCCTTAATCAATATCGGAAAGCACAACAGCAAGCGAGCTCACGCAGTAAGCGTCTCCCCCGCCACAGCGGCGACGACGGGCGCGTGATGTCGTCATCAGACGTCACGCTCCCAGCGCGCGTGTGGCTGACAGGTGGCCCGAAGATCAGCACAGGGGCAGTAAACCAACGTCTGCGGACGAGCCGGTGACGCCAGCGCCCAGACCGAGCGCCGGTCGGCCACAGTCTCACCCACCAACTGGGGGTGGCAAAGTGCAGACGCTCCACTGGCGGCCAGCTGGGACGCAGTCAGACCTCGCCAACAAGCCGCCTGTCGACAACTGACTCCCACCCAGCTCCGGCCGCACAGACACGCTGTTCAACACGTCAATCCCGAGCCAGCTGCGGCTCTGAGCACACAGGCGCAGCGGCCCGTGTCGAAACGGTACGGTCACGCCGCACAGCACGTCTACAGCGTGTGGCAGCAGGTAACGTCGGCAGTGGAGGGCGCGCGTCGGTCGGCCGGCGACACGCGGCTGCGGCGTGTCGGCCGGTGGCGTGCCAGTACTGGACCGGACTGCACCGCGACACGCCGGGTCACGCAGTGTTCATCATGGAAATTCCGACATTTCCCTCACGCGGAGCGGGCCGGGCGGCAGCCGCGGCAGAACAGGCAGCAGCCCTCCTGCCGGCAGACAGTGGGTTAAGCTCCGTCACCAAACACATTGCTGTCGCCCCCCGCGTCACTTGAGCGCTAGATCGTGTCCCTTCTTTTCTTACCACGGAAGACTAGGCGCCACTTTAGTACGCAATTACCTGGGAGAGTAAAAGTCCCCTCGCATGAGTTTCTGGAATCCATTCTTAACTGTTAGGGATTATCCCAAGGCAATTGCGCTACGGGTTCAAGAAAACCTCGCAACATCCGAGAAGCCATCAGTTATACAATACGGCATGTACTGGTGCGTTCATAGTGCAGTTCTATTTCTAGGTAAGGGTTACAGAGATGTGAGGAGGCGAAAAGCACAACTGTCCGACTGTGCACGTATATAGATGACGTGTTTTTCAGAAAGCTGCGCCTGAAAAAAACGTAACGATCTTCGGAATCAGCACTACGGAGTGGTCCAGGACCGCCTGATAACATCTCTGAACGATAACCACTGTTGCACAATGTAATCAATGATCCCACTGGCGGGTTTCGTTGTTGCGCGGTGTCAGAGCTGCACGCCTGGGAAACGAGAGATGCGGGGTTCGATTCCCCGCGGCGTCCGCCCTTCCCGCGAAGGTGAGACGCAGCGAATACTACATGACGCCGCGCAGCCTCAGCCACTGATTGCGTCACAAAGCCGCAATGTCGGCCATCGCAAAGACGGAGCGATGAACGCCCGGCACACTCCATCCGCCGACACGGAGAAGCGGGTGCGTCATCCACTCACCATCCACCTCGAGCGTGACGTCACGATCCGGGGGCAGGTGGCGCGAGAGGCTGTCTAGCATGGCCTCGGTCCGGCTTTGGTCACAGCACCACCCCAGCACTGTCAGCGACGGACAGGCGAGCACCAGCCTGTGGCAGATGACGCGACAGGTTACAGTGAGAACACCAGCTCACGGTCCCGCCCAGCACAAGTCACACCGAGAACACCAGCTCATGCTCGGTCCTGCACAGTACAGGTCATACCGAGAACACCAGCCCACGGTCCGGAACAGCACAGGTCACACCGAGAACACCAGCCCACGGTCCAGCACTGCACAGGTCACACCGAGAACACCAGCCCGCGATCCAGCACTGCACAGGTCACACCGAGCATCACTGCAGACTGCCGGCCTAAATGCAACCTATGCTATAGGTTGGTCTAGTGACGCGCAATGACGTTCAGAACGGTAGCCGGAATACGACCTCCAACCGTACAGGGTCAAGTTGACCTCCGGCTTCAAAGGATAGTGTGGACATTCAGTCTGCTCTGCGCTAAATGAACAACGCATCGATTGCTCTTATTTAAAGTCCGTTTAGCACCAACTCAGTGAGCTGGTTAGGACGTAAGACTTCTTAACGATTCTGGAAAACAAGATACATTTTAAAAGGGTACTGAAAAGGCGGCATTTAAGAAATCACCGACTGGACGTAGATACTCATACGCGTGCATAGACATCCGGTTACAAAAAAGTTTCAAAATCGTACTTGCCATGCAAAATAAAGGCCTTCGGCTGCTGTTTTTTCAGCACTATAAATTCTAGGTTCTAATGTTGAGTTAACTATCTCACATACACTAGGAAGTACTGGTTAAGCGACTTTGAAGTACAACCATGCTGTCGGTACTCGATGTTTCGAGCAGTGATCATCCACTCAAGTGCCGTACGACGTTTAACCAGTACCTCCTGACATATGGAAGGTCATTTACTCAACATCACAAGTTCGAACTCATATGTTTCACAACAAACTTGATCGACTTGGGACAGGGTACTGTCAGGTCAAGGTCAAATTCACAAGATGCACGTGACCTCCCGGTTACGTAATTAGGAAAGACGGCGGTCAACATCAAGAACACAAAGCAAGCAGATAGCCTCAATCCCGTCCGGCACAGTGACGTCGCGATCTCCTGAAGGCCGTGACACCTGCGCACAGTGGTACACACGAGAGGTGTAGTGCTCGGTGGTGCGTCATGCACCCACCAGATCGCTCACCAGCAGCGATGTAACCCCCCCCCCCCCCCGCCCGGGACTTCACCGTCGCACCAGCACGCGCCGCCCTCTGAAGACGGTCTGAACAAGACTGGTGACGAGTGAGAGCCCTGTATGACGTCAGAGTCCGGTCTGAGCCGCCATACTTCTGAGGCGTAGTGGGACCACGTGCCATCCCCGGCTACGGACGCTGCCGTCCAATGTTGGGGTGAGATTGGCTCAAGATGGGCGGACTGTTCGATAGATGGCCATAGAGCAGGCCATTGGCAGAGGACCACTGGCGGGCTGGCCTTTGCTTTAACGGGACCGGATTCCCGATCGGTCGCACAAAAGCTGCCTGAAGTCAGCTGCCGTGAGCGGCAAGCACGCGATGGCAAACCATGGTGATCAGCTTCATACCTACGTGAAGCAACAAAACCCTCCATCTCCTGCTTTTTTTTTTGGGGGGGGGGGAGTTATAACGCTGAAAATAGCCAGCCTCCGACACACCGGGAGACGCTAAGTAAATCCAGATACTATTGGAAAACATTTATGCAACATCACGCCTCAACGTTCGCTTGATGCCTGTACTGACTTCGTATCTCGTGGCACACTGAGCCCCGTGGAGCACTCACTGCGTGACAGTCTCCTCGGAGCAGTTATAACACCAGGACAGGTCCACACGCTTCAGCCGGAAGCCCTGCAGCCTGCGCAGAGCGGCGTCCGTCGCGCTGCCCGGCGATGTCAGGCTGAGCGCGCGGATCCTCGCGAACACGCCCAGCAGGCACCCGGACAAGTCAGCCCGCTGCACCGCGAAACCTGCACGAGGCAAAAGTCGGTTGGGTCCAGCGCACCGCCGCCGCCGCGCGGGCGCGGGACACCAAATGGCCACCGAAAACGAACAGAACCGGAATGACAGGTGTTGGAAACCACAATGCTTTTCGCAACTTCGTGTCAGAGGCGGAGTATACATAGGACGAGAGCACTCATCTGTGATCAGGAAGAAGTGGCTTCGCCAATTCCGTCACATATATCAAACTAGCAGCTGGCTGACACTATCGTCACTCCAGAGCAAGACAGTGTGCGAAGTGACGCCCTCGATCTGAATGCGGCACAAATTTAAATGAGACGGAAAATTTCCGTGCTCTCAAAGAGTGGAAACCCCGTGGATCATCCTCTGCTCGGAAGCACCGTTGAAGCATTGACGCCATTGAAACAAGAAAACTGTACGTTGGGTACAAATCTCGGACATGACACACTTTTCCTATCATCCTCCGATACTGCCTACTTCCGAAACTTACAATACCCATAGATAACAACGGACGATTGAAACGCCGCATCATATCGAGCTGCGCTACCGCCCATCACGTGCGCAGTGTATACGTTTATACAGTATATATATATATATATATATATATATATATATATATATATATATATATATATATAGATAGATAGATAGATAGATAGATAGATAGATAGATAGATAGATAGATAGATAGATAGATAGATAGATAGATAGATAGATAGATAGATAGATAGATAGATAGATAGATAGATAGATAGATAGATAGATAGATAGACAGACAGACAGACAGACAGACAGATAGATAGATAGAAAGATAGATAGATAGATAGATAGATAGATAGATAGATAGATAGATAGATAGATAGATAGATAGATAGATAGATAGATAGATAGATAGATAGATAGATAGATATATATATATATATATATATATATATATATATATATATATATATATATATAGCGCGCGCTACACGAGCCGGGGTTGTGATGGGAAAATACTCACCGCGCAACTTGAGCGTGTGCAAGCCAGGTAGCAGGACGGACAGCAGCTCCAGACTCGTGCCGGACACCGCGCTGGACCAGCACACGTTCAGACATCGGAGGGAGGGGAGGATGGCCGGCGGCAGGCAGAGAGCCAGCGCCGGCTTCAGCCCCTCCGCCGTCAGCCGCTCCAGCCGTGGACAGCCGGCCAGCACGGCCGCCAGGTCCGACGCCCGCAGCGTCTTTACCCACGAGACGTCCAGCTCCCGCAGCCGACGACAGCGGGTCAGCTGACGCAGGAAGGTCGACTTCAGATCATCACAGCCCGACACAGACAGCCGTTCCAGCCGTGGACAGCCGGCCAGGCCAGCAGCCAAGTCTTCCGTCCTCAGTCCCAGCACATTTGACAAGTCCAGTTCCCGCAGCAACGAGCAGCAGCCCAGCTGGCGCAGACAGACCGACTGCAGGTCTTTAAACCCGGTGACTGTGAGCCTCTCCAGCTGCGGACAGCCGGCCAGACCTGCCGCCAGGTCTGCCCCCTGCAGTCCCCTCACACGGGATACGTCCAGCTCCCGCAGCCGGGGGCAGCGATTCAGCTGGCGCAGGCAGGCCGACTGGATACTCATGCAGTCGGTCACTGTCAACTTCTCCAAGTCTGGACATGCAGCCAGACACGCTGCCAGGTCTGCCGCCTGCACATCAGGCATGTACGACAAGTCCAGCTCCCGCAGCCGAGGACAGTGGGACAGCTGACGCAGAAAGGTCGACTGTGTGCCCCAGCACCCCGCCACGGTGAAGCTCTCCAGCCGTGGACAGCCGGCCAGGCCCGCCGCCAGGTCCGCCGACTGCAGCGTCTCCATGCGTGTCACGCTCAGCTCCCGCAGCCGAGGACAGCGGGTCAGCTGGCGCATGCAGGCCGACGGCAGGTTGTCACACCTGCTCACAGATAGCGCCTCCAGCGACTCGGGCAGTAGTGAGAGGCACGCCCCTCGCACGTCGGCGCGCGTCATGTCCAGCCGTCGCAGGGTGCGCAGGTGACGTAGCAGCGCCGCCAGGCACGGCTCCGTGCACGCCTCCGGCAGATGGACATGCTCCAGCTGAGGGCAGCTGGCGCACAGCCTCTCCAGCGACTGCGGGTCGACACTGAAGTACCACAAGTCCACCTCCTGCAGGTGTCCGAGGAGCCGGGCTGGAACGACACAGTGGCTTGAGTTTCAGACGGTGTGTCAAGGCACATCTCACCGCCTTTGTGTCTGCCCCTACACCCCATCCGTTTACACCGTGACTAAACCAGATACAATGGCATAAACAGCCCATCAAAAGGGCACAGCGCAGATGTCTGCCGCCAGTCGATCGGCACCCGAATGGTCATACCGCCGGCGTCCAGCCAACGGTAAGAATTCGTAACTCACACCAGTGATTGAAACACACACAGGACACTTCATGAAGGGCACGAAACAAATTATACAACGTGGTAATCGCCAGGGTTAGCAACGGTCATAGTAATGCTGTTAGTAGAACATCGTTTCACCTCACAAAATGGCATAGCACAGGTCAAGCTTGCTTCTATTTGTTAACGTCGCGAGGTATGAGGCAGCACTGTCTTTGATGGGCAGGAGCTGTCTGGGGGAGCTGTTTAAGTCGAAGGCACGCTGATTCACTGGACGGTGATATAAGTAGTATGGAGACGCCTGCATTTGTAATAGAACGTACAGTCCCGAAAAATAGAGCTAGGGGTAAAAACAGCCGAAGACTTGATAGCACACAGAAAGACCAATAGCGCGAACGGCGCACAAGGTACGCGTAAATCTCCAGCATCGCTGTCACGCACCGGCTGGCTAGATTCCCCACGCAGCATGCAGTCAGCTGACCTGCACACGTGAAGACGTCACACAGCACTCACAGATCATATCGACGGACAGCGTCTGTTTGATGCTGTCTGCCCAGACAGGACGCCCGCTGGTGAGGCGGCGCAGGGACGGCAGGCGGCGCAGCAGCCACTCCAGTCGTTCCTCGCTGACATCTCGCACGTCGTCCCAGGTGAGGTCAAGGTGGCGACACCGCGTCAGGTTGGCGTCTGCCGCTGCCCGCCAGCGGCGCGACACTGCAGGCATCAAACGGGCCGACTGAGTGGCGGACCAAAACGGCGGGCCACAGCAGCGGACCACAGCGGCAAACCACAACGGCGGACCACAGCGGCGGACTACAACGGCGGACCAAAACGGCGGGCCACAGCAGCGGACCACAGCGGCAAACCACAACGGCGGACCACAGCGGCGGACTACAACGGCGGACCACAACGGCGGACCACAGCGGCGGACCACAGCGGCGGACCACAGCGGCAGACCGCAGCGGCGGACCACAACGGCGGGCCACAGCGGCGGACCACAGCGGCGGACCACAACGGCGGACTATAGCGGCGGACCATAGCGGCGGACTACAACGGCGGACCATAGCGGCAGACCGCAGCGGCGGACCGCAGCGGCGGGCCACAGCAGCACAGACGACCGCCACGCGCCACAGACCAGCACCACCAGAGACTGGCAAATCGCACAGGTGACACAGCTTGACGAGTGACGTCTGCTTGACAGCCCGCCTCGCCGCCATGCTCTTGTGCTGGCGGGGAACACCGCGCTGTTTGGTTCGGCACCCCCTAGGTTATTTCGCCACATACCGCCACATACCCGACGCTAACAGCTATTTCCCGGTGCCCGAGAAGCTATTTCGAAAGGGAGCGGAACGCACATGACTGCGTCTCCTAATAAAGGACACCAGCAGCTACAGTATCTATGCATGCGCTCAAGAGGCGTGACACGACCGAGATTCGAACTCGGGCCCGCCGCCCAGGAGTCAAAGGCTTTAACCATCCGGTTCCCTCCAATGTCGTCATCGCGAGATCTTTCACTTCAGAACCATACTGCGATGTCAGCAAGGGTCATGTCATGTCATATATAGGTCATATAGGTCATGTCAAATTAAGCTCGTGTCATATGATGGAAAACCATTATTTCGTTATTCGGTCACATAACATGTATAAGCCCTCAACGTAAAAATATGTGGTTACTTGAACTTAACTTACTACCATAAATCGGTGACAGCCATCATTTTTGGTCGATTGCCTCGCGTGAACTCTGATGATGACCTGCTGAGACGTTGTTTAGTTGACTGCCCCGAATAGCCACTATTCGAACCGCTCGACGAAAACATTCAAAACAATGAGAACCACGCAAAGGGAATGCGACTTTTTAAGGAAACTACCGAATGCATTCCCATCCTCGCTTTTTTTTTCTTCGAACGAAACACCAATGGCCTGCGCTCACTTCCATTGTACTCACTACCGACTCATCAAGGCTTACATATAAAATACATGCTCACTGTGGGCTCAATTCAATTGAGGTTACTTTCATCCGAATGCCTAGACTAATCTACGTTAACTCAACCATGATTCAGCTTGGTAGCCACACAATAGTTAGTGACAGAAGGTTGGTAATGTAAGTGTAACGTAGTCGGGCGGCCACAGCCCGGTACGTTGCGGGCTGCCTATGTGTCGGGGGCGGCCGGCCGGCTCCTGCCCGCGGGCGTCGCCGAACCGAGGCACCGAGCGAGCGAGCGGCGAACCGAGAGGGGGCTGAGGGTTGAGCGGCCAACGTGGACGGAATGTTACGTAATATCATGGAATCGAAAGATTTTGGTGTTATTGGTAACGGCTACATATGGTGGCAGCGTTTATTCACGCTGCTGATGGAGCTGCGCTGAACCGTCTGCCGGCCCTGCCGAGCTGAACCTGCTGAACTATCTGCCGGCGCTGCCGCGCTGCACCGTATGCCAACGCTGCTGCGCTGAATCGTGGCCAATGCTGATCCGTTGGATCATCATTCAGCACTGCTGCGCTTGGGCATCTGCCCGAATCGCCGCTGCACCGGGTCGTCCGCTGCTGTCCAGTTGTTCACCGACTGCATTGAAAGCTAAGTAGCTTAATGACGTTTGTTTAATTTGATGCGAGTACTTTCCTCTCTCATCAGTTATCTGCACCAGGTGAATCTACGTGGGTGTGCACCATGACTGGCCCGACGAAGCAGCTAGATATTATGCATGGGTGATCCCGACCGCGCCTGTTTTGCCCAGTCCAATTGGTGGGTTGTCTGTGGCCGCCACTGTGTTTTCTGGGGAGTGTTCGTTTGCCAGGCTTGTGTCGGTTTGGAGACTTTCTTACCTCTTTACAACTTCGATGACGACATTCGCCCTAGCTTCCTGCCACTGTGTCTCACGGGAGTGGCCCGGGACGCGTGCGGCTTCACGTCTCCAGCCCTGCGGACTTCGTACAGTCCCAAATGTTCACAAAAAATGTGACACAAATGTTCGTTAGCCAAGTTCACATGCAATGGTTCGGGTCGAAAATGGTAAGATGTTGGTCTGCTTCAATTCGCAAACGAAAACCTCACTATGAAAAATGTTCACAAGAAAAAACTCTATCCCTGGGCTCCATTTGGTAAAAGTAGGGACCAGAGGTTTGCATTGCTCAAGTTCGCACACAACTGGGGATTCACTTCAGTCTGAATCTCGCCAACGGGGCATGTTCGTTGCTAAATATTCGTAAGCAGATGACTGCATCCGCGAAATCTTGTATGGCGGCAAGGCAGTAACTGATCTCGTTCGAACAGAAAGGTGTCTGACCTAAGCCGCAAGGGAAACTGCGCCCAAGCGGCAATCGGCATGCAAATATTTCATCGGGAGAAACGTCTTCGCGGGAAAAGGCTTAGCAAGCGGCACACCAAGTCTTTGTCCCAAGAAGATAGTGAAACGAGCCTACGAGTCGTGTTCGTTGCTCATAAGGCCCTGTTCCAAAACTCGTTTTGGCTTAAGAAACGTTTTTCACTTGAAGGAAGCTCTCCTCCCTCCGGAGTATGCGTCCTGTACATGGTCTAAAGCGCCCCGCTAAATCATGTTCTACACCATGCACTGCGCATTTTTTCTTTTGTATACGAATGTTCCTTGAAACAGTTCCCCAACAAACTTTCAACAAACGAGCCACTTCCAAGCGAGACATCACAGTGCATACGAGCCCCTCCCACGTGAGGCATCACGCTGCATACGACCCTCTTCCACGTGAGACGTTACACCACACACGAGCCTCTTCCACGTGACACATCCTATCACATACACATGAGACATCCTATCACATACACATACACATGAGACATGCCATTACATACGTGCCTCTTCCACGTGAGACATTACATTCTATACGAGCCTCCTCCACGCGAGGCATCACATTACACACGAGCCTCTTCCACGTGACGCATAACATTATGTACGAGCCTTTTCCGCGTTAGACATCACATCACATACGAGCCTGTTCCACCTGCGGTTCATCGGTTTCCACACCTGTTCATGTGACCTTTATCCGCCAAGGACCATATCTACCACGAGCTTTATCTCGACAGAGTCCTTTCGGATACAGACCATACAAGCTCGACCCTGCGGTACCATACCCTGCGAGCATTTACTTACCAACCCCTATGTGTTGACTTCGTTCTCGAACTGACACCCTGGGAGTGTTTTATTCCACCTATGTAGATAAATGGCCAAAGATAACACACTTGGCAGAATTCAGGAACTAGACTGCCATTTTGCGCGTGTTACGTACCTCTCCGGACTTCTAGCACCTCTATTGGTGTCAAGTAGCAGAGGATGTAATGCAGGACCTCTGCCGGTACCCTTTCGAAAGGGTCCCGGCTCCTGCCATGTTTGACCTGGAAACAGTCCAGGCGGTCAAGATGAGCTCGGTCAGTGCATAACCCACAAGACGAGTCATCAAAACACTGCGACGTTAACACGGCGCCGTAGCATCTATGCAACGTTAATAGAGCTTCCGCACGTCACGTGAACTCGACCAGCATGGACATGATTCCAGATATCATGCTATTGAGGTAAAAATGTTGCACTTAGGGTTAGAGCGTTTTCGTTAAAGTGGGATGCCATCACAAAGCAAGAGTTCCGGCATTTGTGTGGGCGTACCAAGAAGCATCTATTGGAGCATCGCTACTGCCCTCGTCCTGGGGGATTCCATTTAGGATCTCACAACTGCTCTCTTTGGCCACGCATGGTGAATCAAGAGCCTGAATGAAGGGAGCATACATCCGCATTGTAGTCGGAAACACGTTTTTTTGCTAAATCATTCTTATGGACCTTCACCAATGTGCTGACACTCTTTCGCCGCCACACGAGTCTTCCACCGCACAGCAGCATTCATCCACACATGGGACCAACGTCGTCCGCTGCCTCCGGCGTACGGGCGGCTGCCACTGACGCTACCGACTCGTGCGTAACAGGCGTTTGGCATTCACTTTCTGTCGACGGTCACGGACGTCCACTGCTTTGTCAATAACATTGGGAATGTGTGGGCGTGAGTGAGGCGATCCGGTCGTTTTGCAGCTCTGTATTCGCTGGACGTGTAACACGGTTGCTTGCGGTGTTTCCTTTTCGACAATTTCCTTGTCGGACCCGTGGTCTGCTTGTGAGAGCAACACGCCATGTCTCTGCACCTGGGCGCAATGAAGAGAGTGCTTTCTAGCCACATCCCGATTTTTTGCATGGAGCTTGCTGTACTTGGGATGCACTATGTGCGTGCTGCCGTTAATCAGCGCGGCGAGGACACGTGAAAAGCAAGTTGTCGAGCTGGTGATGCCTCATTCCCAGTGAGAGCTTGTGATGCTTTATCTCAGAGAGAGCTGGTAATACCCAATTCCAGTCAGTGTGCCAAAAGGCCGTCGGAGCCGCCCACCTCCAAGATCCGGGGCCGCGCCAGCCGCTTCTCCGGTGACGCCGGGGGCTCTCGCTCGTCAGCCAGCCTGGAGTGACATCACATGTCATGTTCACGAGGACAGAGATTACTCCATAAATAGCATCCTATTTGTACAGCACAAAATGGCGCCGGAAGTAAGATGTTTAGAATGTGATGCATGCGTCTGATACTCCTAGCCGTCTAAAGCTCTTCCATTTCCGTTTCGAGGGAAAAGCAGCCCCTGTGTATTTGGAAAAAGATAGCATACCTTATGCCGCAGCAAGAGACAAGTTTGATTTTTCAATACAGTGCAGCTTGCCGTGTCTCGCGTACAATTTGAGGAAACTGAACACCTGCAGGCCACAAACTTGGGACAAGACGTTGCCTCGAGCTTCAAGCGCACACAGACAAGCAAACATTGTGCTGCATGCTTACTGAATCCGCATTGAACCACCCACGTTGTTAGAAGCGCTGCATACGCGTAATCCGAAAGCAAGTAACTGCGACACCAGACCAGTTCGACACATTGCCATTGGTTACCTAAAACACAATTAACTACATGGACGTTAGCTCAATTACATCTACGCCACCCACTCGCTCAAACACTCATTTCGTTCACTCAACAGTGAATTTAGCTTAAAATGTTCCTCGAGATCTCGTGTTGCTAGCATGTTCTGGCATACTTATGGTCGATTAAGGCAGCATGAGGGCTCCAAACTCAAAATACCGAAAACCCGGCGCTGAAGTCATTTCCTGCTGATATCAATTATTCCATGAACATGATTACTCATCGCACGTGTTTCGCAAACGCTGAGGTGGTTCCATTCCACACATCAACCAGGCCACCAGCAAGGATCCATCACTAATTCCGTTCGCCAGATGTCGACCAACCTTGCAGCGTTGTCCGTGGCACTCCGGATCATGCGTCCTGTGTCACCGGCCTGGCGTCTGGTCTCGTCCAGCTCGGCTCGAAGGGACCGCTCTCCAGCCTCCAGCTTCTGGCCTGTAATGTTAGCCACCATGTGATTCACCTGTGTATCAGGCAGCTGATTGTCCAGGCCGTTGGTCAGGCCCAGCTACACCTACGCAGGGTAGATACGTCACACATCTCTGACATCCTGTCATTACACCTGGTCAGGTCCAGCCACACCTACGCAGGGTAGTTACGTCACACATCTCTGACGTCCTGTCACTACATGTCAGGTCCAGCGCCGCCTGCAGAGAGCAGTGACTTCACACATCTCTGACGTCCTGTCACTACACCTGGTCAGGTCCAGTGCCGCCTGCAGAGAGCAGTGACTTCACACATCTCTGACACCCTGTCACTACATTTAGTCAGGTCCAGCGCCGCCTGCGGAGAGCAGTTACATCACGCATCTCTGACGTCATGTCACTACACCTGGTCAGGTCCAGTCACACCTACGCAGGGTATCTCAGGCGTCCTGCCATTACATTCAGTCAGGTCCAGCGCCGCCTGCGGAGAGCAGTGACGTCACACATCTCTGACATCCTGTCACTACACCTGGTCAGGTCCAGCCACACCTATGCGGGGAAGTTACGTCACGCATCTCTGATGTCCTCTCACTACAACTGGTCGGGTCCAGCTGCAGCTCCACCCGACCGACTTGAAATATGGATCACGCACTATCCAACTGCACCACGGTGCAGATAGAGCACGCATATCACACCCTGTTCTGCTGTGATGGCCGGCCACTGATGCCGGCCATTCCACGGCTTTCCTCCAAGGCAACGACAGCTAAGGCGGTGCTGTTGAACACCAACTGGTTATAGTGGCAGCAATTTGGAGTTTTCCGGCACTTTGACTGCATGGTTATATAGCGCCCAAACAGGAACAAGTGTAGTGCACTGTAGAGCAAAGCATTACCATAACATTAACTGCACAAATAAATAAGGCCCAAAAGGGAAACAATTGCCCTAACTTATGACAGAACTGATATCATCACAGTGAACGCCAGCCCAATCAGCTCGCGCTGTGACACTACTATTGTGGTGCCCTTCTGGATATCATGATGCTGGATGTGACAATGACTGTATAATCTGCACCAGTATGGTTGGGTGCCTAGTGCCAAACTATATGGTCTGCACCAGCCATGTTGGGTACCTGGTGCACAAGATAGCCTCCACCAGCCTGATCTGGCAAGGCACCAGTGTCTGGCCATACAGCCTACACTAGCCTGGTCTGGTCAAACACCTGGTGTCCAGCCATATAACCTGCACCAGCCTGGTCTGGTCAGGCACCTTGGTGTCCAGCCATATAGCCTGCACCAGCTTGGTCTGGTCAGGTGCCTAGTGTCCAGTCATATAGCTTCCACCAGCCTGGTCTGGTCAGGCACCTGGTGCCCAGCCATATAGCCTGCACCAGCCTGGTCACCCAGCCATGCAGCTGCCCATCATCAGTTCTCTGGCAGTACCAAGTGGACAATCAGGTCACTTGTTGGCTGTCAGGATGTGATATGTGTGAGACCCAGCTGAGTAATAAACATCCTGAGGTGGCACTTGTTACCTGTGGGAAAAATAACTCTGAAAAGTTATTTCAAGTTGCATTGTTCATGCCCGGATGAACTGTGATGCTTGGTTCAGTGCAGTGTGTCCATGGTCAACTCTTGTATGCATTTTCATGCTTGGTCAACTACATAGCAGATATGGTGGACAACCAAGGGTATTGCAGTGGATGGCACAATGCATGATGAAAGGGACATATAACATCAAAACTAAAACATTGATATTTTCATTGAAAAAACTTTTCAGGTGGGTTGATCCCCTATATTCCACTTTCACCTAACCTAATCTGATCTTCCCAACCTTGGAGATGGGTATGCCCAGGGGTTATGTGTCCTGGTAGATTGAGCCCACAAAGCATACAAGATTGCAGCATTCACAGTAGCATGTATTCATATAAAATTGAAAATAACCATTTTGGTTCTGGTAGGCAGTGGGTTTGGGCAAGGATAGCAAAAGCTAGGGTCTAATTGTGAAGAAATAGTGGTTATAAATACCTGATAACCAATTCAATAACATATAACTATGAAGGGAATTTGGCTTTTCACAGACCCCTCTTGTGCAAGATATCTGAGGGTGACTAAGGGTGATTATCTGGTGCATAGGACGATGTGTACATTTTTTCAATGCAGCATCCACGCATTGTTTACAAGCTTGTAGTAGAATGACCATAACATCACATGGGATCGTTTTTCACTGAAAATAGCGTACATGGCGTTTGAGGTGATTCTGCTGATGGAAAATTTACCTTCCATTACCTTGCCTTATGGTGCTCAGGAAAATTAAAGTCTACTTGCCCTGTCGACGTTTTCGACCCCCCTCCTAGGTCACCTCTGTTCCAAATAATGCACGCGACCGGCGCGGACGCCACGATCAGCGTGAGGGATCAGGGTAGCGTGAATCGAGCAGTCTGGATTCAAACTGCTCAGCCGATCTATGGATGGATCAACAACATCTGCCGGAGCTATGATTGGCTACAAGACACAACTCCGAGAAGACGATTGGTCTGAATGTAAAGTTTTTGCCAAACCCGCTAAAGGAACAAATTAGGCGGCATAAATGGCGAGTATGCTACAATTGTGGTTTTCCTTCATAAGGTTGCTGTGGCGTGGTAGGGGTCATGCGTGTGGGGGCTCGGGATGCGGTGAGTGGGTTGCATAATGTTGTATTTATCCCCAAGGCCATTGCTTTTTTTGTTGAAACTCGTATAGACGGCTGCGGTATTGCGGTGAGCTATTCATAGGTTAAAAGCAGTTTGCACCTCGCATTAGCTACTCACTTATACAGTGTGCATCAGCTAGGTTATACTTGCTAACTAGCTGGTTTCCATTTTGTGTGAGCCTTGGCCTTCATTTGATAGGTAATGTTGCACATCCTCTCCATACCTTTTGCCTAAGTTGGTGTTAACATTGGCTGTCAAACTGTGAAGGTGGCATATCAGAGGTGTCCCAACTTCTGGTGGGCACAATATAGGTCTGTTACTCATAATGTAGTGGTTTGTATTGACCACTGCATGTCTGGCAAACCAGAGGTACAGGGTTTGATTCCTGGCAGTGCCCACCTTTCCTCCAGGGTGAGAGGCAGGTGACACCTCCAAGCTCCAGAAGTGGAGTGTGCTGCAAAGTACCAATGACAACAAGGATCTGTTGCCTTTTTCAAATTGTCATTGACTGCCTATGTTTCATCTGAAGATTTATTGTATTCTCCCTTAGTGTCATTTAAGTCATATGAGTAATGAGGAGTAATGAATGGATGCTAGATACAGAATCTGACAACCAGTTGCTCGAAGCAGATGTTCACCGTGCAGGTGCATGGCTGATGTGCCTCTGCAACCTTCAAGGTTTGTCTGGATATTTGTGATGCATGTCTTGCCAAGCACAAATAGATTAGCACTGCCTGAAGGCAGTGGACTTGGGAGGCTTCTCATAAATTGTTCATGTTTATTTTGACAATGTTTCAGCTATCAGAATAACAAGAATCCTACAGCTCACTGCAAGAGGATAGTTAATTTGCTATGGTAAGACAATTATCTGTTGTATCTTTGCTTTTGTATGAGTCACATTGAATAGTCCCCAAATTTGATATTCATCAGTTGGTTTGGTACTGTTGCAAGAAACCCAAAAATACTTAGGTTTTTTGATGACTATTTGACCTCCATTTCTGTCTGACAAAAAGGGAAGATACATGATAACTTGCATGCCATATTTTGGTTACCGGCCATCCTCAAACATTGACATGTTCCCGTCATCACAACCAACATTGCTGTATTGCTTTTATTTGCTGGAGGAAGACTGTGTGGTTGAAGTGCAATGCTTAACATGACATGTTTGTCATCACTACCAACATTGCTGTATTGCTTTTGTTTGTTGGAGGAAGACTGGTACCTGAAATGTAATGTTGAGTCCACTTGTGTTAACTGGCGAAAGTTGTGATGTATCTCAATAGTAGCATGTTCATGTACCATGTACCTCTATTTTCCAGGCCAAATACATAGCACAGATAGTTATCCAGGGCCTTCGAGTTGTTGGGAGGTCTTTTGGAAGAGCTCTGAAGCAGGAATATGAAGGTTGGTACTGGTGTTGATGCAGCTTATATTGCTGTATAGTTATTTAATTGACAACTTATAGTGCTGTACATTGTCAGACCCACTGGTGATTGCTGGCATTTTTTATCAGACTTCATTCAATTTTGAGTTTTGTGCTTGAGGATTGCATCAACAGTGTAGTGTTGATTGCAAGTCATCACTACCAGAGCACTCCCTACTTATGCTACCTTTGCAAGCGTGTTGTGTCTGGAGTCTCTGCCGTAATCCCAGTCCGTTACCGCGGCCCTGACGCCTGTCATCCCTCCATGCAGCGAGCCAGCAGGCGGCCCGGGCACGGGCCAGCTCCAGTAACACGTCCTCAGACTCTGCCAATCCGTTCGGCGCCTCCATCTCGCTCGAGGAGGCCATGAAAATACTGAACGTTGACAAGCTCGAGCCCGAGCAGGTGAAGAAGAACTACGATCACCTGTTCAAGATCAACGACAAAGCCCAAGGCGGCTCCTTCTACCTCCAGTCCAAGGTACGCATGCCGCTCTTGGAATGTTTGCTGGCCGCGAAGCTCGTGCCCACGCCGCATCAATTATCGTAGTCTCGATCGCAAGTGCAGAAGCCCCTTCTAATCAGCGCATGACTGACATCCAGGTGTGTTGCAGGTGGTCCGAGCCAAGGAGCGAGTAGACGCGGACCTCTCGGCCCAGGCCAGCCAAGCGAAAGACGCCGGTCGGGGGAACGACACCGGGCAGGGCTAGCAATGCTTTAGTGGGGTAGGTGTGCGTGGGTGGGTGGAAGACTCGTGTAATGGCCGTGGGATATCGTGGTTGATCACGCGGTGGTCGCCGCCAGCCGCCGCGTTAGGTCGCCCTGGGCCGGAAGTGGCTGGTGACGGATCTGTCCGCCTCAGGAAGTGTCAGCTGAGCGCTCGATTACTCTGGGCTCCAGACATTGTCGGTCGGTAAAATACACGGCGCTCACAATCGCACGTTTGTATTGCATACTAGGCTAATAAACAAGATACGCGTTACACTCGCTAGCCAGCGTCCGTCCGTGGCGGGGTTACGTCTTCTCGACAGGCTTGTCGCCGCCGAACGGGTTCATCTTCGTCAGCCAGGAACTGGCACCAGACTCGCTGTAAACGCAGCAAAGCCAATCAGGGCTCAGACTGGATCGATCCGCCAGTATCGGCGCAATCAGTCTCGACACGCCCAAACAGAAACCACGCCAGGTAAAAAAGTAGCGTACAGCCCAGTTGGATGCCGCGGTTCGGGTCACACCAGAACTTCTGCTCAAATTCCAGTAAAAGCGCAATTTTGTTAAGAATCTTGAAACAAAAGAATCTTGCACATACCTATCTGTGGGGGTGGCCTGTTCGACCTGAATAGCCTGAAGCCGCTCCAGCAGCTCCGAGCGGTATTGGTGCTTCAGCGGCGGCGGTGGCCCGGCCGCCGCCTGCGCCTGCCGAAGCTTCTTGATGGCCTCTCCCACAGTCAAACCGTACCACTCTACCTCCTCCTCCTGGCAACGGACGGACGGGGTCAGAAGTGGCGCCTCCCACCGGCAGACCATACCACTCCAGCTTCTCGTCTTAACGTCGGGTCAGCAGGCATGAACCCTTCAGTTAGCAAACGCAACGCTAACATCTACTGCAGGGCACGCTTACAAAAGATGCATACGTCAGATGCCATACATTTAAGGCCAGCTGGCACTACCCCAAGCCACTGTCTGGGTCACCCAAGTCAAGTCGCTATCGTTTCGTGAACAAAATGCGTGCAGAGAAAGACATGCTATCGCTTAAGATACCACCTATGCACTTCCGTATGCACCTTCGCTCATCTACAACGCCGGCAAAGAGAGATCTGCCATCGAGCTAGCCGCCGGCCCGCTGTCCGGTGCCCACTCCCGGCGTCTGGCGTCTATTGCCGGCCGGCCTACCCCGTCCCGCACCTACCGGCACGATGAACTGCTTGTACTTCTCGAGCAGCTCCTGCCGCTTCTCCGGGTTGTCTGGCCAGAGCGTGCCCCGCGCCAGCGCCAGCAGGATCTCACGCTTGATCTTAAGGCCCAGCAGCGATACGATGTCGCACGCCCGGGTCTGCAGCCGTCGAGGATAAACGTCGGTGGTGGTCAGCGGAATGGGCGGGAGGCAAGGCTAGGTACTGGACGAGATGCGTCACGAAGTGAGAACAGGACGGTTCGCGGTGCGTTATAGGCAGCATATTGTCCGACAAGGCGACTCGTGTTCTAGGTATACCCTCACGAACTGCATAAGTGCGAGGCAAGCGTGATCACTTGATGTCACATTTGCAAATAAGACGGCAAACGACAATTTCACTCCGGCTGAAAACTTAGTCCCTGCCAGAATACATCGAAAGGGTCGTCGCATCCCTGCTATATGACACAAATTGGACTCTAGCGGCGCGCGATACAACTCACACACGCCCAAGCGCAGCCTCTGCACACACCCAAAGCAGGCCTGCCCGCGCTCCCCAGTGACGGCGCACTGTCCGTATGGCCGGGGAGGGAGTGAAGCCTGGGCGTGCTCGCACCTGAAGCAGGTACATGTCGAGACCATAGTGGTCGTGCACGAGCTGGAGCGCGCGCTGCGTCACCACCAGGTCGAGCCTCCGGTCGAGAACTTCGCTGTAGAGGACGGTGCGGTGCAGGCTGGGCACCCACCAGTGCGGCACCAGGCTGGCGTTGCGGCCGCGGTTCTGGTAGCCCTTAATAACGCCCTCCCCGCCCCACAGGCCCTGGTGTGCCTCCTTGGGAAAGCGCAGCGGAATCGGCACGTTCTCCACCCTCTGGCTGAGGACAGGTGGCAGGGCGAAGATCAGGTGCAGCAGCGCCATACCATACCTGCATGTCTCAGGGTGTTCCTCTATCTTTTTAACTGCCTATTTGAGAAAGCTCAACCCTAAACATGCTTTCATTTAAAAAGCAGCAAAGGCAACAAACTCAAATATATTGGTTTAACCTACTTTTGTTCACCTTTGCATGACATTCAAGGTAAGGTTTACTGTTACCCTGTCAGATGAAATATGAAACTCACATTTGCCCCGTTTCGGGATTCTTTTTCCACCGGCCTGGCTCAGGCACGTAATGCACTGGCTTGGGTCGCTCCAACTGCCACTCCTTGTAGAAAGCCTGGTATGCAAGGGGCAGAAATTTGACCACTGTCTTCACATTCCAGGCAGCATGCGCCCGCTGATAGTGGAATAAGTTTCTGGGCATGGTGGTTCATACAATATGCTTCAATGCTGGCATATACCTGGGGAAAAACATGGCACATCAGCTGTCACATCCTTCACTTGGATGTGCATAACTTTGGCACTGAGCTGAGGAAGAATAGCACTGAAGAGGTGGTTTGAAGATACTGTGCTCAGTGTACATGTGCATATGTGCACCAAGAACAGGAGGAAACCATTGCTTATTTAAAGCCCTGGGTTGGTTGTGGTGCCTCCTGTTTGTTCCACTAAATCATGACATATCCCTTGGCTTAACTGGGCATCCAAATTCCCAATAATAGCTGGGTTTCCACATCACAGAATGGTGACAATCTTGAGTCCTGAAAGGCTGAGGCTGTGTGGTGTGGTACAGCATTACCATGTCTGGAAGCATTGTTACCATGTCTGGAAGCATTGCTTATCATGGTGACCTGGTTCCAATCCTGGGAACAGAGCGAGGCAAGAAAGGAAGAGGAAAGAGCAAGGACCCTCACAACAGAGTGGGCAGAAAAGGACAAATGCTTTTTGCCTCTGTCAGTGCTTTTCATAACAAATGTTCAAAAACTTAACTGTACCTAACTGCACATGGGCACCAAAAAGGTCTTCAATTTGGGCAACCCATAACCATTTTTGGCTTATACTTTCTGTCAGTATCCATGGAGCCAATACCAACTTCCTTCAGTTGGGGCTCAGCCCTGACACCTTATCTGAGGATCTTTGCCTGAGTACCAGCTATGGTGCAGTACTGCAGTGCACTCAATAAGTAATTTACACCACCCCATATGTCATGTGCACTCCCCACATCTACTCAGGTGTGGCCCATTACCAGGTCGCCTAAGTCACAGGCCACATGGGATTTTCTCATAGTGATTTATGTGCCCACATGCAACAGGTGCACACCAGCAGAGTATGCCTGCTTGATGTCTCACAGCTCCTGATCTGCACTGATGGTTGCTGCTCACTCACATGTAAACCTTATGTTTGCTATCCATGGGTCCCTGTGCAAGTAGTACCTAGACTGTCTATAACATATCACTAAAATGATAAGTTTAGTTTCCATGCACATCCAGGACAAGTCAAAATCTAGGGGAAAACATAGCAAAAACCTGCGCAGGACCTTACAAACAACCCTGTCAGAGGTTACGGCAGTGATGTAAGAACAGAATGGTGGCTTTAAGGCTATGCTTACAAGCACTAGGTAGGTGGCAGACCTCATTGATTGAATATAGGGTAGAGGTAGACATAGGCACCTTATGTTACAAAAGAGCATACACCCATACACTGTAACATTGCAACTTAAATAATTACTATAGGCTATGTCTAGGCACTCCAGAGACACAACACTCCAAACCAGCAGGCACCATTGTTTTGATGGCATAATCAGCCTGCATTTCACCACTGAAAATGGCCTCTCCAGGAAAGTGAGAACAATAAACCAGGAGCTAACCTAACAATCTTATACAAGATAAATTAACCTAAATGCCATCACCCTGACCAGCATCCCATGCAATACCTGCCACCTGCTGTCTCATAATAATCTGTGCCATCAGTGTCACACCACAGCATTTCCTGGCATTGTCATATTTCCCAAAATATTTCTGTTTTATGATCAATTATGGCATCTGATATCTTACGGATATCAGGTCATGAACAATTCAATATTGCAGTGTCAGGTACCAATGTGAACAATGACCAAACATATGCTGCTAACTGTCAAGTATTTATCAGTGTGGCCTGGGTGACAACCATCATCAGCACTTCAGCCATCACTGAAGATACTTTTGGAGGGTTGTGTGAGCCAGCTGCTTAATCACCAGTCGTAAGGATTCTTGACAGTTATGTAAGCCCTCCCATTTTGACAGTAATACCAACATATTGCATAGCACCACCCATTTGGCAAATTTCCACTGTCTTGTGCATCATAAATACATGAATAGTCACTTATTTCACACACTAAAGGTCACATGCCTATATTGTCATTTCAGGAGAATTTCACAACACATATAAAGGCACACAAGGTCCATTTCAAATTGCGAAAATTGGCCAATGTTCTCCTACTGCTTGCTGGCTAGTGTGCAAACTGCAGCACTTGGCACCGGTTCCGAAATACCCGCATATCTATGGAATTAATACGCACCCAACCACAAGTCCTACCGCCTCCCACAAAACCTCATCCCCACCGAACACATCTCCAACAAAACCGATTATGCGCTCAAAACGAACCGAACTAATGCCTTCCAACGCAAGGACGCCGGCACGGTCCTCGCTACAGTCCCTCCCAAACTCATTCGTGCATTCGTCCGGAACAGGGCAATAGAACACACAGGTTCGGAGCACGCGGAGCGGCGCTGATACGATCAAGGCTATGCATTTGTTTGGGGAGGTGCATTTATATCTTGTCTGATTTGCCCTGCTGGTAAGGAGAGGGGCTCAACGACTGGCATTTGATTGGTGAATGGTTTGAATATTTGGTCATGATTGGTCAAAACTTGTTGACAACGAAATCCGGTAATATTTTTTTTTGTTATTGCTAGCGCGCTGGTCCTTACGCGCTGCTTATTGACGCAAACGACGCGCAGTATGTGTGGTGCACCGAAATTGGCGAGTGGGGGCTAAGCTGCAATCTTCTTGTTACTTGGGAGGAAGGGACGGCGTGTGTGGTTTAGCTGGTTCAATTGGAGCTCATAAGATAGGGTAAATTCTTGATCCCTAAAAGATAGTGATTGTCCAGTACCCACTTGTCCACCCATGTGGGTAGTGGCGTGTTTACCTTTTGCTGAAATCAGAGTTCAGGCATTTCTCTGTTGATAGTTTGTTTATCATTGGATTAAATGTGTTAAAGTTGTGTTGCATGACAGCAGGCCCTGTTATTTGGTGCTCTTGAGAAAGAACAGAACATGAGGAGTTGAGTTGGAGTTTTCATACTCTGCTGGCAGATGTTTCAACACGTTTAACAAGCTTCAACACGTTTAAGGTGAAAAGGCTTGAGTCAGAAATCTGATAGCTGAGAACTAACTGGACAGATATCCATCACTTCTCAAGTAAATTCACTGAAGCATTGGGCAGACATTCACTGTGCTCTTTGTATCCATCAGTGGCATGACCTTGACCTTAACATGAACAGTTAAAATATTAGACAGGGGTATGGTATAAGGTTGCCTATGACTTGCCAAGGCACTTTTTGGTCCAGTCAGCTTAGGAACACAGCAATGCTAATTCCAATGATGGACAGGGCTTGCCAGGATCTGTAGCATGGCAATCCCACTGCTGACAATTGAGAAAATGTATCTATAAAATCTGTCATCTGGTTAAATATGTATAAATATGCTTATTTATTGCTGTCATGTATTTTCACACCTTTTCTCTATATGCCCATGTAATATTTACTAAATGGTCTATTGAAGTAGATAGCCTATGATATTATCAACATATTTTATTAAATATTGCACAGGTGCTTGGTTTTCCAATGAGATAAATTATTGTGATAGAAAATGTGCTTATCATTTATGAATTCTCCAGGGCTGCTGTGCTAGATAGCAATTTTGCATAAATGGCTAGATTTACTTAAAGGTAATATGATGGTGCATAGACAAAATATCCATGATTCATATTTTATTTATTTATTGCTCCATGCATAGATGCCAATATCTCCAAGACATAAGCAAGGGAATGGGAATGTAAATTGATTTGCCATTTTCAGTCTTGATATGGCATATAATTTATGGAAGTATGCACAGAGATTAGTAATTCAAATTATGGGGATGTCCCACATTTGAATATGTTCATACAAGCATCTGAAATGATCAAATAAGGTCACTTAAAACTATTTTTATTGCCAAAATAGCCATGTAAAACTCACCTTAACACTCACTTGTACTGCCTCAGTCTCCTGCTAGGTGGCTAGATTATTGTTTAGTGAACCAAGTATCATCATGTATTTTTACCCTTTTTGTGTTTTGATCTTTTTCTGGTGCTCTTGCATAGTAATCCATTAGTCTGAGGTGATAACTTGTATTTACATGCATGGTTGTAGCATTATTTTTAAGCTATTTGATCACAAGGCTTATTTTTATATTAACTAGGATGCATGTGCTTATATTTCCTTGTTTATATTATATAGCACACAACCTTATTTGTGGACTTGAAACTTGTACACCCAGCTCAACTTTGATCAAGAGACAGTATAACATTCATTATATCCGGAAATCATGCTCATGACTACCAGGTATGAACAGCTCTGCTGAAGTAATCCACCTGAAGTAGTTGGCATATATTTGTGGGTGTGCAGCTTAGAAATTCAAAAGGTTATTTTAGATCTAAGATGGATAAGACTGATTCATAGTCAGGGCTGTCAGTTGCACAGCACAATCTCCAATATGGCCATCTTTGCCCAAAACCCCATTGAAACATGAAACACTGCTTCAAAGAATGAGCAACTTGGGTGGCAAATCTTGGGTGGACGCCCATGTGTGTTTGGCTTACTACTTAACTGTCCAATATACTTGTGTTGTGTCAAGCTAGATGCCAAAAGTAGGCATTTTTGAGTATTTGCAGCATGGAACATTCAGCAGTGGTGTGTTTGCAAACCATGACAGATTTTTACCAAATAATGTTGGCACATAGGTGGGCACAACTTCTAATTTTGGGAAGCTTATCAAAATTTTGTAGTAGAAATGAATAAATTGTAACATTGAGGGCATCATAAGATGTTTTGTGGCACATTTAGATCACAGGAAATGGCCAAATATTGGGATAAGTCATATTTTGAGATAAGGTTTGACATAATTTGCTCTGTATGGGGCAGCTTATCCTATTTGGGAGAGGATAATCATGCCACAAACATCATATTCACATGCCAGCTATAGTTTACAGACTGGAGCACAGATGGCATCTTGGACAGAAGCAGGGCAATGATTTAGATGGTTCTGCAACAAATGTCAAAAAAGCAAATGCTGTAATTGTGGTGTTCATCAAAATGTTCTTCAGTTATTAGAATTCTCTGCTCAGAGTGTTGAGCATTACATATGCATTCCCATCATCCAAAAATATCCTCATTAACTAAAAGTTGAGACATAATTCAACCCCAAAGTTGCTGGCATGCATTTTGCACATATTGCCATTTCTTTACATTAGCAAAACAGTTGTCAATTAAATTCAGCAATGTAATTAAAGTGAAAAGTAGCTGAAGCAACTTGTGTTATTCTCAACCAAATTTGGCATGAAAATGACCCAATTGGTCAATTATTGTTGAAGTGTTATGTTGCACTATTGAATTTAGAACTTGTCAAGTGCTAAGAAAGAATGACCATAATGAAAATGACAGATGAAGGCAGATGTTTAAACAATGAGCCTATAATGATTCAGTTGATGGCAATGACAGCTCATGATAATCTATGTGTTGCACAGTATGATTATGGTTATCTGTTGCATCAATTACCACTTGACTTTAGCAGAAGTGCCCGGGACTTGCCTGAGTATAACTAAGACCAACACAGCTATAGGTCTGCCTACACATACCATTTGTGCAGGGTGAACCAGCATTTAAAAGACAGGGCACATCTCCGAAGTGTGCCTTTACAAAGGACATGATTTTGCATTAAACATTGCTGTCAGTAGATACTCATGACATAGTGAATTTATCCTGCCAAAGTTTTGGAAACACAATGATCCTCATTTCAGAACATTCTCCAGAAGACATTAAAGCCAGGGAGCAGTTAAAGCAACATGTTTGGTTCAGGCAGTACCCCTGGTTTCGGTAAGTTATAATCTGGCATGTGTTATTCTGTTGTCATTGCTGTGTGTATGCTCCGCTTGTAAGTTCTCTTTCATTATAGCATCTGGTGTAAAGTTCTCTATCTGGTGTTGAAAACTTTATGCAGGCCATGATTTAAAGCATTTTTTATCTGTGTTTAACTCAAACATCTAGATTTGACTATAACTTGACCTCTGGGAGTGTTTTTCTGTTTAACCCTTGAACATAAACCCAACAATCACATTGGACCCTATGCATGATGGTCATGCCATTCACAAGCACCATAGCATTGCTCATCACCATACTGCAGCTCACAGTGCTTCAGTCTGTATGCTACCAGACACTGCCACATGGTGCAGTCTGCACAGCCACCTCCAGTCGCCACTCCCAACGGCTGGGATGTGGTGCAGACGGGTGCGCGCCATAGCAGCTATAGCAGCCGTCGTAGCAGCCTCGGTAATCTCCGCCTCCACCGTGCGCCGCAGGGGGTTTCGGCGCGTCGACCACATCGACGCCGTTTAACAGCTCGGCATTCAGCAAGCCGGCCGCCGCGACGTTCGGTGCCCCAGCGTTCGGCGCGCCGGTCACGGGCGGCGCCTCCGTCTTTGGCTCCTCGGGCTCGGCGTTTGGCACCACGGCGCCGGTCTTCGGCGCCGCCACGCCGACGGCGGGCTTTGGCGGTGCGTCGTCGGCCGCTGCGGGCCGTCGCCGGCGGCGCCGCCTCGGCACCGTCGCCGGCTCCGCGGTGCCCAGCCTGCACGTGATGCGTTGCGTGGCGTTTGGAGCTGGCTGGTGGTTGAGCGTGGCCGAGTTTAAGCTGTGACCTCTGGAATGTGTCGTGTGGTGTTTCCGAGGGCTGGCTCAGATGTAAGCTGACTCTCCAACTTCGCTTCGTGGTGCGTGTGGGACAGTCTATGTAGCCTCGTACTGAGTATATACTTCATTGTATTGGTCTCGGGTGGTCATCGCCTGTCCGCACAGTCGAAGCGCCCAAAAGTGTCATTAACCAACCAATTGATTGGTTTCTGATCAATTTTATAATTTTTTATTATTGATCGGTTTATTGTTGATCGGTTTTCGCTCTGCCGTTTGGTGGCCTGGCAACGCTGCCAGCTCCTTTCGGTGCCCGCCGTGGTGACCTTCCCCTTCCCGCGGCGTCGGCAGGCTTCGGCGCCGGCACGTCGTCGGCGTCGACGGTGTTCGGCGCGCCGCGCACGCAGGCTGCGCCCCTGTTCGGCGCCGCCGGCACGGGCACGTTCGGCGCGCCGGCCGTCACGCAGCAGGCCAAGACGGGCTTCTCGTTCGGCAGCGGCGCGTCCGTGTTCGGCCAGCAGCAGCAGCAGCCCACCGGCACGGCCACGCTCTTCGGCGCAGCTGCGCCTGCCCAACCCACCGCATTTGGAGCCGCTGCCACCAGTGAGTGGAGCGGGGGGGGGGGGGGGGGCGTCACAGGTTGCGGCAGTAGTTGGGGTCGTGCGCCCCGCACGCTCGACGCCCGGTTTTGTTGTGGATGTCTAAGTGTGGGATCGTTAGGGTCTGTAAGCCGCCAGTGAGGTTACAGACACAAATTTATTCGATCAGTGTCGAATTACATTCGAGAGTCAGGTGTTGTCCCGAATGCTGGCCATTGATTTGCCGTTTTTGTGTACTCTATCCACCACTACAGCCATCCCTTCCGCCGCCTTGCCCTCACCCCCTGCCCCGGCGTGAGCCACTGACGGGCGGTAACTGTGCTCCTGCGTCTGGCAGCGTTCGGCGCCGCCGGCGCGGTCACCGGCACCACGGTCAAGTTCAACGCACCCAGCGGAACAGATACCATGGTGAAGAACAACACCCAGCAGCACATTAACACCCGCTTCATGTGCATCGTCACCATGAAGGAGTACGAGTCCAAGTCACTGGAGGAGCTGCGCATGGAGGACTACGCCGCCAATCGCAAAGGTGGGCATCTATTGACACTGCCCTCGGAGCGGTCATAGCCATCATGATGCCTTGTGAGGTGGGAGGTGTCTGTCTTTCCTGCCCTTCAGCTGGTTATCAGCAGGTCCCTTCGGCTGGTAATTAGCACGTGTGCTGCCTGTTCCCGCGGCGTACACTGTGCTCGATATTGCAGTGAATAGTGAGCAGCTGTTAAGTATCGACAGTTACTGATCGGGGCCCAAGTGCGGGCCCAGCGACTCCAGCGCCACCGTCCGCCGTCGGTGTCGTTCGGCTGTGTGCGCCTGGTGACTTTGCTCGTGCGCGACGGGCGTGTGCTCTGCTCCCCGGCGTCGGCCGCCTGACAGCCCCGCCGTCGTGTTGGGCAGGTCCGCAGGCCGGCGGCGGGTTCGGCCAGCCGGCCGGCGGCATGTTCGGCTCGGCCAGCTCGGCCGGCTCCAGCCTGTTCGGCGCCACGCAGAGCAAGCCGCTGTTCGGCGCTGCCCCCAGTGAGTCGACCTCGGGCCCGCTGCCGGCGCCGCCGGTGGCGCCCACGTCGCACGCAGTGGCTCACGTCGGTTGTGCTTGCTTTGCGCTTGCCGCCGCAGTGCCGGCGACTCTGCGCGAAGTTTCGTGTATGCTTTTGTCCCTTCGTCTGGTGTCGTCACGCCCTTGCGCCGCCTCACCCTATTCAGACGGGACGGGCGTGTCCTCGTGTCGCGCGCCCGTGCTCTGGCGCCCAGCGCGTGACGTGGCGTCGCCCGGCCGGCAGCACCGACCGGCGGCGGCATGTTCGGCGCGCCGCAGCAGCAGGCCGGCGCCGGCCTGTTCGGCGCCGCCAAGCCAACCGGCTTCGGCGCGCCGACCACCTCCACCGGCTTCAGCGGCTTCGGCCAGCCGGCCAGCTCCGCCGGCTTGTTCGGCGCAACGCAGCAGAGCAAGCCGCTCTTCGGTGAGCGGCGGGCGTGGCACCGCGCCGGGAGGGGTAGAGGTGGGGTAGGGAGCGGCGTACTTGTCCCTAGGGGAGTGGCTGCCCAAAAGAGTCAAATGCGTATCTTGCCCAGAATTTTGTCCACTCTCTTCTCAGGATGGCAGGGGGGGGGGGGGGTGGATGCGGAACACGATCTCATCACGACCGTCGCAGTTACGGACGCATCACATGGGGTTACTACCCTATTGCGTTTGTCCTTGTGGTATTGGTCGCGTTACACCACTGGAGCGTGATGCGGGACTCTGACTCCACGCCTCCCCTGATGACGGCCACCCCTGACCTGACCTACTTGACTTGACCTGTCGTTGTCGCCAGGCACTCCCGCCAGCTCTGGCGGTCCGTTCAGTGGCGCGGCGGCGCAGCCGACTGTCGGCTTCGGCTCGTCCCTCACCAGCCAGCCGTCGACGGGGCTGTTCGGCGCGGCGCCGGCCACCAGCGGCGCCTTCAGCTTCGCCGGCGCCGCGCAGCCGGCCGCCGGCGCCGCCAGCGGCGGCCTGTTCGGCGCCAAGCCCGCCTTCTCCGGCTTCGGGCAGCCGCAGCAGCCGGCCGGCAGCGCCTTCTCGTTCAACACGGCCGCCAAGCCGGCCGGTTCGGCCTTCAGCTTCAGCACGCCGGGCTCGGCGTTTGGCGCGGGTGAGCGACGGGATGGTGCGTGGGACGGCGGGAACAGGGCTGATGGCGCTGGTGCAGAGCCGGGCGGCGGGGCACACATTGACTTCAGGTCGCCGTGTGCCAGTGCCACTGTGCCGCCCGGGGCGGCCAGTCGGGCTGCATTGGCAAACAAAACACGTGGGCGCTGATCCCAAGGAGGCGGTGCTTTGGTCGTGACATGGGGCGGCAGTTAGTATACAGTGACGCATCAGTCGCTGTTCGTTCACCACATTGTACAATACGTGTTCCGATCAGGTCTTGTGCTCGACTGTCGCTCTCCGCATGTTATCACCGTACAGCATGCACCTGCGTGCTGGGGTACCAGCCGCGTGATGCGGCCGGGCCGCCGCCCCAGCCTGACTCCACTGACCTACCCAACAGGCACTGGCTCCTTGTTCAACAACCAGCCTAAGCCGGCTGGCTCCACGTTCGGCACCGGGTTCGGATTCGGCCAGACAGCGCAGAACCCCACGTTTACCGGGTGCGTACAGCGTGCGGACGGGGCAGGGGAGGCAGCCGGTGCCGTCACAGTGTGAAGCTGCACCTGCGGAGCGCCGCCGAGCGATCGCCGCCGCGCCTCTCGCTGTCGTCGGCGACAGTTAACACTGTCCTGCGCGCCACGTGGACTCGGAATATCCACATGTGATCACGATTTCGGTTATTTGTTGCCCTGGCGCGCCGACATTGAACCAAGAATGTGTTAACTCCAGCACTGCCGGTGTCCGTCTCTCGTGAAGTCTTCGTTGTGCCCTACCCTCCCCTCCCTCTTGCTCCCGCCCGGGGCGTGGACGCCGAACTCACCACGCCGCCCGTCCGTCCGCCTTGCAGATTCGGCGCGCCCCAGCAGCAGCCGTCGCTGCTGCTGGGCCAGCAGCCTCTGGCGGCGCCGCAGCCGCAGGCGGGGGCGGCGGCCGGCCAGCTGCACCAGCAGATCATGGTACTGACGGCCAACCCGTTCGGTGACCTGCCCCTCTTCAGAAACCTGACCGAGGTGAGCGGCGGCCGCCCGGGCGGCAGACACGCTGGACACGCCCGTCGGCCGTTGGGTGCGTGTGGTTAGTTCAGGCGTCAGGTAACACAGTATTCTGTATCCTGTCGTAATGTACGGACGCCAGTGGTTCGTTGTGATGGTTCAGACAGTGGTTCGTGTATATGCGAACCTCCGTCTTAATTATGGGACCTCACGTCCCTGCAATTATTTTAACGAGGCTTGGACTCCGTCCCTGACCTCGCCTGTGTTTGAGACCGATCTCGTGACCCTAACAGTGAACCGGCATTGGCAATGTCTGTGACCTCCTAGCACGGCTAACGGTGGTGCTGACTGTGACGTCGGCAGGCGAGTGTGACCCGGCAGGACGTGCTGAAGCCGACCAACCCGCAGGCGCAGAAGGTCATCACCGAGGCGGCGCCGTATAAGGTGTCGCCCCGTGTCGTCAGTAAGCTGACGCCCAAGCCCATCATCCAGACGCCGGGCAAGGTACGCGGCACGGTCTGGAGGTCGGCGCCGGCGTCGAGCTGCGCCGCCACCTTAGGGCTGTATGCAGTTCAGTCGGTCTCTGCAGTGTTGAGACACTGCTGCTGTGATTCTGATGTGCTGGTTAAGTCGTCCTCTTTGTGACGCCCGTCTGCACGACATGCAAAGTATGTCTGGTGTTGAAACCGGCTTCGGTCTCGCGAAGCCGCAGTTTTCCTCTAATGGCATCTGTTTCAGATTGACATTGAGACATTTTTCACAACTGACTATGGCCTTGTCTTCGTGATGATATTTTCTGAACCCGTGGAGTTTCAGCAGATGCGAAGGTGGTTTGGGTCACAGAAAACGTTGCATTTTAATCGGTTTCGGCTTTGACCTGGTGATTTTACACTTTTCGAGCAGTTAAACAGCTAAAAGCTCGAGGCCACTGACTCTGGCTTCCATAAGGTTTTGAACAGATTTGCACAAACCGGCTCGGGACTCTGGTTCTTTTTCTCAAAAACATTGAAGCCTCTGGCTTCGGCTCTGCATTCTAAACTTGGAAGCCGTCAGGTTCGGCTTCGACTTCAACCTCATGTCGTCTTGGCTTCGGATCCAGAAGTTCCAGAAGCCTGGCTTCGCCCTCTCCGCTTGGTGCGTGAGCCGCCGGTGTGTGCCCGCGGGTTCGACCGTGCGGTCCCTGTGCTGCGCCAGCCGGTCGCCTCCGTCTGACGGCCTCGCCCTCTCCGCCAGTCGTCGCTGTTCGACGGCCTGGACGACGAGGCCTGACGACGAGGTGGACGTGCTGGTGCCGCGACGCCCGGTCAAGAAGCTGGAGATCAGGGCGGGCGCGCCAACGCCCGGCAGCCAGCCGGCCGCACCGGTGGCCGGGCCGACCTCAGTGGCCACCCCGCCGTCCCGCGGACCCGCCAGGTCAGCGGGGCTGCCCCCCCCCCCCCGCGGCCGCGGTCACGGCGGCCGCTCCGCAGCCGGACTGCCGCGGCCGGCAAGATTTGAGACTTTGCCTGGGGAACGAGGGTACATTGCATTGTACCTACACCTAGACTGTTCTCCTCTTCACTTCCAAGTGGTGTGAAAAGGGAGCATTGCTTCTGTCGCGGGCAGGGCCTGGTACTAGGGACGTGAGCAGTTCTGCCCAGCGCTTTTACCTTATCATTGGTGTTGAGCTGGTGTCAATGACTTCCCCCATCAACGCGTCTGCCGGTTTCCAGCAAGTCGGGCGTAACGTTCAGCCCAGACTACAGCAACTCGCCAGACATCATCCGTGGGCAGCTGAAGACGCCTCACCTGGCCAAGGACGCCCCGCCGCAGTGAGTGACCCGCCCGCGCGGCCAGGCTGCCGGCGGCGAAGAGCGCGGCCCCCTTTTCAGCTCGCCAACTCTTCAACTCTGAGCTCTCGGTCTCGGCTTGTACGCTGAACTCGCCGTGCGGCGGGGCGTGCCTGGTGGCGGGGCCGTGTGGAGCGGTCTCCAGGGCTCAGTGGGTCGGCTGTCGACGTTGTCGGGCCGGTGCGCAAGCCAGTCGCTATTTCATACTGATCACTCTCACCGCCTGGAGCCGGCTCGCGTTTGTGATGCGTCCGGTTGCCGTTGGCGCCCGGTTGCCGGCCGTCGGTCGAGCTCTCCTGACTGGACTTCTCGCCCGCGGTCCGCCAGGGACGCCGACGACACCATCAGCAAGCTGAACACGCGGAAGCCGGCGCCGCCCGGCCGTCACGGCCCGGACGGCGTCAGCGAGAACAAGGAGAACGTCTCCGAGAGCTTTGCGCTGGACGACACAGTGTCGGAAGGTACGCCGGGACCTGCGGGTGTCGGATTGTGAGACGACCTGATCCCAGGACTCGGGCGACGTTTTGGAGTGTGGTTCGTCACAAGTGATGCGCACTGATTTGACGTGTCAGCCCCTGCGGTAGGTTACCGCGGCAGCTGTCCTGAAAACGACGGTCATGCAGTCTGGTGACGGGCCGGGTCTCGTTTGCGCCGGGTCTGGTGCTGGGTATACTGTGGCCCACGTGACGTCTCGTGCCCGCTGCGTCGCCTGACGCCAGAGTTTGTGTCCTCTGTTCGCTGACCTGGCTTCCCTGGAGTTTTCCGGTCCCCTGCTGCCTCCGTCACGCTGTGCGCCCCCCCCCCCCCCTTCCCTCGCGCCGCCCTCTGGCGCCGCCTCACGCCGCCCGCTCGGTCCGCAGACGGCGCCGAGCCGCTGGCCGAGGAGGCCGAGGAGGCGCCGCCGCACCCGTCCGGTGTCAAGCTGAGGCGGCCCGGCTACTACACCCTGCCGCCGCTGGACAAGCTGCAGCCGGGCGCCGACGGCTGCCTGCGGGTCGAGGGGCTCACCATCGGCCGCCAGTGGTACGGCAGCGTCTACTTCCCGGGTCAGACCGACCTGACCGGGCTCGACCTGGACAGCGTGGTGATCTTCCGGCGGCGCGAGGTCTGCATATACCCGGACGACAAGCTCAAGCCGCCGCGCGGCCAGGGCCTCAACAAGCCGGCCCAGGTGAGCCGCCGGGGCGGACGACTGACGGGGTGGAGCCCGCTCGCGTTGGCGGCCCAGTGGGCACCATTGGCCCAGACACCCGGCTGGGGCCAACGGCTTGCCGTGGCTCTCGCGCTGCTTCCGTTTTAGTCGCTCCTGTGAGTGGTTGTGGAAAGCCGCTGCCGCATGCTGCCGTCGCTGGAGATGAGTCGTACGTCGGGTTTTACGCAACCAGATGTTCATTCATCGGGGGGGGGGGGGCGGGGGGGGGGGGGGGGCTTGCAGGCCCAAATCACAACGTGCTGCGCAACAGGCGGCATGGCTGTTGCCAGATCCCGTCTGAAACATCGCCTGAGCGCCTCTGGCCGCGATCCACCGTAGCCTGACCCGCCTCTGTCTGTGCCGCGCAGGTGACCCTGGAGCGGGTGTGGCCGACGGACAAGGCGTCACACCAGCCGATCACCGACCCGGACCGGCTGGCGTCCGTCGGCTGGGAGCAGCGGCTAGAGCGCGCCTGCCACAAGCTGGGGGCGGCGTTCGTCGAGTACCGACCCGAGACCGGCTCCTGGGTGTTCAAGGTGAGCGGCAGCGGCGGGCACGGAGACGGAGACGGAGACGGAGACGGAGACGGTACGGAGACGGAGACGGAGACGGAGACGGAGACGGAGACGGAGACGGAGACGGAGACGGAAGACGGAGACGGAGACGGAGACGGAGACGGGGACGGAGTGACGCGCCGGCTCATGTCAGGCGATGATGTCAGTTTAAGTCGCTGTCGGTGGGAGGGCTCCGTTGTACTGTGCGTGCGCTGCGGTCTGAGATGTCTGATGTGACGTCCGTCATGATAACGGCGTAGCGGTCACGTGTCTCCGAAGTAAAGCACAGCCGATTGGCGAACGCCCTGATGTCTGGAGGTCGTGTGTATCGCAGCTGGCGAACGTCGCCTCGCGGTCTGTCCACAGTCAGACCTCTCTGTCCTCACAGCTGCGTGTCATTGTCTGCTGATCCCCTCGTTCCTACCTGTTGGGACGTGTCCGGCGCCTTTGCCTTGTGGCGCCTTACACGCTCTCCGCTTCAGGTGGAGCACTTCTCCAAGTACGGTCTGAACGACTCGGACGAGGAGGAGGGCGGCTCTCCGCTGGTGGCGGCACGACCGCGGCCGCTGGCGCCGCCCGGCCCGCTGGCGCCGCCGGCTGCTGGCGCCCCGCCCGGCCCGCCGCAGCTGCCGCTGGCGGCCGGCCCGGAGCAGCGTCTGGACGTGGCGCCAGCCGCCCCGCCGCCGCGCACCGTGCACGGTCGGTGGGGAGGGGAGAGGAGGGAGGAGATGACTGGCGCCTCGGATTCCGGGTGTCGGAGGGCAGGGTGGGGAGGGATGGCGCAGAGGAACTGTTCGCGAATGGGGGTGTGTGTTTGGCTCGTGGCGTACGTCTTGTTCTTTTTTGTGAACGGGTTGAAAGCCAGTCAGGCCGTTCGCTGTTTGAAAGGGAGCTTGTGTGTGGGGTATACCAGGTGTATGTCCTGACCAGTGTGCGGCTCAGTGGCTCACCTTGGTGTATGTCAGGTATCTTGCGCATGACGTGGAGTAATAACTCGCGCGTGGCCCCACTCACCGCCGGAACCGCGCTGCTGCTGCCTCTGCCCCTGCCTCTGCCCCTGCCCCTGCCCCTGCCCCTGCCTCTGCCTCTGCCTCTGCCTCGCTCGCGGTGCCTCGTCCATTGAGCGGCGCCCGCCCGCAGACGGTCTGACGTCCCTGGCGCCGGGCGACGCCGCCTCGCCGGCGGTGCGGCTGGCGCGCGCGCTCGCCCTCGACTCGGACAAGGTGCAGGACATGAAGGCCTCCTTCTTCATGGAGGAGGACGAGGGCATCGAGGACGACGGAGGTCAGTGGACGGCGGGCGCGACCGCAGTTGACCGCTCCTGCGGCCGTGGCTCCGTCCAGGTGACTTCATTCTTACATCGGTGACTGCCTCTGTCCAATGAATTGTGGCGTAGCTGATTGCCATGCAGTGGAATCATCCGGGCACGGGGAACGGTCGTGGCTAGAGGGACACGACTGTGCTTGATCTCTGCGACGGCAGGGTCGCTCATACGCCGTGTGCTATTAGCCTGATGTGGCGGCTCGCGGACGGCGTCCGATGTGCGGTCCCCACGTCACGGCGTCGGCCGCCGTATCAGCGCTGGCGTCGGCGGTCCCCGCAGGGAGCCAGCCGGAGGAGGACGCCGCCGGACCGCCGCCGCCGCCGCTGCCCGCGTCGGCGTTTCACGTCGGCTTGCTGTCGGAGTCGGTGCGCGGCCCGCTGGCGCCCCGCCCGCCGCCTCCCGCCCAGCCGTCCGTCGAGGAGGCCGAGCACGACGACTGGGACGATCAGGAGGCCGTCTTCGGTACGTGGCGGCGAGCGGCCGCTGTCGAGGGGGCGCGTAGGGAGGCTGCTATAGGGGTGGGGGGGGGGGGGGGGAAGTCCGCTGTGAAGGAGCGGGGAGGCAGGGAGGCCTCTATGGAGGGGCGGGGAGACTGCTGTGAATAGGGGGGGGGGGGGGGGGAGGCTGTTGTGGAGGGACGGATCGCAGAAAGACTTGAGACAATATGGGAAATGTTCGCGGTGCCAGACGTGGCGAGGGGGCTCGTCGGTGTTCCCGATGTACAGAAGTGTGGAGCTTATGACGGACCATTTTCATGCTCGGCGGTTGGCGGGAAATAGACGTTACACTCAACCCGTTATGTTTATTGTCACTCCTTTCCCCAAGCACACCAGAGCGTCTGGACTCCAACTCCAGCCGCCCTCCGCCATCACCAGCTCCATCCAGCACCTGGCATCAGCCGCCCCCCCCCCCCCCCCCCCAGCACAGTCCGCTGACTGAGCGCGCGCGGCGCCGCTGCCGCAGGGGCGCGCCGTGTGGAGAAGCTGCCGACAGCACCGCCGTCGGACCGCGCCGTAGTGGAGGCCTGCCGCCTGCTGGAGTCGGAGGCGCACCAGGACCTGCCGCCCATAGTGCCGCGATACGTCAACCACCTGACGCCGCTGGAACGCTCCAGCAGGTACGGCCTGGTGACGGCGGCGATCAGGCATCAGTAGGACGGCCGGCCACGCGGCGGGGTGGGCTGATGTTCTGCTGATGCACGATGGCTAGCGGCCTGGACGCCAGGTGACGAGTGCTGCTCGTGCAGGCAGATTGCGCTCTACGATTGTGCCGTCTTCGACTACATCACTCGTCCGCAGTGTGTGCGGGCAGGGCGCTTCTCCCGATGAGGGTGAAAGTGCTCGGTGGTGGGGCTGTGTCAGAACGGCCACCTCGCTGAACGTCGTCGATCACCTAGCGCGCGCACACACGCGCGGCGGCGGCGGCGCAGCGGCGTGCTGGGCCGGACTGAGCCACCCCGGCCACGGCAGTGACGCCCCGACCGCCTCCGCAGGGCTAGCACGGGTCTGCGGCTGGCCGACCTGGGCAGCATGATGGGGTGCCGCTGGCGGCTGGGCTGGGGCGCCGGCTGGCAGCTGGCGGCGGCCGCCGGCGCCGGCGCCGCCCTCCCGTTCGGCCTCGTCTGCGGCCACGTGACGGCCACCGACCGACAGACGGACCGGCCCGACTCGCTGCGGGTCAGTCCACCCAGGATCAGGGGGCGGCGGCCTCGCGCCGGGGTGGGGCGGGGTGGGGCACAGTAGATGCAACGGCGGCGCGGTGGGCGCTCGTCTGGTGAGCTTGTGGAGTTGTCAGGTTTGGTGTGAGGCGATAGCGCCAGCTGGCCGTGGTGTAGCTGTCGTAATAGGTCCAGTATATACTTGTGGTGGTACGGTCACGCTACTGAATGGCGCCTTCTCAAAGCGTTCTACCACCATCACTCGCACTTTTTGATTGACTGGCTTGGACCGTCGACTTCCCACAAGTGTGCCCGCCGTTGCCTGCCGGCACAGCGGCCCAGACCGGGCCTGGCTGCCTCTGACTGTTGCGGCCGCCGCTGCGTGTCGGCACAGCGGCCCAGACCGGGCCTGGCTGCCACTGACTGTTCCGGCCGCCGCTGCGTGTCGGCACAGCGGCCCAGACCGGGCCTGGCCGCCACTGACTGCTGCGGCCGCCGCTGCTGCCCTCACAGGCCGAGTACGCTCAGCTGATGGCGGTGCAACTGCGCTTCTCCGCCTGCGAGGTGCCGGCCGGCAGCGTGTGGCCGCTGTTCAGCACGCGACGCGACCTCGCCCTGCCAGAGGAGCTGGCCAAGGTGGACCAGCAGTGGGCCGACATCTGGCGCCTGCTGGTCGCTCTCTGGGGTCAGCTCGACTTCTCCGTGCTGGCAGAAGGTGGGCGGCGGAGGAGACGGCGCCGGGAGGCCGGCTCGTGGTCTGGTCGGGGATGCGTCGCGGCCGGGACGGGCGTGGGCTGGGAAGTTGTGGTTTATTTTTGTTGTTCGTGGCTTCATGACTAGAATCGGGGCGGATCGCGACGTTTTGTATGTTCTGTGACGCGAGTTGTGGCCACCTGAGTACGTTTAGGACGAGGGCTTTTGAATGGCATTATGCTGTTTTTGGTCATGATTACTACTTCGAACCGTCGAGTATTGTCATCAAATATTCCAATGATTGCTTGATTTCGGTTAACCACCTCCTGTGATATGAAAAGTCGAATGCTTTCAGCGTAAGAGCTCTGCCGCGTGGGCAGAAACTTTGTATCTAACAGTACATTGGAAGTGTATTGAATCTCCTTTTTAGCCCATGCTTCCAATGGCGATTCGATCCCAGCGAATTCTTGGTCTCGTTTCAGACGCATTTTGATCTCCAGACAGGAGTATTACGCCCATCTGAACCTGTCTTTTGATAATCGTGTCTGCCCGCTCGAACCCCATGGTTGCCGCGTGCCAAGCGAGCAGGCGGCCGCTGCCGCCGCGCTAGTCCCCGCTGTGCGCCCGCGGTCACGCCGTGGGGCCGCCCGCCTGACCGGCGCCGCCTGCCGACAGACCACGAGGAGTGCCGGGCGTACGCGGAGGTGCAGTGCCGGCGCGAGGCCCTCTCCCGCTGGCTGGAGACCACCTGCCGGCCGCTGGTGGCCCGCGAGGTCGAGTCGCACGGCGACGAGCAGTACCTGGAGACAGTGTTCGCCCATCTGAGCGTCCGCCAGGTCAGCTAGCGGGCAGGGGCTCGGACCGAGCGCCGGCCGGGCCAGCACGGCCCCTGCGGCCCCGCCCCCCTTTTCCATTTTCGAATTGCAGTGCACTGGGCTCTGTCTCATGTCGATTAATATTTGCGGGATGTCGTTTGTCGGAGACCTCCGCCCACTGAGCCGATGAGCCTGCATGTATGGCGGCCGCGTGATCTTGTGACGACCCACCAGTGTGGCCAGCCTCCGTCAGCCGCTCTCTCCGCTGGGCCGGCAGGTGGGAGCGGCGATGCGGGTGGCCCAGCGACACGGTGACCTCAGCCTGAGCCTGCTGCTCACTCAGGTCACGGGCTCGCACGAGACGCGCCAGCTGGTCAGGAGCCAGCTGGAGAACTGGCGCCAGGTGAGGCCGACCCCAGTCACCGTCGGCCGACGGCGCGGCCCGCCACGCCCTCTGGCGGCTGGACGCGTGACCGCCGTCTGCACTTGACTTGAAGGAAACATCGCGAAAAGTTATTTCAAACCGACAGATGTCTCGGTCTGATTGCGCCGATTTTGGCCCTGTCATTTCGTATGTTTTCCGTGTTTCCCTCCCGGAAAAACAAGCTAAGCCAGCCGGCTGTCTCCTCAGGGGCGGACCATTCGTGTGAGAGTCGTTGCACGTCGCCCTGGGCGCCGCCGCCGTGCTGACCTGACCTGACCTGACCTGACCGCTGACCCCCACCCGTGGCTGTCAGGTGTGCGCCGACCAGCACATTAGCCGGGAGCGGCTGCGGCTGTACATGCTGGTGGCCGGCCTGGCCGTCTGGCAGACCAGCCACTCGGTGGTGAACCTGTGCACAGGGCTGGACTGGCGCCGTGCCCTGGCCATCCATCTCTGGTGAGTGGCGACGAGCACCGTGCCCGGCGGGCAGAGTGTCAGCACGGTGACAGCATCTAAGCTGAAAGCGGCGGGTGTGGGGATGGGGGGGAAACAGTGACAGTTGTGCTTCCTGTTGCAGGGGTTTTGTTTGTTGCAACGTGGCGGTAGCGGAAGGTGCGGTGCACTTTCGGATGGGGAAGAATCAACGTTCGGAACGCGCTCATTGTCGGGATGCGTGTGGAAATGTTCCTGGTGTATGACGGGTGCAGGATCTTCCCCCTGTGTAATATGTGGCCAACTAGTAGTTGGCATGCACGTTGTACGTGTGGCTCGAAACATAAAACCTCCCCTCCCTCCCCTGACACCGTCTCCCCGCCGGCGCCCCGCTCCGCGGCCGCCGGCCGTCGCTGACCGGTCCGGTCGCCTGCGCGGCAGGTACCTCTCGCCAGCCACCAGCAGCGTGTCGGACGTGGTGACGCAGTACGACGAGGCGGCGCGCGCGGCCGACGGCGGCCCACCGCTGGCGCCGCCGCCGCTGCCCGCCTACCTGCCCGACCGCGGCGACGACGAGGCCGGCGAGCTGCCGCGGGACGTGTGCCACCACCTGCTGCGGCTGTACGTGAACGGCGGCGGCCGCCTGGAGCCGCTGCTCACGCCGGCCTCGCACACCGCCGAGCCGCTCGATCACAAGCTCAGGTGAGAGCACGGCCCCGGCGGGAGGGCGTCAGCGTGGGGCAGAAGGCGCTGGGAGGCTAGGTATGAAGGGGATGTGGCCGGAGGGGCTCCGAATTTGGGTCACAAGTCCCGGTGGCGACGGGACTGAACCAGCAGAACACGGGCTCAAGTGGGGTGGTTGGATCAGATCAGGCTGACGCGGCAATGGTCACGCAATACACGAAGGTGTGTGCGTGGTCTCGGAAATCGGCCAAACTGGCCAACCAATCGAACAAAAACGCCTAGAAAACCCGCTCTTCCTTTGTCTGGCAGTGTGGTGAGTGTGCCGATCACATCCGTTCACCGTCAGCGAACAAGTCGCCTGCCTCCTGTGTGCCCCACTCCGCGTATCTGTGTACTGTGTCCGTTGTGACGCAATGGTTGCGCGTGAATGGTGACTCCGGCACGGAGGCGGCCCGCGCGGCTGACGTCGCGCCCGGTCGGCAGCTGGCTGCTGATGGAGTGCCTGGCGTCGCTCGGCTACCAGCACCTGCCGGAGCCGCGCGCCGAGCAGCTGCACGTCAGCATGGCTGCGCAGCTGGAGGGCGTCGGCCTCTGGCACCTGGCAGTGTTCGTGCTGCTGCATATCGCCGACCTGGACAGGTAGGCGCGCGCGCCCGCCTGCTCGCTGCCCGGGAACGGCCGGCGTGCTGTGACTTGGCGCGCAGTGCCGCCCAGAGCGGGGCCGCGAGCCCGGACCGCTCGTGCCGGTGTCGGCGCGTCTCGGATCCCTGGCGACCGGCGCCAGCCGCCGCTCTATCGTGCTCAGGCTCACAGCCGGCAGCCGGCAACCTGTGCTTTGCTGTTGTTCCCAGCCGCGCCGCGAATGCTTCAAACACTACCGGCGCGCACCGCAAGCGTGTGATCCGCGTCAAGTTTCGCTGGCTGTGCTCTCCGCTCCGCAGCGCTGTGCAGTCCCCCCGCCCCCCTGATAGGCGTGTGGTGCCCCGTCGCAGGCGTCGCGCCGCCTGTTCGGACCTCCTGCTGCGTTACGTGACACTGCACCTGCCGGACGATGTGCGCAATCTGCTCATCAAGAACTTCGGCATCCCGGTGTCCGTGCTGAGCTATGCGCAGGCCGTGAGCGCGCGTGCCCTCGGCCGGCCGCGCGACGAGGCTCGACTGCTGCTGCTCGCCGAGAGATGGCAGGAGGGGCACGACCTGCTGGTCAGGCACATTGCTCCCGAGTGCATCATCAACGGTGAGCTGGTGTTGCGGACGGAAGCCACTCGGCTGGTCCCAGGTCGGCGTCCGGCCGGCACAGCGTGAAGCCCCGCGCTTAAATCCGACGCTCGCCGCCGGTGAAAGTAGCCGTCGCTCTCTTTACATGGCTTCGCGACACGCAGTTAGCCAGCTGTTCATCGGCGTTATGCATGTCTGTCAAAATCCACACCAACGCCGGCTGGTGGCCATTCTCACCATAAAGCGATCGTGACCCCACTTGGCGTCGGATGGACTGCTGCCACCTGGAAGGCATCACAGCAGCTGACGGCGCGATCCGGCCCTGACCGCGGCCGTCGCCCTGTCACCCGTCCGCAGAGGAGTACGCTGCGCTGGGCGATCTGTTGAGCCGCCTCTCGCCGCCGGAGGTCAGCCGCCGCGTCTCGGGCTGGGCGGCCTCCGGTCAGGTGTACGTCGACTACATTGCCGTGTCGGAGGCGGTACAGGCGGTGCTGGACGGCAGGGCCGACGCCGAACAGCTGCAGCGGCTGCGGCCGCAGCTGGCCACCGTCATGCAGCGCATCCCGGCCTTCCCGTGCCCAACGGCGTGGCACAGGTGGGCGTCAGGCTAGGCGCGTGCTGCCGAGCGCGGGAGCAGCGTACATGCTGACGGCTGTGTGATGTTCAGCGGGGCCCGACGACGGAGGGGACGACTGGGACGGCGGCCTGGTCTTGCGATGAGCGCCAGGCTGTGAACGGGGCAACTGTGAAGCGTTTGCCGTGTTTCAGTTTGCGTGAGATACTTGTCACCGTGTTGTTTCCAGTTCCAGTTGGCCGTCCCGAGCTGTTTGTGCTGCTGGCCGTCCCGTATCCCAGTGTTTCTTGCAGAAGCCGCCATCTATGTGTTGTGCATGCCGACGTCGGCCAGTTCGGCCGTATCGTCCGTACAGCGATCCTCACGCCGTCGTCGCCGCTGCCGCAGACTTGGCGCAGGCCGAGATGGCCAAGAAAGCAGCCACGCTGCTGCGAGCACTGCTCGAGGTGGACGGCGGGCCGGGCGTCGGCGCCGCTCTGCTCGAGCACCTCGGCCGCCTGCCGCTGCCCGAGGACTACGCCCTGGACGAGATGCAGCACGTACTGCGCTCCCACCTGCGCGAGCTGAAGGTCTGAGGCGGCGGCGGTGGTAGCGGGCCGCACGGCGACGCTCTTCTGCTCCCGCTCGAACGATCTCTCTCGCCGCGCGTGCCGCCGGCGGCGGCGAGTCGCGCCGCACCGCGCGCGGCCCGAGGGACGACCGCGACCGGGGCGCGCCGGCGCCCCGTGAACACAGACAGCTCGGCCGCCGACGGCAGCGCGCCGCGGCGACGGACCCCCGGCGGGACTCGGCTCGCCACGCGCCGCGCCGGCAGCCGCCGGACGCGGGACGCACTGCGTACGGGCAGCTCCGCCCCGCCCGTGACACTGGCTGGTGTCGGGGGCGGACATGACCCGTGGTCAGGGGCCGTCGAGGTGCTGCACCTGTCGCACCGGTTTTGCTAAGCACCATGTACGGCGTGTAGCGTTGGCGGAACGTGGGTACCCCAGCTGTGGGCGCTGTAGCCTTCCGTGATTTGCGCGCAAGCGCACCGTGAGGAGTAACGCGACATGTGCGAGGAATTAGAAGCGGGAGCTATAACGGAATGGTTCACTGTGTAGCCGAGAGGGCCTGTTGATGGCGTCACTGGAAAGCGCATGTAAATTCCAATGTTGCTAACGCACCCTGGTTTGGTCGAGGCATTTGTGATCCTCGTTGTGAGGGTAATTGGGAACGCAACGATATGTGATGCATAGAATTGGATGTTCTTGACGGAATTGCTGCTGGCGGTGACAAACGATCCATAGGAAGTGAGCATTTTGGCTAGACTATCATCTTTTAGGGATGCGCTCCAGTTGTTTGTCACTCGTGACATGTTTGGTGGTGGTGAAACAACCTATCTCGGCGGCAACTCTCTTGCGATGTTTTCAGGTTTTCAAATTTCCGATGTGCTTCTGATGAATAAAGCTTGATGCACCTGTGACCGCAGCCGGCACTCTAGCCCACGTCCCCATGACTGGCTTCCCCTACAAGCCCTAGTCAAAGAAAGTCATAGCTGAACGATTTTAAGACATAGATCCAGGAGGCTGTGTGGAGCGTTTGACGTGCAATTTCATGTTTATTTGTCACGAGGCAAAGCTAGTGCGGGCGATTGGCGGCACTGGCACTGAGCCGGGTGATTCACAGGAAATGAAGCGGAGCCCATCCCTCAACGGGTGCGGCGTGAACGCCCAGCAGTCGTTACCGGTCCATTTCTCGCTTCCTCACCGGACATTCCGGTCCTGTGGTCATAGCCGGTCGACAATCGGTGGATCATGGTGAGCGGGGATTGGGCGGGTGCTCCTCGCTCCTCATGCGAAGATTGGTACAATGCGGTGGAGCGCTTCACGTGGACGTTTCTTATCTGTTGAAGAAGTGCCTTGCAATGGCTTGGAATCTTTTACAGCAAGATGTTTAGCACACAACATGTCCTGCTGGCAGTGGGAGCGAAAGTAGTTGTGGGGTTGTAAACCATCATTTGGTGCTTGTTGCGGAGAACTTTTCAGCCATGCGATTTACTCTGAGGCCAACCTTCTTCCAAGCAAAAGCAGTCTTCGATTTTACATGAGTACCACTTGGCTGGACCAGATCATTCAACTGCAGGTGTTTTCCGTCCTTGGGTATACAGCTGTCAGCAACGGTGCCCCATTCTGTAGTTGCACCAGAGCCAGCTCATACTGTTGCACTGATCCAGCGTCAGGACTGCGCATATTTACACTGTTTCTAATTATAGACCCCATGAAACCACTTTTCGTAGCTATATCGTACATGGCTATGTGTTCTTAGAAGCATGCTGTAAAACTGAATCAATTTTGCTGATTTTAACCGCGAAACTATTCTAAAACCGATGATTTTGCGTGTTAGAAATGATGCGATGGGCTTCAAATTATTTAACAGACTCGTTCCTCAGGATGCCCAGGCCTGTTTCTAGCCTGTAAATTTTCGTCGTCCTTCGCCAGGCGTGTTTTGGTAGTGCTGTGCAGGGCGCGGGCTGGGTGATGAGCTGAAAAGTGTTTCACTCGCCTTGGCACCCGTACTGGCTTGGCAGCTACCCATATGAATGGTGGGAAGGGTCTGGAGGATTAGGAGCTGTTTCTCTATTCAAGCATTACCCCACGGCCGTGATTTTAAACTGGAGACCCTGAGCGGCCATCGCCTGGCAGGGGTCACCACGCGGTGACCTAAAAGGTGGGTTTGTGTCGTTACTAGCGGCTTCAGTTAATCCCTGTTGGAAGAGCAATTAACTTTTTATAGTTTTTCAGTACAAGAAAATTATTTCACCACTTGCATTGCTTTTGTGCCGCTCTAAACGTGGGGAGTTAGGCGAAAACGGCGCATTATATTGGTGGTGTTGATGGACAATGCAGTGCGTGATGACGTGATTAAGCACACAGAGATAAGTTTCTTCATCTTGAAATATTTGGTTTGTTCTTCATTACTTTTATGACAATTAAGATAGCTTGCAAGTCCAATGTTAAAGATGATGGCAAACTGGCTACCAGGATGTCAATTTGTCACCTTGCTCTAAGGATTCCATAGTACTTTCAGTCAAGTGAAGATTACAGATTCTTGACTGCAAGACATGATGCAAAAATAGTCACAATGTTGTCCTGGTAGTTATTCTGATTAAACCATGACATTCCCTACAGGTCATCTTTATGTCACCATGATACTGCCAGCAAATAAGTTGTCCTTTTTAGGTATAATTGTTTGCACTTTCTATTGTAGTTAATGTCTCATGGTTCATATTAATATTTTATAAATTGATGGTGTATATGTTTATTATAATTTTCAAGTGTAGCCTCTGTTATGGTTGCCATAATGAGGTCATGAGTGTGTTGAATTTTCTGTTCTCATGCTTTGAGTTTATTTTACTACTATAGAAATATACTTTCTAGCGCTAGTAGAGACTTGAAATGCTTCTGGACCCTATGTTTTCATTCAAAAACCAGTCTGCAGAAGGACTAATATTAGATCATGTATTGTTATGCCACAAATACAGCTTATATTCTTGCATGTTGTTAAGATGTTTGTTTGAGCTGAAAGAAAGGCACAAGTTTACTTAGAGACTGTTGAAAATATGGGATATCTTGCTAAGCTAATTTCCATGAGCCATGTGTCTGAAAGGCAATTGTTAAAGGCTAATATGCAGTGGTGATATTTGTTTGGGTGCTGCTAATTAGACTTGTGCCTATATTCCAAGTGTGGATCTGGAATTTCATGGTGTTCCATGTTGACAGGATCCTGAGATTTTTTAGCTCCAGGCACATGTCCATTGGTAACCAATGCTAAGATTTGACAATGTGTGCTTTGTGGTGTAATTCTGGGGACACCTGTTATTATGCCTATGTTATACATTGCTATGCTTAAAAGGCCAGAACAGTGTATGTGCAGACCCTGCCTAGCCCATATTTGTTGTTTTGATGACATTGAAATTCTACTCATTTAACCTGTGTCCAGGTGGCTGGTTGAATACTCTTTACTTGGGTGGGCAGCAGGGGTCAATTTGACCCCCTGAGATCTCAGATGCTAAGGGAGCTAGAGACACTGAATTCACAGGATATGTTTGCTTCTATATAAACTCGCCTGTGGCCAGTTTGAGGTTTCTAGGTCATGACCTTCAGGCCAAATAAGGTCAAACAGTGTCACACCAGATTGGGGTTCAAAGTGCCCCCAGACCATCTCATGCAACCACTGTAAACTCAGATACCTATTCAAAGTGAAAGGTCACTGGTACTTATTTAAATTTATTGACCTTGTTTGGCTTTTCAAAGTTCATGGTGACTGTCAGGGGCATATTCTGAAGTGTAAGAAGTTCATGGAAGACATGTGATGTGGTTATTGTTATCTAGAAATACAAAATGAGGACCAGAATCCACCCCATATATCAAGCTTTACAGTAATAAAACAAGTTGGTTTTGACATTGTTCTGACCTTCATATCTGACCCTAGATCAGTGGAATTGGTTCATTCAATTGTTAGCTGCATAAGAAACTATCTCAGAGATGTAAGGGTTCATGTAACATCCTGTAGTTGCATCAGATCGAAAATTCCGTGGAAAATGTCTGCCAAAGTGATGGGTCTGACCTGCCACAGGTCAGTGACCTTACAAGCTGCATCTAAATTTTTTCATTATTCAATTATGTACAGCTTTGCAAGATTAGGCACAGTGTGTCATTCAAAAATCCTTCCTCAAAAACCTTTGAAAGGGGTCAGTTTGACCCCTGCTCATCCCAGTGTGTGAAAAATGCATCTTGTGTGACTTATTCCAAACCTGTGATGCAGTGTTCTCACCCAGGCATGTTGATGAAAACAGTGATTGGAATGCTTCATAAGCCTTCTTATGTGTGATTGTTGCTTTTACAATTTGTAGTTATTACATGCATTTTGTTATTGATAACCACCACTAACATTTCACAACAAATTCCATTTCATGTCATTTGGGGAGGTACATACTCTTATACCTATCCAGTGCAACTTCACACCTATATGGTCAGTAACACCAGTGCTGGTGAGGGTGCATTTAGCCTTTTTTGTTTTGTTTTAAAGTGACCTGTTCAAGTAACAGCATTGAAGTGGAGCCAGTGTACAGTGTGCTGAACTGATTGATGTTGGCATGAATGGTGCCTTACCTAACACTGCCATTTTTTTCTTCTGTGATATACCTGCCAGATATGATGTTTGTCTTATGTCATGTGTTAGCTTTTGTCAAGTTTTTTTTTTCTCTTTTGTGTGGCACATTGTGTGTATAACACCCATTGTGTGTTATATGTGCCTCTTGATGCATGCTTTTCCATACTTAGCATGATGTAAAATAAGTCAGGGAGGGTTTCAATTCTAAATGCACTGGGCAGTGCCAGAGATGTCATCTGCTTTCAACAATGTTCTAGTACAAGGGCCATAAACATCCCTCTACAGTTTACAGTTCTTGTGTCCAAGAAGTTTGAGCTAGTGCCAAAGCTTTATCTTGAACATCATGAGTGTGTATACCCCCATAGTGTCAAAACAAGACCCCACTACATGCCATGACAGAATAGAGTGATTCATGAAGGGGGGAGGGGACCTGATGAAGGATTTTGTGTATTTTCATAATCAGGATATAATTTGAAATAATCATGCATTTCAAGGGATCCAGGTAGATTTTTTAAGACCATTCACATGGCTTGTGTTGCATTCTATGGCTGCCTTGTTGCAAAACAAATGCCAGATTGAGGGTGACTTCAACTTTTTGTTTTGTATATAATTTTGCATTATTTTAATTGTAATAGAAATTGCAAGTATGAGTTTAGGTGACCAGCACTCTGTAAGGACAGAACTGTTAATTACCACCAAATTCAGTGAGATGGGGACATATGTGAGCTATGTGTGCATCCCTCACAAATCATACATTTGCTGTCCAAAACAATAAGCAATGTTGAAATGCTAACTTGAAATTTACTGGCATGGGTGTGTAAAAAATTTGTGTACTCTACAAATATTGTTTGCCTCCATAAGGGGCACAGTTGGATGGCCCCATGATTGTCTGGTGGCAGCTGCCACTGATCAGCAGGGTACCAGGAGGTGCTCTGGGGCATCAAACTGGACGTGCCTGATGCAGCTGGACTGCGGGAGCAGTGCTGGGGACACATTACAAACCTACAAACTATTCAGCATTGTGATGTCTCCTGGGATGCTGAGATCAGGTGATGCTAGTTATCTAGCAAAATTAGCTGAATAACATGATACCTGACATTCTCCAGGATAGCTGGGATGTCGCGTTAGAAGCATCTTCATACTAAAGATGGCTGGACGTTTCACCTGGGTAGCCCTGAGAGCACTGTTTCCGCGCGAAATAGTTATAGCAAACCACCCTGGCATTCGGCCAGACGAGGCGACATATTTGAAAAATCAGTATCGCAACTTGTTTAAGAGTTTTAAATGCCACCAAAGATATAATAATGCTCCAGCCTTTGGTCCTGGCCAGCGGTGTTATTGTGAACGCAAAGTTTCGGTCGCGTAGCGTTCGCTCGGCGCCAGGCGCGGATTGACCCGAAGCCCAGCAACTGCCCAAACAAGTCGTCTCCGACGGCCAAGTGATTCGTCCATAAGACTGACACGGAAGATGGTGGGTGGCCTGCGTCGGAACACCGCCGCCGCACGCTGGCTGTGCTGCTTGTCCATGCGTGGCTAACTATCCAACGTCCGGCCTTTTGGCCTATGACCAGGAGCGCCAGATGACGGCCCAAAAATTTACTGACAACATGTGGCAGGAAAAATAGCTGCAATGATGCGGCAATTATCTGATTAGATGCTTTCTCAGTCAATGATATATTATTGTCTCATTCATGTGCATATATGATCCGATTGATCCCATTTTTAAGTGATTATATATATATATGTGCATGCTTATACTTATTGCTATATTCCGATTGATATCTGACACGATATGATTCCATCTGACAACACGTGCTGTCAGACGAAACACTGGAAAATGGATTGTATTTTAGGCATGTGTCATTCATGCTAATTAACTTTTTCTGTGGCTGACTGTTCATGTAAACGTTTTTTCTGGTACATCCGGAACACATGACGCGCCCCGACTCGACGCCCATCTGGCATGCACGTTACATCATGGCATGCCAAGTTGGAGCGTGAAAGTCGAAATGCTCCCTGCGTCCATCTCCATCCCCACCGGCCCCCGCGTCCATCGCCATCGCCATCGCCATCGCCATCGCCATCGCCATCGCCATTGGCCCCTACATCGATCGCCATCGCGATCTCTCGCCGCACAGGCATCACCGGCAGTGCACTGAGCGTCGCATGACCGACCTGTCAGAGCGCCCGAACGGCCAGCCATCATCAGCGCGGTGAGCTGACGCGGCCGCCGGTGTGGCTGTCGTCTGTCGCCGCCCTGTGCTGACCAGACGCTGCCCTGGTGACAGGCGCGCCGCCGCATGCGTGCCCCGCGGCCGGTCCGGTCATGTCCAGGGAGCCGCCGCCGCCGCTAGACATCAACGAGGCCAGTCTGCTCGACTTCGAGACGACGCTGCACATTGAGCGGTCGCAGTCGGCCGCGGTCATCGCCAAACGCGAGGTCAGCGCGCGGTGGCAGCGCCGCCGGCGGCCGCGCGGCCGCCGACCGCCGACCGCCGGCCGGTCGCCGGTCGCCGGTCGCCGGTCGCCGGTCGCCGGCCGCCGGTCGCCGGCCGCCGGCCCCCGGCCGCCGGCCCCCCGGCCCGCCGGCCGACCCCTCCCCCGCGCCACGCTAACGGAGGCATAACGCACGGGCGGCACGGGCACGGCGCTGAGGACTGGGAGTGCAATCGTAGCACCGTGATACGTTGTAACCCTGTGCTGGTATAAAAAAGATCTTGAAATTGTGTAAGACTGGCATTTAACTATACTAAATTGTAACAAATACATTTCGAAGTTTTCACCTTTTGTCTTTGGTATGAGAGCTCGATATTCTTCTGCTCTCATTATTTGGATAAACTGAAATGTGTTATGTTGTTTCCTAATAACTTTTCATAACCATTACCATTGTCATCATCAGTTCATTGCTGTCACGTAATTTATCGTGAAAATAACGTCTACACCGTGAAATCAAAAATCCTCGACAGCGACTGCAAATATTTGCGTCTGTTGACTTACGTCAGATATACTACGGTGGAATTGGCACGCTGCGTATTCCTGTGGATAAGCTTGCCTGCCGAACATCTGAAAATGGGTTGTGACTCACTGCTCCCCGTTATTCCACCGGGAGGCGGCATATTTGCCGGCCGTCCCACCATTGAGCCGGGAGATAGCGAGCGCCGGGCTGTTCTGCGCCGCCGGGCGCGTCGCCTCTCACCGCCGCGTGGCCAGGTGCGTCGCGCCCCCTGACAGCCCGGATGACGCCCCCGTCAGGAGCTGGGCGGGTTCCGGTCGCTGAGCAACCTGCTGCTGGTCCGGGGCATCACGTCCCGGCTGGTGGAGAAGAACCGGTCCCGGCTGGCATGCGGCCCGCCCTCCGATAGCTGCTGGTGAGCTGTCGTCGCGACCAGGCCGCCGACGCGGACGGCCCACACACATCACTGTCCGGGAGGGCGGAGTTCGATCCGGAAGGAGGCCGAAGCGGAGTGGTAGCGTTGGCACGGCGTCAGAGGAGACTTGCGATGGTGTCAAAATAGCGGGCAAGCTCGGAGTTGCAACTGAAAGTGGAGGGATCATGACGTGATGTTGAGCCCAGACGTGTTTGCGGTGGTCAGCCACTAGCGATGTCCACTGTATCGTGGACGGCACGTAAGCCGCCTTAATAGGGATGAGCCATTCTCTGCGCCGCACTTTCGGCGGAGCCTGGCCGGCCGCGCCGTCGGTGTGTCTCTTGACCCGAGCGCGTGCGCGCCGCGCAGCTCGTCGCTGCCGCCGACGGCGGACATCGTCGACGATGACTCGCTGATGGAGTCGCCGTCGTCGCGCGCCGCGCCTCCCGCGCCCGCTGCGCCGCTGCCCTCGCCGCCGCCGCCGGCGCCCGCCGTCGCCACTGTAGCCGCCGCCACCGCCGCCGCCGCCGCCGCCGCTGTCACCGCCTCGGCCGACGAAACCGGCGAGGCTTGCACTCTGGTGAGCCAGCGGCCGGGGTTTGAGGTCGGGTCCCGGTTGGAGATGGCGGCCGGGGTTTGAGGTCGGGTCGCGGTAGGAGGAGTAGCCGGGGGTCAGAGATCGGGTCCCGGTGGGAAGGGGGTACCGGGGCTGGAGGTCGGGTTCCGGTGGGAGGACCCGGGCGCGAGCGGAGCGGGGCGCAGTGCAGTTGGGGTTCGGTACGTGTGTGTTACGTGTGGCGTGGCGGTCTGGTATGAAACGGCTTGATTAGATCGTGGTTCAGGACCTGAATGTGGGTTGAAGTAAACAGCTGCTCTGGACGTGCTCGGAAAAACTGAAGACTGCTCCCGCCATAGTCATCTTCACTGCTGACAGTGCTACGAAACGCTTCAAAGGAGGCGTTTCAAGCTGATCTTTTGTTTTTCGCTGCTGCGAGCTGTTGATAAGCCGACAGATGTTACTAATCACCGTTTTAGTTTTACTGTTGGCGTTGTAGCTCGAGGTTTTCGGATACGATCAGGGCTTTTTGTGGAGCTCGGACACCGAATGTCCTGTCAGCGATGTAAGTCTATTTGTTAAGCCTCCACACATAGTTCCGTCTTCTGCCGACTAATTGCCAATGCGTGGGGCCCGTTCGGCCCAAATTGTCCGACGCTGACGTGCATGCCCATCAGTTGGTTTAGAACTCTGTTTAAATTGCTAGCAGAGTGTAAAAGCGGCCTGAAACGTATCGGAAACTTGTCTCGAACTTGGGCCGCAAATAATACATTGGGAGGCTCTGCTCGGCGCGAAAGTTTGTCACCTGGAGGGCGGCTGTGGCACGCCGACCCGCCCAACTTCGCCGCGGGCAACAGGGTCCGCGTGGCGTCAGTTTCGACTTGGCCCGGTCCGTGTCAGCCGGCAGTCCAATCATATGACTGGGCCGGCGCTGACCGGTCGTCGACCTCCGGACGTTGGAGCTTGGGGGTTAACTTGGCCCGGTCCGTGTCAGCCGGCAGTCCAATCATATGACTGGGCCGGCGCTGACCGGTCGTCGACCTCCGGACGGTGGAGCGTGGAGGTCGACTTGGCTCGGTCCGTGTCAGCCGGCAGTCCAATCATATGACTGGGCCGGCGCTGACCGGTCGTCGACATCCGGACGTTGGAGCTTGGGGGTCAACTTGGCCCCGTACGTGTTGGCCGGCGGTCCAGTCATATGACCGGGCCGGCGCTGACCGGTCGTCGACCTCCGGACGGTGGAGCGTGGAGGGGAGTGGGGGGGGGGGGGGGGGGCGACATCATCCACCAGCAGACCGACCGGGTCCCCGGGCCGAGACCGGCCCGGGTCCACTGCTCTGGACCCGGTCAGGGGTTCGGTGTCCGGCACCTACCCTCCCACCGGGGTTGCCCCGATGGGTGGCGGGCTGCGGAGAGGTTCTAGGGGCAGGTCTGACTGGTGCCGCGGGGAGGCCGGGACGGGGTGGGGTCTGGACAGTACGGGAGGTAGATGGGACTGCTGTCCCGTTGTTCGCAGAGTGAATGTTTGAAATCACGCTCAGTGATGCCAGATGTGTTGGGCTGGCAATGAAGTGTTGTCAGATCACCGATGCCGTCTTCCATTTAAGAGGCGCAAAGTGTCCGTCGCGCGCCAAGCGCCGATACGCCGTCCAGAGAACGGGGCGTCCAAATGCGATGCTTGATGACGACATCTGTTGTGGGCGCGATATGGCCGCCTGCCCGAGGCGCCCGAAAGCCCCAATAACCAGCGGATGTAGGGCGCCTGTAGATCACCGGTCCTATTCACACGTCAGCCGCCACTGCCCAGTGAATCACTCGCTTGAGCTCCGCCCCCGGCGGTCTGCTGTAGAGGAAGCCCCAGCGGTGCCACTGGGCTGCCGTCTGCAAATACCAGCCTGGGGCGTGTGCCGCTCTGCCGTGGCCCTCCCCCTCGCCGCCCCTTCGCCGTCGCGTGGCCGTGTGGACACGCCGACAGCTGTCGTGCGGCTCGGCGCCGGCCGCCGGCCGTCTGACCCCGGTCCCCCCCCCCCCCCCCCGCCGACAGATGAAGCGCAAGTCGGACGGCGCCAGCGGCCGCTCCCCGGGCAAGAAGCGCTGCAGGAAGGAGGCCGGCGGCGGCGACGAGTCGCAGTCGGAGCACGAGCCAGAGGCGCCGGCCGACCTCCAGAACTGGGTCGACACGTACCTGGTAGGCGCGCGGACCGGACGTCCGCACCTCAGGGGTGCAGGGCGCGGTCGCAGGCGTCAGGAGAGGCCCCGGGGACGGGGCACGCTGCCGGCTGTGGTTCGGTTGCGCTGCTGCGGCGGGGGTGGGGGACCGCGATGGGTTTGCCGGTGTTGTGTACGTGGTGCTTACATCTGACGATAAGTTGTCCGACAATGTCGCTGCTGTCGCGCGGGGTATGTGCGGTGACGCACTCGGCTGCCGGCTCCTGAGGGGGACTTTGACGGTGTTCAGCGCACTGACTTGTGGTGCAAGGTGGACCGTATTTAAAGGAGACTGGTAACTGTCAGCAAGGGTCCCGACTCCGGGTCGCTAACATGTCGTCCGTTGAAAACACGGAAGCTCTGCGGGCCTTGCACACCACGAGACACCCTGCACACCCTCCGAGTGGCCGACACGACACAACGGACACTGAGCAAGGTCTGCGGGCCTTGCACACCACGAGACACCCTGCACACCCTCTGAGTGGCCGACACGACACAACGGACACTGAGCAAGGTCTGCGGGCCTTGCACACCACGAGACACCCCGCACACCCTCTGAGTGGCCGACACGACACAACGGACACTGAGCCAGCCTTGCCGGCAGGCGTGGAGCGGCGAGCAGCGTCTGGTGGCGCTCGACCAGCTGCTGGACGTGAGCGACTCGGCGCAGGTGCGCCACATGATGCAGGTCATCAAGCCGCGCTTCCAGCGCGACTTCATCTCGCTGCTGCCGCGCGAGCTGGCGCTGCACGTGCTGTCGTTCCTGCCGGCGGGCGACCTGCTGCGCGCGGCGCAGACCTGCCGCAGCTGGCGCCTGCTGGCCGAGGACAACCTGCTCTGGCGCGAGAAGTGCCGCGAGCTGCAGGTGGACGACCTGCAGGAGCTGATCCAGGTGCGACGGCGACATGCGGCGCCAGCCGAGCCCGACTCCAGCGTCTGGAAGCAGGCCTATATCCGCCGCATGAAGATCGAGGCCAACTGGCGCAGCCGCGAGCTGCCCGAACCGAAGGCGAGTCTCGCAGCCGTGACTTTGTTGGTGTTACGTTTGCTGTCAGCGAGCACAATGTTTTATTCTCAGGTCTGTCGTCGATCACGGCTTGGCTTCGGGAGAGCTGTGGTTGGGTGTGACGTTGTGATAAGAATATTGGGGCAGCATCCAAATTTCGGTCCAAGGCGTGTTATTTGTTTTTGCTATCATATTTGTCCATTTTAATCGACTTCATAACATATCGACTGATCTGAATATTTGCGCACTCGCACTGATCAACATCGAGCATAATGTGGACGCCCAGCCTGCAGCATTGTCGCTGGATACCGGCATGTCAGCGAGCCACCACTGCGTCGCCTGCGTCGTCGAGTCCGCTGCCTGACCGCTGTCCGTCTGCGCGCAGGTGCTGAACGGCCACGACGACCACGTGATCACGTGTCTGCAGTTCAGCGAGCACCGGATCGTGAGCGGCTCAGACGACAACACGCTGAAGGTTTGGTCGTCGGCGTCGGGCCGCTGCCTGCGCACGCTGGTGGGCCACACGGGCGGCGTGTGGTCGAGCCAGATGGACGGCGCCACCGTCGTCTCTGGCTCCACAGACCGCACGCTCAAGGTGTGGAACGCCGACTCGGGCCAGTGCCTGCACACCCTCTACGGTCATACGTCGACGGTGCGCTGCATGCACCTGCACGGCAAGAAGTGAGTGCGCGGACGGGGGGGGGGGAGGGGAGGGGGGTGCTCCGGGTGGGGTGTCACGCGCCCGGCCTGATCGGTCAGTTGGGTCGAGCGTTGGAAGATGGAGGTCAGGCGCGGGTACATGGGGTGAGAAGCTGGGGTCTGCTCTTGTAGTTGGTGTCGGATCGCTGCCTGGTGATCTGATCGTTGTGATTGGCTCTGATCGTGTAACTAGCAGCAGCTGACACCAATAGCCGGCACGACCAAAGACCATCATCCGATTGTGTAGCCTGATTGGAATGGAGGTCAGGCGCAGATTCATGGGATGAGAAGCTGGGGTCTGCTCTTGTAGTTGGTGTCGGGTCGCTGCCTGGTGATCTGATCGTTGTGATTGGCTCTGATTGTCTAACTAGCGGCAGCCGACACCGATAGCGGCACGACCAAAGACCATCATCTGATTGTGTAGACTGATTGGTACACCTACGAAGTTCCCGGACATGAACTATTTTGTTCATGAAGGCTGTGTGTGTGTGTGTGTGTGTGTGTGTGTGTGTGTGTGTGTGTGTGTGTGTGTGTGTGTGTGTGTGTGTGTGTGTGTGTGTGTGTGTGTGTGTGTGTGTGTGTGTGTGCGTGCGTGCGTGCGTGCGTGCGTGCGTGCGTGCGTGCGTGCGTGCGTGCGTGCGTGCGTGCGTGCGTGCGTGCGTGCGTGCGTGCGTGTGTGTTGAACATCGTCCAACTTTTCACCCCGCACGCATTCGCGACAGACGGTGGGTTCTGCACTGCCCTGCCTCTTTGACCACTGAAGCCATGCCGGCCGTTCTTGAATATTCGTCTGCCTTATCAGCAGCCGAGGCCGTCAAGAGCCTGTATAGCGTCCGTGTCGTTCAGCCCCTCCCCCGCCCTCCCCCCCCCCCCCCCCCATCAAGTGTCATGCGTCTTGCGCTGTGCTGTCTGCCGCAGTGTGTGACTGACGCCGGCCTTCGTGTGTGACTGACGCCGGTCGCGCGCGCCCAGGGTGGTGAGCGGCTCGCGAGACGCCACCCTCCGTGTGTGGGACATCGAGACGGGCGAGTGCGAGCACGTGCTCGTCGGCCACGTGGCGGCCGTGCGTTGCGTGCAGTACAACGGCAAGCTTGTGGTGTCGGGCGCCTACGACTACATGGTCAAAGTGTGGAACCCGGACCGCGAGGAGTGTCTGCACACCCTGCAGGGGCACAACAATCGCGTCTACTCTCTACAGGTCTGTGGCCGGCGACAGCGGCGGGGATCTCCTTCCACGGCGTCCGGGTCCGTGTGGTGGTGGCTGGTCGGGCACGCGTGGTGTCTGGGTGATCGGGGTCACAGCGTGCGCGCACATTGCATCTTGTTTCCTGCTCTCGGTTGTGACGTGTTTCTTGTTACCTGCTCTCGGTTGTGACATGTTTCTTGTTTTCTCAAAATTCTGTGCACCAGTACGTTCTATGATGGGCTTGGTTTCATTGTGATCTGCTCGGGCTGTGACTTTTATGTCAGTGGGTGACCCACTGAAGACACGCTTTTCTGAAAAGGCCTCGGTGGTGAGACGCGAGTGTCGCGCTCTCCGATTGGCCCACATTATCGTTGATGCGCACAGCTGGCCAATTGGCGCTCTTCTCTAAGGCGAATCGCTGACCTTCCACCCATACCTTCTTTGCATGTCATCGGGCTGGGTGTTTTTGCATTGACACTGGGGTTTGGCACGCTCATCACGGGTTAGTGTTGCAGGTCTGACCTCGATAGGTCCATGTCACTCTTGGAGTGCTACAAATCGGCCACTCTAGGAGTGAACTCGTCAGGGACAGGTAACTCCAGCAGGCCCGATCGTTCAGATCGGTCCGCGTGGAGGTCGCTCGACGCAGCCAAATTCTGTCGCCACAGTAAGTGAAGGGAACGCTCTTACCAAGCGCCTACACGATTCGCAAGCCAGTGTCATTTCGAGCCGGCGTTGTTCCGACCTGCCATGTCGCGCGCTGCTGTCGGTCGCCGTCGTGGCGCGCGCCGGGGGACGTCGGCCGAGCCGCCGCTGACCGGGCCGCCTCCGCCGGCAGTTTGACGGAGTGCACGTCGTGAGCGGCTCGCTCGACACCAGCATTCGCGTGTGGGACGTGGAGACGGGCCAGTGCAAGCACACGCTGATGGGCCACCAGAGCCTGACCTCCGGCATGGAGCTGAAGAACAACATCCTCGTGTCGGGCAACGCCGACTCGACCGTCAAGGTGTGGGACATCCTGTCTGGCCAGTGTCTGCAGACGCTGTCCGGCGCCAACAAACACCAGAGCGCGGTCACCTGCCTCCAGTTCCAGAACAACTTCGTCATGACCTCGTCGGACGACGGCACCGTCAAGCTCTGGGACGTGAAGACGGGCGAGTTCGTGCGCAACCTGGTGTCCCTCGACTCGGGCGGCAGCGGCGGTGTGGTGTGGCGCATCCGCGCCACGCGCACCAAGCTCGTCTGTGCCGTCGGCAGCCGCAACGGCACGGAGGAGACCAAGCTGCTCGTGCTCGACTTCGACCCGGACCACAAGTGAGCCGGCGCCGGCGCCGCCACCAGTCTGTGATTGTGATGCGTTCATACGGGTCTCGGGCCGCGACTGCGGCGCAGAGACGGCATTCAGCGGCATTCGGCGGTGGTCGCCGCTCGCACCTGAGCCGGGACGTGACCACTCCACCTTGCCAGTACCAGGAGCGCGGCTGCGGCCGCCGCCGCCGCCGGCGCGGCGCGGCACGGCGGCGGCGGCCCGGCGCGTCCCGCACCGCCCCCAGCCCGGGGCGCACGGCTGTTTTCGTTGTTGGCGGACTTCGCACCGCGACTCTGCGGCGGAGCTGGATGGTTGCTCAAATGGTTTTCGCGTCTTTTTTAAGACCGCCGCCCGTGGTGAGCCCGCCTTCAACGTACGACTTAGTTAATTGCTTTTTACTTAAGGTACTGAACACCACAATAATGAGATGCAATTTATATGAATAAATTTCCGTCTAAGGACTCGTGTTTCTGTGCCAGCGTGTTCTGCCGATAGTGTGACTTCAAAGGCTGTCCTCACGTCAGTGACGTGCCCCAAGATCCGAGGAATGTAATGCGACACGGACAATCGTACTAAGAAAAAATGCATGGTAATACCGGGCTCACATGCCGATGCATGCAGGTGGTGACTGACTCCCTATGCGGCCTGCAGCGGGAGCGTCTAGACGGCATGCCTGTCCAGGCAAAAAAACATCGTGTGCGCTGCCAATAGGAGTCTCGTGGAAGAGAGCTCTGATGGGCCATCAGAGCCCAACGTGCTGAACGGCATAGGTGTAGCATTGGTGCGGAGCCCAGCAACCTAACCTAGGTATACACAGGCGTTAGAGGGGGGGGGGGGGGGAGCTGGCCACCGCAGACGTCGACTGTTACCAGGGGAGCGCGTGGGGGAAGGGGGGGGGGGAGCTCGGGATGGGCGCTCGGCTGCCAGGGCACCGTCTCCAGTGTCTGACGAGGCGTATGGGTAGGCCATGTGGCTGATTTATGGGATTATTAAACAGCCCGAACGGGGGCATGGAGACATTAGCCCGCACTAAATGGCTTCCTGTCGGCTCGCTCGGCAATGCTTCGCTCAGGACAGTCACATTTCAGGGTAAAAAAGAAGACAGATGCACTCAGGCGTCAGGGAAACATTTGCTCTGCCCGATGGCCAGAGGTGTGTCATCACGGGGCACGAGTCGGTCGATTTAGTGTTTGGCACCGGGACAAGCGTGTTTCCCTCGAACGAGTCGTGGTGCGGCTGGATGCTGGGAAGACCAACAGCGCCGTGTGCCTGAGTCCGTTCGCCACTTTGGCAGAGCATGCCCGCTTACGGCTGCTGGGGACGGCGATTGGTGACCCGCACACAGCGGGCTGGTGATGTGATGACGCGGATTGGCCGGCGCAGTTGCCGTTCGCAGACGAGGGACGGGAGCGGCGAAGTCCCCTAGATGTAGGCTGCGCCTGTTTAACCCCGAGGGTCGGACACGCGCCGCTCTCTGAGGAGCCCCTGCTGGCGACACGGGGTCGATGGCTGTTTGGGTTGTGGACGTATGCACGCCTGAAACGCCCAGCCCGCGCGGCGCCTGCTCGCCGCGCCGGCTCCAGCTCCCACTGCTGCTAATTCCAGGTCTAGATGTCGCAGATGTCGGGGATTACAGCGGACGTTCGTTCGCGCAGCTCGAAAACCGCAAGACGCAATCATTCTATGTATTATCCAGCGTTAGCGGCATGCATGCATATACTGGCTCATGTGCGTAGCTGACTACACCGACACGTTCCCTCGCGCGCGTGATCCCACACGCTCTCTCGCACGTGCTTGCTCCCACGCTTTCCCCACCATCGGCGGGGTGCATGCCCTCTCCCGGGGTATGTCGCCGCCGTATGCATAGCTCGGGGTCTAATCTACGTTCGGGGCGGCCTGGCGGCCGGCGCCAGAGCAACGGCTACCGGGCGGCGCGGCGCTGGGCCCGCCGCCGTCGCCACTGGCCGCGGCGGCGGCGGCCGGCGTTGTACTAACGAGGTAATGATGGCGCCGACGGCGCCCGTCGTGAGGGTGACGAGGAAAGACAGTCGTGACTTGTTACAAGTCGCATGGGCCGCCGCCGGGCGCCCGCGCGCGCGCGCACGGGAGCGGGCGGCGCCCAGCGGCGGGGCGGGCTGACACGCGGCCCGTGACCCGTGACCTGCCGGTCGGCTCCAAATGCCACTTCTGAACACTGGCTGAGTAATGCGAGCAAGCGCGATGCGCCGCCGACAAGCACCCTGCGCGGAGCCGAGCCGCGCCGCGCGCCCCGCGGGCGCGCGGCGACAAAACACGCACGGCGAGATTCCTATCAATCTAGACTCTGATCTAGCAACTAAATAGATGATGTACGTCTACGGACCCCACTGCTGAAAACAACGCAGTGGGGTTAAGATAAAACATTTACGTGTCAAATAAAACAAGTAATTAAAATCTAGCAGTGACTACTATCGCGATCCATCAACATAATGTGTTGCACTATTTCTTTTGCTCTGGGTTAACGATTTACGGGGATACACTTCACATTTCCAGCTAGCAGCACCTCGGCACCAGATTCTCTTGACAATGTCTTCAACACTTCCAGTCAGAGCTACGCTCTGTTCACGGCTTGAGTCAGCGCCTCTGCGACACCGTCTCCATCCACAACGCTGACGCCTGGCGGACCGGTGAACAGCTTCCAGTTTCATTTTGCGCTCAGGAGATGTCGCTAGATGCCGCCGGCCATGACGGACGGGATGGGAAGGTGGCGGCGCAGCACCTCTGCATAGCTGAGCCGCGCGACTTGGCTGATGAGGCCGCAGGTCTGGGACATAGGGCTTTCAGCCACATGTCCTGTAAGAAGCGGCGCAGTGTGAACACTAGTCACCGCTTGTGGGGATAAACCCGGGCACGCTCTCGACAGCCTCAAGTGAAATTTCTAATTCGTCCCCAAAAGGAGGGCGGATGCACCATTCGAGCCACGTTCGCGCTCTAAGTCGGTGCGTCAATCGTGCGCACTAACGATGACAAGCAGATCACCGGAGGTGTCGGCAGCGGCCGAGCAGGTGCTGCTCTATCCTTCTGTGAACGTGATCTATCACAAAACTGCAACACTTAAACATGTCTCCACCGGTAGACAGGCGACAAACAGGCCCTCCGTCGCCGGCCCCGACAGCGCCTCCCAGCACACGTCCCTACCCCACTGCTCACCCTGCTTGCCGAGCTCCGGGAACTCTGGACTGTAGGGCGGCTGGAAGCCGGCGGGAGCAGCGGCCGGCCGGCGCGGCGCCTCCTCCTCCGCGCCCTTGTACAGGTTGCGGATATCACCCACGATGTCGTCGTCGAGCTCGGCAGTTACCAGCTTGCGCTTGGCCGGCCGAGAGAAGCTGCGCGAGTCGCCGCGCTGACGAGGCCGCTTGGCCGCGGCGACGGCCGGCCGCGGCACCAGCACCGAGTCGCCAGCGTCGCCCAGCACGGCGCGCACCTGCTCGGCCGCCGCCGACACCTCCTCCGGGCTCCGCTGCGGTAGAGGCACGCGCCAGGTCAGGGGCGCCGCTGGTGGGAGCAGCAGCAAACATTACACATTACCACGCTATTGATTACGAAAAAGCTTGACTATGTTAAATCGAAGAATGTAATGACAATTGAAAATGAAGCCACAGTGGCATCCGGAACGCGAGGCAGCACAGCATGCACGGTAATGGGCCGCCCGAGGCGTCGTTCGGAAGTGGAATGGAGGATAAACCACGCCAGCACCGACCGATAGCAGCACCAGCACCGGTGGCACCAGCACGCCCCACCTCTCGTGCGTTCGTCAGGCCTGACCTGACGAGGCCCACTGCGCCGGTCGCCGTCGGCGCTCACCTTGATGAGCCGGTGGGCGGCCTGGGCGAAGGGCGCCGTGTCGACGTTGCAGCGGCGCAGTTCGCAGCAGATGAGCGCCGCCGCCAGGCACGAGGGGGGCACGCCCAGCGTGCGCACGTCCGTCACCAGCTCCACCAGGCGCTCGGTCAGACCGCAGAGCTGACGGTGGGCCGACAACTGCCGGACAGACGCGCAGCCGTCAGCCATCGTCGGCGGGCTCCATGCAACAGCCGTCAGTGCCAGCAGCTGACGGTGAGCAAACAGGACCGGCTTTCACGAGCCTCCACCGCCCGTCTGTCCGCCAACAATGGGCCAACAGCAGCGACACAGCGCCAAAAGAACCGGCCCAGCGAGCAGACCGGCGAATCCGACACCAGCCGCCGCAGCCGTGCCGACGCAGCAGATTCCCAATCGTTGGCCGCGCCTGCAACCGGCTGCCGAGGCTACTGTCGCCGCCAGCCGCCGCCCCAGCCCGTTATCCACCCGGCCGAGCCGCCATCTCTGCCTCGGCGCCGCCGCCGCCGCCGTCCACCCGGGCGTGGTCATCCGACAGGGGGTGTGAGGTCATCAAACCGACACGTGGCGGGGGCTGGTGCTGGTCCGGACCGGCCGCGGAGCTCATCTCGGGAGAGCTCTCCTCAGGGCGACCCATACAGGGGTGCCTGTTGCCTGTTCCGTATGGTAAGCGGACGGCCGAATATTAACGCGCGAGTCGGGGCGTGGAACATGGGTAGAGACTGGCATCGAGAGATGAGGGAGTCAGCTGGGCCTTTTAGGAAACACCGACTAAGCGGGGTACGCAGTAATCAAACCGTTGATATAACCAAAAACAAATTATCGAAACGTCGTGCCTCGTGTGTGGAGGGCAAGAAGCGGCGTTGCACAGCACTCGTCATATGGTAATTTAGGAACACCGCAGTACTTTCCACCGACGGTGTTAAAGTTATACCAGGCCACGACAGCGTTTCAATATTCGGCCACTTGGGTGGCGGGGACTGTGGGTATTTGTTTATGTTAAGACATCCCAGGCTTGGGGCTCACTGCCTGTTGCTCCTCTAGATAAAAATCAGCCAATCAGCATCGAAATAAGCGGCAGTCAACCCAGTATCTAAGCGCCTCCGGTTTGACAAATGGGCCGGGCAGGTCAGCAAGTCAACTTCCCAGTGAATAGCCTTGAAGTATACGCTGGGTATGCCCCACTCTGCGCAGCCATCAGGGACTCTTATCGCTGTCAGAGGAAGACCAGGACCGAAGAACATCGTGCGGAGCCGGCCGCCGCGGCGGGAGCGGCCTGCAGCGGCTGCGGGTCTCACCCGGTGCTGACGGTCGGCCAGCAGACCCGGGCAGGCGGCCACCAGCAGGCAGTGCAGGCTGTGCAGAAAGTTGAGCGGCGTGACCAGCCGCACCTGCCAGCCGAACTTGTCCAGTACTACCCGCTCCATGCGCAGCACGTCGGCCACCGAGCAGCCAGGCCGAGCCCGCTCCACCACGTAACTGATGGCCGGCACCAGCTGCAACAAGGCGCCGTGTCAGAGGAACGCCACAGCGTGCTGTCCCGGGTCAGCGGGTAGCGGTGGCTCGTCAGTATCTCGTCTCGGCTCGGTTCGAGCTCCCTGTG